ACACCACCACACCCACACACCACCACACCCACACACCACCACACCCACACACCACCACACCCACGCCACCCACCACACCCACACGCCACCCACCACACCCACGCCACCCACCACCACACCCACACACCCACGTGTGGGCTTTTCTACCCACAGCCCCACTCAGTTGCAGTTCCACCCGCGTATGGGTTTGCCCGCCCACAAACGTGCCGGGCGTGCTTGTTTCAAAGGCCTAACGACATGGCCAGCGACTTGTAATTTGGGTTGAGAGAGAGGATGAGAGGATTCTTGAACTTCTTGCAGAGGCTCACTGATAATCTTGGAAGAGATAAAAACAAGCAGAACAAATGCTGCTCGTTGTTACTCTTGCTTCTAGATCTACAGCAGTAGGTCCTACAATAGTAAAGTACCCTAATGCCATTCCTGCTGCCCTTCTTACATCGTCATTCACGTCTGACACTGACAGACTGAGCAGCTTCTGAATCGCACGGGTGCACGCCGTGCCGCAGTAAGCCATGCCAATGACGAAACAGCCGCCATACCTCAAGATCGGATCCTTCTCGAGTAAAAGTTGCTCCACTAGCGGATCGGCCGATTCCTCTTTTTGGAACATGATCAAAGCTAGAGCCACCGCGCATCCTCGGATGATCTTTTCGTGCTGCGTGTCTTGCGCATACTGAAGCAACTCCTTGATCTCCTTCTCTGAGGCAGAACCACACATCACCAGTCCCATGCCGTAGGCAGCGGCTTCACCGGTCACAGCATTGTCAGTATACAAGGCTTGCTTCATCTCGTCGACAATCTCGCTATTCTGGGTGCCCAGAGGATTAGAACAAGACGATTTCATCACATCTATAAGCCTGAGTCTTTAATAACTAAGAGGAAGAACAACCCTGTCTAGTCTTTAATTTCTGAGGATGAAACAGACCACTAGGTCTCTTCTAAAGATCACCTCTCTACTGCAAAACCAAACCTACGAAGTAGAACCATTTCAATTCAATGGTCGACTTCGGCGGCTCCTGACAGAAGCTTTCGTGGCCGTGTCACAACTGTCGTGCCTACTGGAGTGAGAAAATAATCCATGACCAACCATAATCGAAGAGAGCCCCAGACCGAGGCACGCACCATGCGATAGGACCTCGCTGCCTTGTCCCTGCCTTAGCTGCTGGAGCAAATACGCCTCAATTTCGGGTTCGTAAAAGTTACCATGCACTAATCCCATGGCAAAGAGAGCGCCTGAGAGGTAACAACAGAAGCTTCTCAAATTTGTAAAAGAAGCAGCAGAGATACCTTCTAAACCGCTTAGGACAAAGGAGCTACTAGATAGTCGTAAGCAACAGAAGAAGAAGGCTCAAAAGAAGAACCAGAAGGGAAAAAAGGGAGCCAAAAATAGCAAGAAAATGAAGTAATCCCATAGCAATATAGCGGTAATCCCATGGCAAAGAGAGCGCCTGCAAAAATCGCAGAATAGAGATGAGGATCATAGACCTAAGAACATGAAGGGGTAAATATAGCGGGAAGGGATACAACTCTATCGAAAGGTAATAACTGGTAAGCGTGAGATAAGAGCCGAGAAATATAGGTAGTAGTTACTGACACCTACTTATTGTATGATCACATTGCACTATCTTGTGTACAGTACCAGCTGTACGATAGTACCTACACTACTAGTCATATCATTAAAACCAGTAATAAATATTGAATTGATAGTGCCGATGGAGCGAGCTTACCCCCGCCCATGGAACAAGGAAAGATAGAGTTTGCTACTCGAGCTTACTAGACAAGAAGGAAAGAAGACTTTTTTTGGTACAAATAGGGTTACTCGGGCGTAGTCGGCAAGAAAACTCTGTATTCTCGTCCCAATAAAAGTGGAGTTACTCGGGCGTAGAAGAAAGAAAAGCTTGGAATACTTCCTTCAGTAAAACAAGCATAACAAGTTGTGATACTGGATTCTGAACTTTGTGTGAGTCTCAGAGACTGAGAAGAAGCAAGTAGAAGGTGATTACATCTGCTCACCAGGAAATGAATTCATGAGAAAGTAGATAAAATCAAAAATCTTGGATAATCTTGAAAATGTGAGAGTCGAATCGAAAGAAAAGTTCTCATATCCTAAGTTGTAACCATTAGCTAGATCCTAAAGTCTTCGAATTCCAATCTAATATCGGCAAGATTGATAAGAATCTATCTATGGAGTATAACATTCTAAAATGCATACACCATTTGACTCAACTTCTCAAATCTGTGGCATAGTTTGTGTCGAGTGTGTCTAGAATGAAAAGCAAAGCTCACGACTGCATTTAAATTTGAATTAAACGGAATATAGTCAAAATTTCTTGAATTTTGACTCAAATTCTTCAAGAATGAAAGCTTCAAATCTGCTTGATTCCAAACACAAACATCAACTTCTTGAGTGATGTCTATCCAAAAACTCCAAATTTAATCTATTGAAAAGACCACCACCGGGCAGCGTCATCCCTACTTCTTTCAAACACTGATCATTAACATCGGTGATGTAAATGGCTGCATATTAGCTTGAACAACAGAAAGAACATGATAGTGATACACGCTGGGGGGAGTTATCTGTTATCACCTCTAAAGTCTCATCTACGATGTTAGCAACTGCAACGTAGCACTTAACGAGCCACAAGCGATTATTAATGCGTGGAAGGTAGTAGAAGGAAGGAAAGAGGAGCGATAAACAAGGATCAAGTGTAGTAAATACCTCCTTCGGCGTAGAAGCTTCCTCCCTGTCCTGCTTGCTGTCCTTCCCTTGGAAGATAGGCGGATAAGATATTCCGACTCTCCTTGATGTGGCCGCGATGGACGACACCCAAACTGGCTGTCGTCGCGAACTTGGCCCACATTACTGCCTTGGACATCCAGTCTAAATTTTGTCGGAGAAAAATATCGCTGCTCGTCCCTGCCTGCATAAACGCATGCATAAACATGTGACCGCTTCAGATTAGAAGAGGGAAACTTCTTCTAGACGTACAGTTGTTTAATGTTGTTGTGAGGAGGTAGGTGAAGATTCAAAGAACAAGCTAGAAGTAGGACCTGAATTTCAGATATTTAAGGAACAACATCCAACAGAATTATTGCGAGCCACAGCATTATGTATCTACAGCACACTCCTCAATTTATCCACGTAGAGGCTAGATCCGCCTACAGCTACGTAGGTACCTAAACCTGCTAGACTACCTATACTACTTACGAAGGCCTTCGTCTTTCTGATACCTTTTTGTTGCGAAAAAACAAAAACCAGACTGTCTCCATAAATGCAGCACACTGGAGCTTTTGTTTGCTTCACAGGTCTTCTTCGCGCGGTCCAAGATCAGCAGATCGCTACGGTTATTCTTGAACAAAAATTCGAGGTTCAACTCTAGACGCTTCAAGCCACTTGTTAGAGCTCGCGCGCATCCACCTCAGGGTCTATCCTGAAGCTTTTTCTCCCTTGAAAAACACACTCTTCAGGATGACTTCTCTGAAGACGGACCATTAGAATAGAAAGACTTCATCTCTGAAGCCGTAAACTTAGAATAGAAAGCAAAAGAGTCATCTCGTCGTCCTTCTGCATGTCGTACGGAGGATAGCTTGTCTTGGGAGCCGCAGCTTCGCCAGAAGCATCTGATTTTTAGGATTAGGATAGGATTTTAGGACCATGAAGATCATGATGAGGTTGATGATAGGTTGATAAGATGAGTACTAAATAAGGAGGTCTAGATCCTAGGATAGAAGAAGGGTAAGGCTTCGGGTGAAGACTCCCTAGCACTTCTAAGACGAATCTCCAAACTTCGAGTTGTATTCCGTTTCCGACCAACATACCAGAATGAAGTAACTCAGTATCTTATATTACCAAGAATCTGCCATTCAGATTCGCTTTTACCTCCTTCCTCTCCTTCGGGCTTATCTCCGCCTTCGGCCTTAGCAGCCTGTTCCGCCTCTACATCCTCCGGCTTTTTCCCAACGATCATATCGCGTTCAGCCTTCAGCATACCCACTAACTCGCGACAAAATTGCTGATTCTCATTTTCGACGATATCGAAAGCGAGCTGGTACAACAAAAGCAAGTTTTTGTTGCGGCCGGGGGATGAAGGAGGAGGGGTGAGGGTGAAGTGGAGATGAGGGAAAGGAGGAGAGGAGGGACCAAAAAACTCCTTCTTTCTACAGACGGAGATGAAAGGAATACCATACTGACGGAGATGACTGCAGGAAAGAACCAAAACCCCGATCGATGTGTACTAAAGGGTAAATGATCGGAACAAATATAGAGGAAACAAGATCAAGAGTATCATCACGTCCATAACTCTGCTTTTTTGTCATCGACCTGCATAGCATCTGGATCGTCCAAATCCAAATCCAGTTCGCGTCGGACCAGCATCACCAGCAACTCCTTGGTACTCTTGACGTCGCTCGCAAAAAAGTAACACTGCAGAAGCTTCGTAATAAACTTGATCTTATTCCCACTGCTCGACTGCTGGGACGAGGATGAAGAGTTAAGACCTGTTGAGGAGGTTGAAGAGTTAAGACCTGTTGAGGAGGGTGAGGGTACGGTGACACCTGGACGGTGTTTGAATCACCAAAGTAGATAGAGGAAGTTCAAGATCTCAAACTACGATCTGAATCTCAGCGTAAGCCTCAGATCTTTGCAAACTACTAGGCAAAGTTCTTTAAGTAAAAGTACCTTGTTTCTCTTTAATGTCAATGAGGAGCTTGACTAGCTGAAAAAGTACCTTGTTTCTTGTAAATATCGATTAGCAGCTTGACTAGCTGCATGCGGAACTCTCTTGACCCCACTGCCGGATTCCGCAAGTTCTTCTGGCAGTAATCGATCATGTCAAAGAGGAAAGGACTTGACAAGACGAAATCTTCGACTTTGTCTAACCGCTTGCACTCAATCGCAATTCCTAAGCCGTGGTACCATTCCTGCTCCTTCTTGCAGCGCGCAAACATGCGCTCAACAATGTCCAGTAAACGCGCATCGAGGCAGACAGATCCTGGACATCGTAGAGAGGGCGTTTCATCACTGGCTCAAGCTTTTTCGTCAACGAGGTTCTTGAACACACTTCAATGAAGAAGATTAAACAAGCTTGTGCTGAAGCTATAGGAATATAAATTCCAATTCTGTACCACTACCATCTCTTCTACTTACATTCCTCCTGCTTCCCTATAAACAAAATGATTGAAAATAGCTTCCTCCAAAAATGCCTTACCATCTACATCTCCACCCGCTTCGCCACCCGTCTGCTGCTTCTGATCCAAGGCGTTTTTGTGAGTGATGTACTTATCGATACATTGCGTAACGATCTTCTCCACGAATTCCGTTCGATCCGACAACTTGAAAAGTTCCTCAGCTCCTAAGGCGTAATTCAGCGCTTGGTCGTATAATTCCAAGTGATAAGAAACTTTCGAGAGGACCTGTTTTGAGATGAAGATTGTGAGATCAATGTTGGTAAGAGGATTCCTGCTTCGAAGATGGATGGTAAGAGGATTTCTTGATGTTCCTCCACGTCCACCTTTCATGCTAAGAAAGATAAAGATGGAAGAAACCCATGCCAAGAAAACCAAAGATTGAAACCCATGCTAAGAAAGCTTGAAGAATGCTGCCAAAAAGCAACTTCACAATACCAAGTTCGCCATTTTTCTTCCTGGGAAGGTTTCATCCTCTGCTAAAAGCTCGATTTGCTCTAAATTTTCCGCTACTTCTGCCCAGAAATGATCGAGAACTGCGTTTAATTGCGTCAAAGCTTCGGTTTTTAAGAGTTTATCTGTCTCTTCTAACTGCGCAATGACGCCTGCTGCGCTCGTGATGGTACGCGGAAATCCCGCGTTCACCATCACCGACGACGTCATTTTTTTGAGAAGTCTTTAACTATTACTGAAACCGATGTCTAATAAATTCCAATTCCAAAAAATCTAAGAGGTACAACGAACAAAAACGATCAAATACAGGTCTACCTATACACCGCCTGCTACTTAAAAAAATCACCTCTTCGACATCTGCGTGCTTATATCCTTCCACAAATTTCCACTTTCTCACACCCCTGCTCTGCTCGATCATTCATGCTCATTGTTATTTGAGTCAGTTGAAGGAGTGACATATTTCTTCCTAGAGAGACTTCTTGTGACCATCTGTTTTTTTCGCATTTGGAAATTCCACATACGCAGACTCCACTGACACTATATAATTCCTTCCTTGATGACTGAGACAGATTTCGTTTGCAGCAGCGCACTCACTGTCGTCAAACAAGCTTGATTCGACGCGGTCGTTTGTGTACCACTACAACCACTGGTTGTAGAAAGACCGCCAGCCTTCTGCTTGAAGATGCATGATTTCAATTTTTCGCTGTCTGATAAATGAGTGCTGTGCCATCATAAGGTCAACATCATCGTATTTCTAGTACAACATGTCTCTACGCGCACGTCATCTCCACCAACCACCTCAAAGTTGATGAAAGGATAGGATAGGAACAATCAAGATTAAGATTTGAATTTCTCGTCCCTCTTTCACGGACTATCAACAGAGTTGGTGGAGCAGACCCAACTAGAATAGCTGAGAGTACTACTGACCCTCTAGTTCATGAAGTTGGAAGTAGATTCAGGGGAACAACAGCGGTATGAAGTAGCGACACCATTCTCATCGCGCCATTACCTAGACAACCTGTTTACTGGAAAAACAGACCCAACTAGAATAAACAAAACCGAAAAAAAGAGAAAATCAGTCGGGTAGTTATCTACTACGAGCTAAGCGCTGGCGCTGTCGTAGTCCTGTCAGCCCCAGAGGTCTCACCTTCGAAGGCAGGCAGGACTATCAATCGACATTTGTCTTTATCAATCTGCAAGATTTGAAAAAGTATCGAAGTATTGAAAGTAGTATCTCTCCACGAAGCTACACCAATTTCACACTCATCTACAAACATGATAGAAGCAACTATTTTTAACAACAACTAGCAATGATCTATATTCTCTAGTAAGTCAAAAAGTTAATAAATGATCAACCTAGAGGACTACTACCAGTGCCATCTTCACACGCCGACCGCGTCCTGTTCAAAACATTCAAAAATAAATCAACAAGATGTTGTGTAAATAGATACCAACCTCGAATTTCAAAAAAAACTACTACTTTTCGACATCCTGATTAACCGCCTCGACCCCAACATTGAGTGCCGCAGCTGCAACGAAGAAGCAGGAAAGCGTTCGTAAAGTCGCTTCCGTTGCCACTTGAACTTGCTCTTGTTGTATGAGAGAGAAATTTAAGGCAGGTTGCCCTCTGAAAGAACGAAAAACCCTTTTCTACCAGACTCCTGTTACTGTTTTGTACGATACTAAGCACCTAGTTGTTGGCCTACCACCTAGGTCTTGTTGGCCCGTTCTTTCCTGTGTTAATACTGACGTAAGATGAACTTGTCACTGTATGATCACTACCTCTATAATCCTGCTTCGCAGCATTTTCACCATAACATTCGAAGCTCCACCGCTTCCACTCGTGCCCACCACCGCTGACGTGAAGAACGAAACTACTTGTTGAGAAAGGAGCGGTCCCAGGACATAATTCATGCCTTCGTCCACTATATTGTAGGTTGCGAGAGAGTCCACCCGTTGTTGCGTACTGGAAGAAGCTAGGACTTGAAGACCGCCAACACTCGTCTGCATTAGCAGAAGCAAGAAAAGCGCTATCGAAGCGCCGGCTGGTGTGAAAACTGGCTGGAGCTCCTCCTCCGACTTCTATGTTAGAGGACGCGGCAACAGTTGTGATATTTAGTTGCAAAAGGATCAAATCGTGTTGTTTGAAGAGATCATAAGTCTAGGGATAGAGGTGAAAACTAACCGGCTGTTGCAAAGTGATGACAGACATTATGATTTATCATGACAAAAACGAGTTGGCACTACCTTCTGAGATTTCTTTTGGCCTTGCTTTGATTCAACATTAAATCACAAGAGTGACCATACCGGATTCGAGGTCTAATTCCTTAAATTCCCTGCTCCTGCCGCCACACCCGCAGACGCTCTAACCAATTGCGGCAAGAGCGTGTAGAAGATCTGTACCGCACAAAAAACGGACAATTGTGGTATTGCTCGCATCAATACCCCTTCTTTTCGTAGGACTTTCCGAAAAAAATTCCGCTTCTTGTTCTTACTTGTTGAGGTTGCCGAGCGCGATTGAGATTGCTCAGCATTTGCTTTTGATGTTGTTGATGCGGCTTGTTTTGGTTGTTGTTGTGATATAGTTGTCTTTTTGCCGATCATGTCCATTTCAGCAAGATGGTCAACACGTCTTGAGTCACCTTGGCCACGTACCTGGTTGTGCTCGTCCACCTTTCCTTCATCCTTCAACAAGTGTTTGAATAGCCAAGGTTGAATGAAGGCTGCTGTCACTGCCGCGCCAGCCAGAGGGCCTAGTGTGATGAGGAACGCCGTAACCTCCTTCGGCAAACCTGCACCCTTGTTAAAAGCTCCTGTCTTTCACTTCTTCTATCCTCCGTGGTTGAGTCAGCTCCCCTTTTTCCTCTGATTAGTTTCTTTCCGCCTTAAGTAGAAATTATAATTAGAGGTGGGACCTCGTCACCTCAGGATCGATACCTCTTCACAGTCACACCGGATAGATAGAAGTGATAAACTAACCATAACCTTAGCACAGAGATGATGGGCACTATTGGGTGCCAGAAAGATCTGCGCCGAATTTCCTAACGCGCATAACGTCCATTGAGCGAGAAGAAAGGTTTGCTCCCTTGAGGATGACTCTGATCTCTGAGATAATTTTCCACATTCGAGATCAAGAGCTCCAGAACTGCTCTTTGCTTCTACTTCCTCTGCAGGAGAGCAACTCTTTGCTTCTTCCTGCTCATGATACTCATTTTCAGCTCTACTTCTAGCGGCACTTCTTGAGAATGCTGACGCCTCTCCCGTCTCCGTCTCGTCCTCATGATCCGCTTCTTCCTCTTCCTCATCATGATCACCTTCTTCCTCTTCCTCATCATCATCATGATCAGCTTCTTGTTCCTCTTCCACAGGATCAGCTTCTTCCTCTCCCATATTTTTAGATTGCAAAAAGCTGCGTGCAACTGTAGAATCTGGAGGTGGAGAAGGATAGTACATAGTACTTGGTGTTTCTGGTCGTGTGTCATCACAATTATAGGGCATCAAGTTGTCTTCGTGCTGGTCTTTCTTACTCACTTGTCGTCCTCGGGAACAAAAATGCTCACGTGCGGCCCTGAGTTGGTCTTCAGGGTTTTCACAATCACAAGAGCCTTTTACACTCCCCCCGCACCGCACTCCATCTTCCTCGTCAGTCGTCGTTGCACTACGAGAAGATAAAGCTAAAGCTGCAGAAATGATACAGGCGTTCGTAATCGCGATGTTGCTTATCCATCGTTCATAGGATCCACAAGCGGCAAGGTATTGTGCTAAACCCGGAATCGCACTAGTAAACAACGGCAATTTGGCTAAGGCGGCTTGCTGTGCAGTCGTCTTCGAGGCTGCTGCTTCTTGTGCTGTAGAAGTTGTCTTGTTTCTTGGCGCATGGTCTGGACCTACACGATCCGGCTCCATCAAATGATCCTGTTGCTCGTCATCCTTCAGTGCATGGCTTGCCTCCTCATCATGACCTTGTTCACCACCACCCCCACCTCCATAGAGCTCTTTGATGATAGTTCCGATCATTGGCACCATAAAACCTTGTATACCTCCACACAGCCAGTTATTGAGCCAGTAGAAGGCTATGACTTCTTCTTGGTCCAATTTCTGTTTCTCTTCACTCGCACTCCTACTGCTCGAGGACAACAATTCTTCAATCGCTGTGTTCATGCCAAGCAACACCACCACCGCACTGGAAAATGCACTTCCTGTAGCAACTTTTTGCAAGAGCTTCAGCTGTGACTGGATGTTGCCGTTGTAGTTGTTGCTCTTTTTACAGACCTGAGAAGTCTTCTGAGTTTGCGTGTCTGCGTCCTCAGGTGTCAGATCAACATTTCTCCTTCTTGGGCTGAAATCTTCTGTCATATTAGTTTCAAGGTGAACAGGCACTACCACATCATCCTCTTGTTCTCCCGCAGGAACAGAAGAAGCCTTTTTCTCCACCAACTGCCCATAAGCGTGTGATAGAATCACTGACAACGCACCTCCGACACTGCTCTTCCAGCCCACCAAGAAGTCATCGGCTGATAGAACTGAGTCTTTCGTCGATAAGCTCTCAGCGATTTTCGGCACCAGCAGCATATTCACTGTGTTATCGGGAAGGCAAATGAGACCTTGAAGCAAACCCAATAACAGCAACGTTTGTGTCTTCTCCTCCAAATTCGGAAGTTGTTGTAGTTTTCTTCGTATGCTTGCCTTGAGAGTGGAGAAAGCCTTGGTGAGACGCTTTCGCGGATTCGTTGTTCGACTACTTTGATGGTGGCAGCATTCTTTGCTCGTCTGCCGCAACCGACTCCTCCGATGCCAGTTAGAGTTACACTGCTCTACTTGAGGAATTGACCCAATCACGTTCCCGCCATTTGCAGTCCTGTGTGCCGATAATAATGGCTCAGAAAGTGCTCGGGAGTGTGTAGGTGTAGCTCTGGACGTGGACGTCGACCTCCCAAAAATCTTCGTGGAGTCACTTCCACTTTCTGCACCCTCCTCTCCTCCAAGATTCAGCTCAGCTAAACGCTCTGCGAGGATCTCCAACGGTGGAGTCGGGTACCTCTTTCCAACTCTGGTACCTGCTCTTGTTGATCTACCTCTTGGTTGTTCGCTAGAGTCGCTAGAACTAGATGCTGATCCACCTTCACTGTCGCGACTTGTTACCCCACCATAATCCCCGACGGAAGAAGTGGCTGCAGTCTCAGTGCGTCCTCGTCGCCTGTTGAGGTTCAGAGACCATGATACGGTCGTCGTTTCCAAGAGTAGAACTAGTAGCTGGACCAGGCAGATACAATGCAACCATCCACGTTCTCGAGTAACGATCTTCGAGGAGCCACAGCTACGAGAGACATAAGCCATGATTTTTCTTTGTATGTTGCTGACAGAACAACTTTCTTGATATTGATACAGTCTACTGATGTCACCAAAAAGTCGGTTACACAATGATCATCAAGGATACCACTGCGTATCAAGGACAACACTGCGTAACGAAAAACGACGACCTGGAGGCACTTAGTTCACCTTTGCATAGCACAGCGCACCCCCCCAATTTCAAGAGAATAAAATGCTGTATCTGTTCATCACATGATATCATGACTCAAAAAAGTGGGGTGTATCGATGAAGAAATCTGAAATTCACACTCTTATCAAAGTCGGTATCCAAGAATTTTTGAATGCATTCCATTTTAATCGAATTCATTTCCTGATGAAGAGATTGACACAGTCTGAGTCAAGGGGCACAATTTAGGGTAAGAACTATGTTATCGTTATGTTTACAAGCTTACAAATCTCAATAGTAGCAAAATGTAGCTTCTATGAAGACTGTACCTACCTAAATTTCTTGAAATCTTAGACTTTGTAGATAAGATTCTCAGCACTTTTGATAGCTTCGAAATGCTGAAATTTCATCAAAACAGTCTTGAAATTGCAAATATCCAAGAATTTTTGAGTTTATATCATTTTAGTTGAATTCATTTCCTGACGAAAAGACAACCACAGCACAGAAATCAGATACGAAGTCCCTTGTCCTTCATTTTTCTGCTTTTGCCTGAATCACCCCAGTATGCTTTCATATTTGTCGCTATATCCTTCCGGTATGCTCGCTTCCACTTCTGTTGCCCTTGTCTTACTGTCGCAACCACGAGAGAAATAACGCATGTTTTTCTTGGTACATATTGTACACAGTATAAATCGTCCACGAAGCTTCAACTCTTTTCAAGCGTTGTGCATCAGGAAGTGATAGCACAATGATCAGCGAGTGCATTAGATCACGACATGGTGACTTGCAAAGATTCTGATCACTTCCAGCTGTGCTTCCCCACTTCCCTGTGAGCCCATTGTACTTACTGCATCATCAAAACCAATGCGTGATCCTGTTCTTGTTACAATTACGATGAATCATGCATCGTCACGCACATGCCCGCTACGTGCAAGTACAACTTCACTTTTTCGTAGCCTTTCTTCAAGAGCATACGCAAAAGGAATCTATCACTCTCGCTCCTTGTCGGCCGTAGTGAAAACAACACCCAGACCCGCTCGGCTTTTGCAAGCGCAATGTGATGTAGTACAGAGGTCGGGCACGAAAAAGAAGACCCTAGACCTATATACTCAACACAGATCATTCACACTCATCACGAGTGAATTGATGAAGGAAACAAACTTCCCATGTCCCGCATGGAAAACTCACGACAAAGTCACGCCGTGGGTCCAGGTTGTACCTACCTAAAAAAGTTAAAAATGCTCAATCAGCAGGTGCTGAGATAATTCGTGCGTCTGAAAGTATGTCATCCATTCCACCCCAGGATTTTTCTGTCCTATCGTCAATTGCGATAATGCTTCTGCGCGATGTCTTCACGAGTTTGGCTCGCAGGAGAATGGATGCTTGATCGTACAGGTGAAAATCATCGTAGATGACCAAGTCAAATCTGTTTCCCTCCACATCGCCGTTCATGATTGCACATAGCAATTTGTGCGCGTCCGCAATGTAAACGCGGTCATTCGCAGTAGTACACCACACCCTGTCAAAATCTTGATCTCCCTCGTCCATCTCCTTCATTTCCTTTGGATTGAATTGCGCAATCACTTGCATAATAAGCTTCTCGACGTCCACCTCAGCCTTCGTACTACATGTGTGGCTATCCTGATCCTCGTGCTCCGGATCGCGTCCTTGTATGGGTGCTGCTCCTGTAGCAGGGTCCATTACGTGTGATACAGGAGCAGCACCCATACAAGGACATGCGGCTGTGGCAGGGCTTGCGTAGTCTCCTGTCCATAACGTGTGATACAACCACTGAGCAAACTCCTTGTCTGGACTGCATTCCTCCTCCTCTTGAGTAGAATTGTCACTCCTTCGCGTAACGACTAAAATCTCGATACGCGGCTTACGAGGCGTACTGAAAGAAGTCGTGTTTTCTTCTATAGGATCATTGTTGCTTGAGGAAGACATAGAAGATGAAGTAGGCCGTGGATGATCCTTTGTTTGTCCTCCTTGTCGGGGCGAAAGCAGCAACGAAATTACGGCCAAGGCTAGACACAGGGTCCGCCCGCTTCCTTTCGGTCCACGAATAATAGTCCTCGGCTCCAAAGGATTCTTACCATGATGATCTAGCAAGACGGGCAGCGCCACCTGCTGTAACGGCAACGGCCGCCAATCGTACTCCGTTTCCAACTGCAGCAAGACTTGCTGCATCGATCGCCTATACTTGTTGTAATCGATTTCTTGTTCCTCGCTACAGGGCAAATACCTCTTGCAGAACGCTTTGAAAGTGGGCTCGCGAAGCCGCTTCAGCTTCCCGTGGTCTAAATCTGGCCATTTGGAGATCTCGCCTGCAGGTTGAGCGTAGACAGGACGATGAGACTTTAATCTCGCCTTTTCCGAGGACAGTCCTTGTTCAACAACCTTCGGACTACGATGCTCGTCTACTTCCTCTTCCTCTGGTTCTTCTACCTGATCAACATCATTTTCCACTTCGTCTTTGTTTTGACTTTCTCCACATTTGCCTCCAGGCACCTTTATCGAAGGGCCTTTCTGCACGCGATCCTGTACTTCACCTTCACGCACTCCGTCTCCTAAGTCCCCACCTGCCTTGCTAGAGTCATCCGTCGCCGCTCCTTCTGACTGTATCCTTCCGAGGCTTCTTCGCCTGCTCTGCGCGTTAGGAAATACTTGCAGTTTAACATTGTCACGTACCTACTAGCACCCGGAGGTGGAGCAGGAGCCTTGCTGTGTGTAGCATCTTCTCCTTGTTGTGCTTCTGCAGCGCGCGAGCCGCCTCCACCTTGATCGCTCCTCTTTCCGAAAAAAAAGGCACCCACCCCATTGCTTACCAATTTCGCGAACTGCGCCACGTTCGAAAGCTTAGTTTTCGTGGCCACGTGCTCGTAAACATACAGCTTGCGGCGTCCGCAGGAAAAGTCAGACTCTGTGGTCAAACTGCACATCAGCTCCGTGGGTAGGTGCTGGTCATGTATAGTAACCTTTGGCGCCTTGTCCCGGTCACGCTTTTGGCGCGTCGCGAAAAGGAAGCGAATCGCTTCTCCTCCTGCGCTCATCTTGTTCGTGATTTGGTGCGTGGATCTCAGTCTCACGACCTAAAAGTATAAGTAAAACTCCATATCATAAGTAGAACAGGTATGTCGTGGTTGTACGAGCGGATACTAAAACTGGCGATGATTTTCTTCTAAAACCTTTAGACTTTCTTTTTGACCGTAACGATGATTAACATGCCATCTTATCCACGCGGCAGCTACCTGCTTACCATGGCAGCCTGGATCATCTACTTGACTGCCTGGATTATAATTTCGCTGCGGCGCAACCTCATGTTGATATCATAGCCAACTACCATTAACACTTTGTTGGGTAAAAATATGACCATTGTCAAAGGAAAACGACGTGAAAACCTGAAAAAAACAGTTAAATGGTCGTGGACTCAACTGAGAGATCAAACGAGAATGTTGGTTTTGCCAAGTAGTGGATCCAGAAAATAATGAGGACCGATGCTGATTTATCATCTTGTGTCATCATGATGCACGGTCGACCAATTGCTTGATGCATAAGGGCACGACATGATTATACAGTTTCTTGTTTGATGTACAACCTTCATCTTACATGATCCAATCAGATGAAGCACGTAGATGTGATGCGGGTACTCAAATCTGTGACAACTTCACGATCGCCACTGCTTTCGACTACAGCGGCTTCAGTCTTTTTCTTCATCTGCACCCATTTGATGCAGGTTTCTGCAAGATATTTTATTATGTCTACTTAATCAAAATCACTTTGGACACCTGCTTCATCTTGCTTTGACCTCACCCCTTTTTTTTTCATTTTAGAAGAAGTGCTCTGCACCATCAAGTTCTAGTAGAGAGAAGAGCGAGGAAGCCCTTCTAGTGATTCTTCTTGTTTCTCGAATTTCGTAACCTAGAGGACTCATCGCAGACTCGCGACTTGTTTCTGGCATTTATGGTCCGTCGCAATTTATCAGGTTGATGTATCACAATGAAAAAAAGCAATGGTCCAGGCCCCCCTGCTCCTCTCCTTCATGTACAACTATTTCACACCCGCAAAGCCGCCAACACGATGAGCAAGAAGAGCAGATAGAAAAATCCTGCCAAAATCCATACGCCCACTGCGGCTAGTGATCCGTAGAGAAAGAAAGGACCACTAAAAAGTCGCAAACCAGGCTCCATTTCGTCCAGGTACGGACTGTGAGGTCGCGTTAAGGTTATGAATAGGGAGATGAGGGGGATACTATGGGGATGGGACTGTGGACCAAGCGGAGTGTATGAATTATACGTACACCATGTTGTTAGAGTACTGATGAAGCTGGTGTGTCATCTATTCCGTCTATTTGGTCAAGAACTTCTGTAGTTCATTGTACTTTTAAGTAAGTAGGCTGTATACAAACCAGGCACTAATATGTCGAGATCTCCAACATCCATCATAAAATCTTTCGAACTTGCAGCTGCGGATGGTAGCAAAGTCCATTGTGGGTCTAGCACTGGTGCTGTGGGAGAGAGTCCTGCTACTACGTCTGCGCCGCCTGATGCGTCCCTTACAAGGTACTCTCCACTGCTCACTAATTGCCACGCGCCAGGTCCTACATTTCGGTCCACTCGCCAACGCTCAGTGCCTTTTTGTTGTTGTTGGTGCGAATCATGCAAGGAAGAGTACGAAGATACGAAGATACGAACGTGACATCTTCAAAGACTCAATCTTGTGATAAAAACTTGCATATCACGGCTCTGCCTCTTGCAAATCTGACATCCAAATAAATAACGAGCGGGGGTTTTGACAACGCCTATGTATTACCAGTCCCGCCATCCTTCGCTTTCATTCCTAGCGTTCCATCTGCTTTTCTCCCGAAGTATTTTAATGAGTCTGAGACTTCATCCGAGACCAGGATATTGAAGGCGTTGCCACCTGCTTTTGTCAAGAACCACAGAGGACTGACAGTGGAATTCAACGTCGCATCTGGTTGCAAGTAGTTGCCAAAAGTCTCGCTTTTGAGAGCAGCCATATCCGTTGCTATTGGTCTTGGCGCAGTGTCATCAAGCTCCACGAAGATGGCGTCAGGGGAAACCTGATGAAACGTGCTACGGCCTTTTGAAAAGTGATTTCTATCTGAAAACCACGTTTGAAGAACACAACGGAGTGAAAAACAAAGGAGAGAAGCAGCAACACGACAAGATGGAACAAACCAGCAGTTGTAAAAACGGACTCGGTTCCGAGAATTTGGACGAAAGAACCACTGCAAGGAACTTCGTATCTTTAAGTGAATACAGCGGATTGAAAAACACTCACAATCCCAAAAAAAACTTACCGTCCTCTGCAACACTGTGCCTATTGCTTGCGCTTGCGTCTTGTAGATGTCCTTATCCGTTTTGAAGCGCGCACCTTGCGTTATCAGCTCTCTGAGGTTCACAACCAGCTTGTAGAAGAAGCCTGCATCTTCGCCTGTTACTGGTGAGCTGATTAGAGGAGGGGCATGCAAAACTCTAAACCCTAAACCCAACCCTAAACCCAAACCCATGATCAAGCCGCACGCCTAGTTAAACCCAAACCCATGTCCAAGCCGCACGCCTAGTCCTGTAGGAGAGAAGACCATATGATATCAAGATGTCAGGTACTCATGAGAGTTAGATATTCACTTGTTCTTGGGGACGAACTTCTAATATGGAGCTCTAGCTACAAGTGCAAGTCTACAAACGACCACAAGTTTCAATTTCATAATCTATGAGCTATTCATCCGTAAGACCAGAACGTTTCCGCCCATATCACCTGTCGACGGCGCGCACTGAAACGTCCCCTCATGATTGCAGCAGTTCTTCCCCACTGCGAAGAATTGTATCGTTGCGGTTAGGAAGTTCGGATCTTCTGGATTAGAGACAGGGACTTGAGAGAGCAAAAGGTGATGGAGGAATCTTGTTGTTCATGGGTACGTAAAAGTATTCCATATCCATTCGCTTTCTTCGCTGGTGAAAAACCTATAGAAGATACTATTGTTAGTAACTCTGACTTGTGAAAAAACAATCTCGATGCCATACTCGTGCTTCTAGTCCTCTTGTAGTTGTTAGTCCTTTCTTGTAGCTCTTGCTCATAACTATCGGGGCTGAGCAGTACACGTCGCCGTTCATCTTGAAACCGACCGTCGCGTCTACTAGGACCCTTGACATTGGGGCAAAATCGATGCGACCCGCATCTAGGTACGAAACCGCGTCTGCTGTTGGCTGGACATGGATGTAGTGGCGACCGAGTCCCTGCTCCATTAGAGGTACTACAGGAAATGTATCTCGTCGACTGTCCGAGTCCTCATCGTTTCTTCTCGTCGAAGTCCGAGTCCTCTTGAGACTCAAGTAAATCAGTTACTTATTCATCATCAGTTCGGGATGCATTTACATTTGCAACGTCCACAATCATAACTGTAAAAACGGCGACACGTTTATGTAGAAATTGAACGTGCCCACAGAGTACGCAGACACAACTGTGAAAAAAACCAATGCCGCCATTCCACCTAGGTATTCGTTTCTCACTGGAGACGCATGGCCCCATAGTGCAAAGGCCAAAACACCAAGTACCAGCGTTAAGAGCGTAGTCGTGTACAGGAAATAAAGGAGACCTGGTGCATAGTACTGAAGAACAATTGATGTTCCAGATGACACATGTCGATTTACAGTACAAGGTAGTGCCTGGTGAAGAGGTCCGACTAAGCACAAAGTTAGCATAAGAACTATGCTATCACTAGCTTCAGATGCTTAAAAAAAATGCTAAAAATATCTAGACCTGGCTTTTGTCAGGACTGTAGCTCATGAAATTTGTTGACTTATTAGGTCTTGCAGATGCCTTTTACCTCTTGAAATAGTTTTGAAATGCTCAAATTTCACCAAAAGTTGAGAATATCCAAGAATATTTGACTTTATTCCGTTTTATTTGAATTCATTTCCAGAGGAAGAGATAAACACAACTCATGAATCACATCCAGAAGAAAAAAAAGTCCGGAATATTGGAAGTACACAAAATGCTGGTGTATGTGCTACTGCTGCCCGACTGCTGCTATTCTTAGGATTAGCATATATCTTGTGCTATTCTTAGGATTAGCATATATCTTTCTTACCTCCCTGAGCTCGATCAGCTTCAGTTGCTGCAAGGAAACTGACGACGAGGAACAGGAAGACAAGTCCCATGAGCATCGCAACTTTGAAGGCATTGCTGGCAGGAGGCTGCTGCTCAGCATTTCGATTCTCAACGCCGGTCACTCCGAAGGAGATTAGATTCAGATGGGTTTTTTTGCAATATTTAAGATGAAAGCATTTTTTACCATCTTGAAACACCTACACAGTATAATTAACAACAAGGTACAGTACAGAACGTGTTAGTACTACAACTAATTCTAGAATAGAAAGTAGAATGTCTGTTTGCCCTCGACAAAACAAAAGTCTGACTCGCCGTCGCCCTTCCTTCTCATCATACATAACAACAAGCTAGCCGCCCTCGGGAAGGTGAAGTCGCTAGGCTCCTGATACCCAGCTAGTTTGTCCGGTCGATCGATCTGGAGCCACAGGAATAGGAAAAGCAACCACGCTCCTAAAATGATGCTACACGGTATCAGGATGTAGCCAGGTATTTGGCTCCAGACAGAGGTCCACCCCTCTCCAGAGGAGAAGAGTGAAACGAGCATTTTTTTGATCTGATCGTCTCAATCCCTGAATGGTACTAGTGATGGAGGGGGGCAGAACTTGCTGCGAGTAAGAACGTATTGTGTAGTAGAGGCTTTCCGCTGCTAGACCCGTGTAAGTATATCCTACGGACTTTTCCTGCTCTTTCCACCCTTACCAGTGCCTCTGCCTTCATTTTCAATTTTCATGCTAGAGAGGGATCCATAGCTTCCTGTAACTCTCATTTTTCGCTCTAGGAAAAAGCTCATTCTAGCACAGGCACAGCTTCAGCTTCGCCACAGCTTCAGCTTCGCCACAGCTTCAGCTTCGCGTCTTTCAAATGCCTATGCTTTGCTCACTTTCTGTGCGATTCCACAAAAGCGGACCAAGAGGACATGTACTTATGCGTGTGAAATCCTGAAGATCGTGCTTGTTTTCTTGGAAAATTGTCCCATGTATGCGAAAAGTCAACATCAATATGATGCGATAGAACCAATACCAAATAAAAGGAAAGAAAACGAAAACCCATAAGTCGTACCAATACCCCAGTCACCAGAATCTGAATCCTTCAACTTTTACTACATAGAGCCTCTTGCCGTAGTTCGAGGACTCGGAATGGTCGAGCCACCTGCTATGCTCCCAGACCGCGCAGACATCATCGCGTCGCCTCCCATCATGCCAGCCATCATGCTCATTCCGCCACCCGCGCCAGCAGGAGTGGGATTAGAAAGTCTTTGTACGAGTAAAGAGCAGAAGTTTCCCTCCTAGTTCGTTCAAACACGAAGATGTTTACGTGGTTCATGGTGATCAAGAGAGTCATTGATAGCACTACGACACCATACATGTCATGTCATGTCAGGGAACCTCATTTTACGTTATACAAACGTTACGGAGGAAGAAGAACTTGTTACTGTTCACAAGCTCATAACACCTCCTCCTCCTCCCATCGCTCCCATCGCACCTCCACTTGCTGGAGGACCACCTGGCATCATGGGTGCGGAACGACGTGCTGCAAACCGCTCGGTTAAGCTCGGCATCCGCCTGGAAGCAGGGTCTGACGAAAGAGCTCTTCGGAAAGCTTCTTGCGCCAATTTCGTATGTCGTACGGATTGGTAGCCCTGAAACCACAGCTCTAATCGGAAAGCGGCTTCCTCGGAGGATGAAAAGAGAGGTTGGTGGGAAAGAGAAGGACTATATGAGGGTAGCGTTGTCTGAGGAGGGCCATGTGAGGGTAGAACTTTGGTTCTCTAGTTCCTCGATTAATGTCTGGAGGAGCAATAAGATGCAAATTTCTGCAATGATCACAACGAATCACAAGATGCCTCCTGTGTGTTACACATCAACGCCTCGGCTTCTGAGTCCACTTGTTCAAAGGGTCTGAGAGTCTGAGTCAAAAAGGGTCTGAGAAACAATAACAAGTTCATCCACCAGAACCGTAAATTCTCCTGTTGTCTTGCTTGTCTCACTTCTTGAAAGGCCTCCTGAATTTGGATACGCTTCTCCTTCTCACTGTCTCTTTCCTTTCGCAAACTATCCACTTGCTCAAGTAGGTTGCCATGCGTGGAAGCCATCGCCAGTTCGTGTTGGCTCTTCAGCTCTTGCAACCCCATCATATGCTCACGCTCGATCATACGACGCTGCTCGTCGGCCCTGTCGTGCGGGGTGAGAATGAGATAGTGAATAATGCTGGGTGACAAGCAGTACAACCAGCACGAGAAATTAGGTCAGAAACGACTTAGTATTAGAAATAGCTGATCCAAATTCTTACCAATATGCAAGAATTTCTGACTTATTATTCCATTTTAATTGAATTCATTTCCTGATGAAGAGATAAACACTGCATATGGATCAGATATGTTGTCCTTCATATTAACAACAGAACGATACACCACATTTTGCCCCTGAATCACCTCGGTACGGTCTATTTTTCTGGTGTTGTTCATGGCAGTTGACTCCTTGCAATCTCGCTCCTTGCAACTAGCTACCTGATAGAAGAAATACCTTCTCTTCTCTTCTTGCAGTTCTTTTTCTCGAAGCTCTTCCCACTCTTGACTGCGTTTTTCCATGTCCTGCATTGCCTCATGTTTCAAGGCCTTTTTGACTTCGACAATTTCCTGATCCTTAGCCTTCAACTGTGCGTTCAAGCGGTCCTCTGATTGGCGCAGCCGTTCGCTCGCTTCTGCGTTTTTCTTCTTCTCAGATTCGTTTACAGCAAGCATCTTGTCGTGCTCGAACTTGTTGGTGTGGTTAGAGGATACAACGTGATGTTGCGGAGACTGAGTGTGAGACAATTGAGCTACTTCAATAGGATGAACAGAGACATTGAACCTCTCTAAAACCAAATCGCAACTATACTGTTACTGATATCACGAAAAGTCATCTGCCTGTGTATTAATCCAGTTTCTTCATCTTCAACTTCAACATCTTCACCTTCAACAATCGCCATAATCAACGCCAATTTCTCATTTTCACATGCCAATTTCACCCTTGCAATTTCATGTTCCATTACCGCTTGCATCCTCGTGTTTTCAGTAGCAGTGGCATCCGCAACCATCTCCTGTCTCTTTTTTTCCATTCGTGTGTTCAGATGCCGATTTTGTTCCTGTATTTGAAGTAAGAGGGTCCAGTTGTAGAAATAGGAGAGCAGTCAGAAGTGGGAGGGTGGCTCGTGTCGGTGGTAGTTATTATTAACATCATAGAATATGGAGCAACTCGCAAAAAAGAGAGCGGATGAGATTGAGGTAGTGATTATGAACATACCTCAATCTCATCCGCTCTCTTTTTTGCGAGTTGCTCCATTTTCTTTGCTTCTTCGATCTGCTCACTCAGCTCCTTCTCCGCTTCAGCGAACCTGTCTTTGTAGAAACTGTGCTTGCGTTTCCAATGCTCCAGTTCTAAGTGGTGCGTTTCTCTATCCCCTTGCATCTTCCGTATAGCCTCGTCTCGTTCTCGCTCCCATTCAGTGTTAGAAGCTGACTACCATGGCAGTGGCAGTGGCTAAAGAACGACTAAGACCACATCAAGAGCGGTTACTAGTTACAACTGCAGGTACGTTGTCACTCTGACACAACAAAACGAAAACCATCTGTAAGCCCGTCCATAACCTTCGCCATCGCTGCTGCTGATTTTTTCTCCTCTTCCCACTCTACTTCCCTTTGCGCGATAAATGCTGAGCATTCACTTTCTAACAATTTCTTCTCCTCCTCATGAATTCGTTGTAAGCGGACACGCTTCTCTGCGTTTTCTCTGTCGCGTCTCTGCATCTCCCCAGCGAACTCGTCACGTAGCATGTCTGTCAACTCCTCTTTCTTCCGCAAAACTTCGGTGAAGAGAAGTACGTAATTTTCGTGGGTGGCAAGCAACTGCGCGAATTCATCCTCAAGTTTAGCAACATGCTGCTGATGCAGAAGATGCGCGCGTTGGGCGCCGGGTGAGCTGTTCGAGATTAGAGTGGATTTTAGGAGAAGAGTTTTGAGATTGCAGAATACTACTTACCCGTATAGTACCTTATATCGATATAAAACCGTATCTACTTACACCTCTGAACAAGTAGATCCATAATCTTATCCCTCCTCCTGCTCCCCCAAACAAAGCTGATCCACCATTTTTGTAATACGAAGTATGCTCTGGCGAAGCACTTCTTCTTTGTCGACCTGAATTGCTTAGTGATCCTGCTCGCGTTGGAGTTCCACTTCTCGCACCCTGCAGCACTATTGGTGAGTGTGCCAGAGTTGTTGAACTACTTGTATTCATCTGTGATGATACACCTTTAGAAGTAGCATTGTTCGTTCTGGTTCCGGAATGGTTCCGTGATGAAGATGAAGCACCTCCTACTCCGACTCCTACCATTTCCCTTGGTCCTTTACTCCTGCCAGCAGGCTCAAACTGTGCGCCACCACTTGATGTGCTATCGTACGTCATCGTTGTTCCGCGCGCGGTTCAAATTGAAATGGGTCAGTTCGTTGGGGTACAAAATCAGTTCAATTTGTGGGCGATAGGGCAGGTATGCGAATCTCCTGAGCATTTGTCTGCACATCGCTTCAAACCTTTCCATCAAGAGTGTACTTGAACACCCACACAAATCACACTGAAAACGAGATGCTATTCAGCACATCTTTCATCTTGCCATACATTGCTCAATGTCAACTTATCATTGAGATTCCGGTTTCGCCGTGTTAGCTTTTCAATCTCCTCTCGTGCGGACGTTGTTTGAACGCTAAACTTGTGCTGTAGACTGCGCTTTTCCGCAACCAGCTCGAAAGTTGAAGAGACAGGGGCCGTGAGGTGACCTGGAGGTGCAGCAAGCAAAAAATACATGAAGATCTACGTTCTAGTTACTAGATGCCAAGTAAGCTCCAGTGAGGTTCCATAACTCATGATCCTTCAACAATGTCGCCACTTGTCTGCTCACATGTTTCAGCTGGCTTTCTTTCAACCGCAAATCTGCTTTGTACTCAGCGGCTGTTCGTTGTGATGCAGCGATGTTGCCGGGTCCTCCGTCGCCGGATCGGCCTCTTGTTGAGGATGAGGACAACTGCGCTGAGCTACCGGGAGCTCTCCTTGTCGACGCCGCGATAGTGGCTGAACTGGGTCCCGGTCTGGTTGTAGATGAAGAAGCACCACCACCACCTCCGGCTGTTGGAAAAGCTGTTGACGGTGATGTTGGTGATTCTGCTCGTTCTGCATCATTGTCGATAGCTTCGTTGGGCGATGGCATCTTCGGAATGTGATCAGACTCAATAGCTCGTCTGTATCTATCGACCACTGCTTATTCTTATGCATCTTTTTTTTTGGTTAGCTTTTTTTTCGATTATTTTTCTAGTCTCTGGATACACTAGCACATTTTTGCTCACCCACTTCAACATTTTTGCTCACCCACTTGTTGCCATCCAGCTTCTGGCTGACGCACACTGTTTCTTTGATTTCAACACTTCTTGCGAGGTAGCAAAGCCAAAGCAAACAAAAAGCTAAAAAAATTGAGTCCTCGTGGCATGCAAAGGTAAAATTTTCAAAAACAAATCTTCTACTACGACTCAGGACTAGGAGTCTCTTTTTAATAAGTATTTGCATTGCATCGTCCCCAATCTTCACGATGTAATCCCTGACCCTACAGGAAAATCGTCTTCTCCGTACTCCCCTCCCGTCACCATCGTCGGCGACGTCAGCATCACCAACATCAGTGTGGCGATTAGCAGAAATAGAGACGCTGCAAACGCCAAGCAAGGCCCATCCAGACTGTCCATCCTGTATTAGAGTCTGCTAGATTGCCTCTCGGCGTCCTCATCTTGACCCCTTTTACCTTGTATCTATTATTCAAATGAGAAGAATACAGGGGAACAAAAGGAGTATTTCTTCACGAGAATACAAGGGAAAATACAGGGGACACTAAATGTTCTTGCCGAGAATGATGGAAACGAAAAAAGCTGACCAGCATAACTGTAGTTTTTGTTGTTCACCGCCTGTAGAGACTGCAAAATGTCGACCCGGTCTTGAAAGATCAACAGAGACCAGACGAAGTAGGTACTAACCACAGGCGCACAGCAGAATGCAATGCCACGCCAGAAATCGCTTTGCGCATGGGCGATGTATCGGAGGAAGAACAGGAATAACAAGCCGTGCTTCACGTAGTGAATCAGCGTTCGTTCGTTGGCGAAGAAAGCTTTGAAATCCAGGACACCCATGTTTCTCATCTTCAAAGAAGAGGTGGAGTCTGGAATCGGAGAAGACGAGCACGAGTAGTTGTTCACATTCTTATTTAGGTTCTTCACCATGGAAGTAGGCAGCTCGATCATAGATGAAGAAGGACTGGGCGGTGGTGACTTGTAACCTGAAGTAATATGTTCTCGGGCAGCCTGATCCTGAAGTTGTAGTTGCTGTCCACCTCCAGCAAAGCCTCCTCCCCCAAACATTTTTGCCCTCCACCAATGAGGCTTCGAGACGCACACCTCTGGATGCAATAACGCCATAGCATGTTGAAATTTGCTAAACTTGTACACCTGTGTAATTCTACAGTCACGCAGTAATTGCGCTACCCATGGAGGGTTTTCCTCGAGACCGGCTAGTTTGACTTCTAAAATTGCGAAGGGGAAGATGTAGTCCTCATCCTGTTGATGTTCTTGCTTTTCGAGGATGTGCACCTTTTGCTGTTGTTGTTGTTGTTGTCCTTGATGGTTCCCAAAGAAGTTCTTTGTTGAAGCGCTATTGAAAGGGTTTATTGAGGAGTTGTTTTGATCCGCCTTTTTTGCTGAGTATGAGGAAAAAGTTGGTCGTCCAGGCACCGTAGTCCCACCACCTCCAGAACCTGTCCCAGCACCACTCGCATTCGAGCTGCTCCCAGCCAATTTCGTCGTTGGACTGCTTGTTGATGATAGTCGTGATGTACTTCGCGAGAAAGAGGGTCTCAACAATTCACAGTAGTCCTCCAGACCTTCTTCTTCCTTCTCAACCTGTTCTGGCCGATACTCGTTCCGTAGCTTCGTTTAAAGGTCACCAGTCAGTGGCCACTGATTCTGAACGGAAGAGACCACCTCCAAAGGAGCTCCCCTTTTATTTCCGCTGTTGGTTCTCTCAAGAAGGAAGGGGTCTCCTCTTCTAAATCTTTTTCTAAATGGTGACTGACTCCAATCTAAAAAATGGTGACCACAATCTGAAAGTTGAGCCTTAATTCATCTCCGTATCTAAGGAAATCCTCAATTCGTTCGAAGCAGCAGATTGAAAGGCACATCGTTTGTAGGCTGTGCGGATCATAGGTCGAAGTTCGTCTTTCTTGATCATCGTGGAGACTTCAGAAGCTAGATCGTGAAAATCCTCTAGCTGTTCTTCCTTCAAAGGTTGTTTTTTTCCGCGAGAAGACCCGAAAAATCGCAGGTTCTGGACATATTGGTCGACATCGAACTCCGACTTGAGAAAGCCACGAAGTCGTTCTCGCGGGAGAGTGAAACGCTCTTGGAGATTAGAGGAGGTAAATCTAAAAGAAGTAGATGAGGGTTCAATGCAGAGTAGACCTCGTTCCTATTACGGTTATTTTAGAGGTAGGTTTGTGGTGCTCGCTTACCCCGCTTGTTATGCCTTTCGTCTTTAGGAGAGGCATAAAAAGTGGTAAGAAAAGCACCTTTAACCTACGCTTAATTATTGTAGGCAAGGTGTTGGGAAATGATTTTCCGCCTCTCCATCATAATTGTACTCGATTCCGCTACCCAGCATTCGTGATGGATTTTCCGTTCCACGAATATCTCCTGAGACTTCGCAAATTCTGTCGTCTCATACCACCTACACCTCACTAACCTCGCTCCTTCCTCGCGATACACCCGACGCCGAAAACAGACTGCATGCTCTGGGTTGTCTAAGTAGACAGAACTGATCTGTTGACTGTCGGAAAGATGCGGTGGAGGTTGGCTTTGGTTGTCGGAAGGCAAACCTGTTTCCTGAGGTTAGAGATGTTGGGTCGAGTGACGAGACGAGAAAGCCCCGGGAAATTTTAGCGATCCGTCTTGTGGGCGTGGGGACGAACAAGGAGGTGATAAGTTGATTATTCACATCTGATGAACTTCCCCTACCATATCATCGATGAAGTTGAAGGAGGTGATAAATTGTATTACTTATTCAAATACAATCAGTTCTTTTACCATAAACCGGTTCCCGGAACGGTTGCAACAATATTTTCCCCAGCTCTTCTGCCGTTTTTCCGAAGATCAAGTACGGCAAGTGCTCTAAAATCCCAGCTTTTAGACGCACGACCTCGCTCTTCGGAACCCAATATTTCTGTGTTTTCCGAACGAATTTGAGTCCTCCACGCCACTGCTCGCCTCGTGCAGAGCCTCCTCTTAGCAATTGCCATGTCAGTGACAACAGGATCAAGAGTTCGTCTAGTGGTAAGTCGTTTATTCTCCTCGTAGTTGTGCGGTCAACATCAGATTCGTTCAGATGAGGCGGAAAAGCAGAGTCGGATTTGACTACGTCCTGAAGCGAAGATGTCCTCCGTGTATTGACTCCACTCTCATCTTCATCTTCCGAAGAAGTGTTCGAACTGGAACACGATGGGGTCTGCTTCGCCTCTTTTGTCATAGTAGTACTTCTTCTAGATGAGTCGTCCATAGAAGTAGATTCGATCTTCGTATTCGAGAAAAACTTCCCCACCAACGCCCCCAAGCATTTCTTGTTGTCGCGTAGAAACTGGTCAAGGAGGACGATCTCTGCTGCTTGTTCCTGAATGCGTCTGCGTATGCCGTCTTCGACAATGTTTGAAGTTGATGGGGAAGTCGTGGCTTCTCTACGCTGCTTGCAAGCGCAGAACCGAACTAGAAACTAGGTAATACTTTTCTGTAGTTTCAGTACTAGTACAAATTTAACCGAGCTAGAAACTACATTTCTGCTACGAAGGATTTAGTACTTTTCTGTTTCAGGAGTACAACTGCAACCTCCCGTTATACTTCTATGAGTACTAGGATAGATCCATGAGAAATACTACAATTTATTACCTTTGTTGTAGTAACCACAATTACTTACATGATCATTACCAACATGTCAAGGTTGGTCCTGATCATAGATGTTTATGTAGTAACCACAATTACTTACATGCTGATTGCATTTCTTCATCCATATCTGTGCTCCTACAGCTGCGCCACCACCTCCCTCAGCCCCCGCACCCAAAAGCACCTCCTCCAACTGCAGAATCTCTTTGCACAGTTTTCTCAACGTGTTTTGGATTGCCTCATATCTGAGCAAAGCGAAATTATTGGCCTTCCGCAGTTCGAGTCTGAGGCTTTGGCTCGATAAAGAACTTCCGACAGTGTGAACGGAAGGTAGAGAGCATTCTCGATACCGTTCCGCGGGGTCGCGGTCAGTTAAGGATGAGTAATGGAACATGTTGATCCTGCTGATGTCTTTATGTTATTGGTCTGGGATTTGGTTGTTGGGGTGTCGTTGTTTTTTTCGAAGTTCGTGGTGTCTGTTGCATCATCGGTTTTCACCTCATGGAATTTGAAGAAGAAGAGGGAAGGCTTTCTCTCAGATGCACAACATAGACTCTAACTCATTCTCGAAAAACATAGACAGTAACTCTAACTCTTGAAAGTAATTTCAGCGTGGCTATCAGACCTCTCCTGACCAATGCAGCCACTTTTTAGTTGTCCGCGAAAGTGTGTTCACCTGCTATTCGCTCCGCTGCAATCTTTCGCTACGGCTAGTTTCCAATCCATAAGCTCTTTCGAGTTTTCAATCCGCATGATGATGCATCTGAATCTTGTTAATCTTTCTTGTTGACGAAGCAAGTCGCTAGTGCGTAAAAGCAAGGTCTTCTTGGAAGCTCAACATGGTGCATTTAAATGACACTGAGTGAATGTCAATCTCAGTATGCTTCACAGCTATGATCATGAGGCAGATTATTGAAACTTGATGTTACCTCTTTTCGTCTATTTTTAGTGAAGGATTATATGCTAAGCAAACTCACATACGATGAAGATGAATCGTTGAGTCATTAGATATTCTTGTAGGCTATCATCTTGTCTTCAACATCACGAGGACATACATAAGAAAGTCACAGTTTTTCTTCTTTTGCAGCAACATTGTAAACTATTTGTATTTCTCGTATTGTTCCATGCACCCATTAAGTATATATTTTCTTTTCCTTTTCTTTTCCTTGAAGGCAACAGGCATTCTCTACCTCCAAAACCTCTCTCTTCACCTCCTCCTCCTCGTCCTACGCGCCGGCCTGCTCCTTCTTCTTCACCTCCGAAGAGTCCTCCTTCAACCATGGATCGTGGCTGGTCTTTTCGCCCAAAATTCGCTTCACCCAGTAGTCCAACGTTGCTCGATCGTAGCTCACGTCCTTCGGAAACGGTGACTCCAGGTTTAGATGAGGTAGTACTTAATCGTAATTAATATAGACTTCTACTTTAATAGACTTCTAGTACTTTAGTAACTTCTACTTTAATAGAATTCTACTTTAATAGACTTCTAGTACTTTAGTACCCTCAGGAAACAAGCACAAAGTTATCAATGATACAACGAAGATTAACTTCTACTTACGTCAGCACTTCAGTAACAACTTCAGAAGTAGAACTTCATCTACTTACAACATCAGCTGCACATCTTCAGCATCAATAATGTTGGTGGAGCATATCTATTAACTAGAAAAAACAAAAACCGACGAAAGAGCATGATGTATATGAAAAACGACAGATTTTCATGCTTACAAAAAACGACTGTATTTTCATCATACTAAAAGAAAAGTCAGGCTCAGGCAAAAATTTCAACCACCTTAACTTCAACAATTTTTTCGCTTGGACCGGATCGTTTAGCTGATCCCAGCTATCGAGCCAGACGACAGGAAATTGGTCCCAAGTATCCATTAGTTCTGCATGTGCTGGGTCCTTGAGCATGACTGGAGTGACTCCCTTAGCATGAGAGTGGGGTTGGGGAGGAGAGCGAGGGGGAGGAGACAGAGTGGGGAAGAGAGAATCAGGAAGAGAGAATGGGGAAGAGAGAATGGGGAAGAGAGAATGGGGAAGAGAGAATGGGGAAGAGACAGCGAGAGAGATAGAAAGGGTCACCTCTTCTTTGATGGATCACCTCTTCTTTGATGTGTACTCGCGTGGGTCCAAACGGGAACGATAGTGTCTGTATCAGTATCTGCAATAAAGAGGACGATGGTGTCCTTTATCTGAGTACAAGAATATACTTATCTAAGGACGGATGTTGGTGTCATTATTTTTTACCTAAGTACTTCTCATCCAATGCCATAGATATACAAAGCCTCATAGAGGCGATGGGTATCCGGTTGCGCACCTCGCGGGCAAGCGATGAAACTGTAGCGGGACAACAGCCGGTAAAAATCAGCACTGGTGGTCGGGTCGCCCGAGGTTGAGGTGGAGCCCCTTCCACCATTTGTTAGAAGAGGACAAGATTGGTGTCGGACAACACGTACACGCTTCTTGATTTTTACGCGGCCATTACAAGTAGTACGCGGCTATTACCACGAGGAGACTCGCTCAGAGCGAAAACGAGGATTTGTTCGAAAATTACAACCTGAAATTTGAACCATCAAATCTCAATTTTCATGAAAATCCCAAATTTTTTGATTTTATTCCAGTTTAATTGAACTCATTTCCTGATGAAAAGATAAACACACGCAAGAATGACTTACTGGGAGATTCTAGAAAGTGGACAAGATGTGGAAAATGAAGAGTGGTAGATCAGTGTCTTCCTACTAGTAGTCGTGATGTTTGAATCAGCTCGGTATCATAGTGATAGTGAAAGCTTTTAACACATGAAAATAAGCTGTGGAGCGGAAGGAACATGGCAAAAACTTACACAGACTACTCTACATCTAAGTGCCCATCATGTGTAGTATAGCTAACTACACATTCTTGCCTACTGTTCTTAACAGTAGTCCGCTGTACTCCGAATGATCACCAAAACGTTCTCGACGCAGAAGCCCGGATGCAGAGGTCTCCAAAAACGAAGTCTGCGACGGCTGCACTAGCCACGTGTCCTTCTCGAAGGAGCCGCTTAGGGTAGGGTTAGAACTAGAGGAACCTGAAACGGGATTTACTTCGCGAAACCAATACAACATTTTCACAGGGCTCAGCATCCATCGAAGATATCACACGACAAGAAGAAGAACTTGTTAGAAGTTTACTACGTAGCCTTAACATTTTCACTCATGATAATATCTGCGAAGTCCCACTTTTTCGCAGTATCTAGGAGTTCTTTGCGACCCTTCTGCGCCAGCTGTCTTACATTGATCAGCATTCGTCCATTTTTCAACGAAGACAGTGGCCTTGAGGATACTGTTGCTGACTTTGACGCTGTTCTGGAGGTTTGAACGTTCTTCATGTTGTTGGAGGTAACATGTTCTTGACGGCCTTGAGCCAATACCAGTGGTTTCTTTGCATCGCCTGTCGTTCCATCTGAAACACCCCAAATCTCTTGTCTCGCCTGCTCCAATGCAGCCTTATGCATCATGCGGTTGAGCCCAATTGGCAGGGAGACGCGCGCTCCCGCCATCTTATCGTACACGTCATCGTGTGCACCGAGAGCACCTTCTTCTACTGGCTTCTGAAAGTTTGACCAACTGTACCAACGAGTGAGTCGGTGGTGGAAAGGATTAGAGTGGAGGTGGAGAGTGAGACTGACGTGTCAGTGTGAGACTGAGGAAGAGGTGAGGGGTGATCATGTGTGAACGTGAAGTGTAGTGGGATCACCTCTGAGAGGAATAATTTGAACTGTTTCATGCTTGGATGTTGTGATCAGGATTAGTACTCGAATAACTACCGTTAATAACGAGCAAGAATCCATGACCCGTAGCTTCAATCAGAAGAGGACATCAACTACGATTCAGTGAAAGTACAAGTAGTTTGAGATGTACCACCATTGAAACGAGTACGCAGTTGTCGTCGTGTCTTGCCATATTATTAGTCTGGTTATCCCAGAAGAGGTGTAGCTGTTTCAGATTGGGACCGAAGTCTGCCTCCTGCGCTACCCACACGAAGTTGTCCGCAGTGTGCGGCGCAATCAGTTGTGAGCAAACATTCATCATCTTATCCATGCTGCTGTTAGACGAGGGAAGGAAGGGCTAGCGTGGTCTGTTAGGGTGTTCTTGTTCGGGTCTCCTAAAGTTGAAAAGGTAAGGAAATGATGCGACTCGGACCAGAAGGCGTCAAAAGGGGCTACTAAAAATTGCGGATCTACCTAAGCGGATGTGGAATAGTTGAAACCATCCATAACATCGCTCTTCGTGCAGATGATGCTAGTGCTAGTACTAGCACTTCTGTCCACTTCTACCAGTCCTGGCTGGTCGATTCGTCCGCCACTGTCCATGATTGACGTGTAACGTGACATCAATCGCGCGAGCGCAGTTCCAGCCGGTACAACATTGGACGTCTTCTTGCTTGTTGAGTTTGTAGTTTGTGCAACTGATGAGCCACCTTGTCTCTCGCCATCGTCCAGAAGGGTAATAAAAGTACCGAGGTCGAAAGCTGCCGCGCCATCTGGTGCTCGTGCTACTGCGTAGTTTAGAAAGAAAGGCTTATGCCGACACTCATTTGCTTCAAAGCGTGACAGCTGCGCTAGCTACTTACTAGTCTCTGGCGCAGCTACATAGAGAGGCCACCTCTCTCCATCCCTAGCGGTCGGCTATCCTCAGCCATCAGCATGAACAAACGTGGCCAGGTCACCACTGCAATCAAGAAAGCAAGCAGCAAGACCCTGAAACAATGACACCAAGCAAAGCAAACCAAACAAGGCCAAAGGCCACACCCCGCCCACCCGTAGGGGGTCACATGCCTGCACTGCCAAAGCTTCACCATACTGCCTGACACTCAGCAGCAACGCCGATGGCTCTCCACTACATTCGACATCAAAAACGAACCGAGGCCCGAAAAGGTCGGCGCACTGCCTGGCCCTCCACAGCAGTGACCCACACCCTACACGAGAGCGGCAACACAAGAAGACAGAGGGAGCCCAAAGCCACGCTCGCCACATATCTCCCGCGCTCGCAGCCATCCGCAGCATGTAAGTACGACACACGCCACGGCGCCAATCCTCTACGCCGTGGCCCTTGGGTTTCACATGCGGCTATTTATCCGCTACAAGAGCGCCGCCTGCTGCAAGCGGGGAGCTTTCGTCGCTGTTCAGAGGGAGGGCCATCGGCAGCGCCTTGCACCCTTCAGCCGCTTCGCTGCCTGGTCAGTGTCGAGGCGGGGCACACTCGCACGCGCGGCCCCCCCTGCTCCCTCTGCCCTCTCCTATTGCCACCCGAGGAAGTCAGAGGAGTAGAGCACGCAACACGCCGCGGCTAGAGCTGGGAGAGCCTTGGCGCGCAAACGTTCCCCAACGAACAACGCCAGCACCCCCCTGAGCCAGACGAATGGATGCTGAGCATCACGCGTGCCATCAAAGTGGGAAGGAAAATACGAGGAAGAAACGAGCCACGGGCGGCGCCGGCACCCAGAGGAAGAAACAAGGCGCGGAGCTAGTTGAACACGACACCTCACGCGGCTTTTGCGCAGCCTTGCGCCTGCGATCCGCCTGCTCCAATAGAGCCACCAAGCCAGCCGCAGGCCAGCTACTTGCTTCGCCAAACCTCACCAGAAGGAGACTGGCCGCCCCCCTGCGTGAAAACGCCGTGGGTGCACGCTGATGCTATCACGCCAAAGGAATGAGGGCGAGGAGCTGCCCGCCGTACACGGGCCGCCACCCCCACGCCCCAACACTGCCTTCTGCCAGCGCCTGGCCGCGGTCTCTTCCACTTGTGCGGGGGCCCCGTGCGGCAAAACATAGAAGATAGACCGACCCCCCCCCCGACCAAAGGGCCCGGGATGGTGTTGCGCCCTCCCCGTGCTTCATGCGGTGGAAACGGGGGGAAGCACCCGAAGAGGCGGCGGCCACATTTTGGCGACGACCGGGGCCTGCGGCTTGTCGTCCCAGGCCGGGGGGCGGCGCGCTGCAGGGCGTGGCCGCGCCGGCATTTGCTAACTCAACACTGGTAAAAGCTGAGGGACGCCGGGCGCCTTTGGGAGCAGAGGCCGGGGAAGCTGCGTGCAGAGGCCTGCGAGAAAGTAGAACAGTGGCCAGCTGCGTTTTTTTGCTGCTTACAACGCTGAGCCTGCGAAAGCCATAATATTTTTGCATCCTGTATCTTTGCATCCAGTTCCACTAGGTATCGCAGCGTAGGCGCACTAGGCGCACTAGCTAGAGACTTCATCTTCTGTGTGCTACTAGTAGGGGACTTCGGCTCAGTACTACTATCTCCTTCTTGAAGATGAATCCTTTGCCTCTTGTTCACGTTGTTCAAGTTCACCTCCTTCTCCTTTTTTTCTTGTCTTGCAAGTTCACGGCTCACTAGTGGTGAAAGATCGAGGGCCTTCAAAGGTGGCGCGCGAGTGCCAAGAGCGAAGTCACAGACGCCGTCATTGAGATCCAATTCCGTCAACAACGGCAGGTCAGGTCGCCATCCAGCCTGCTCTAGCTCCGCACTACGGTCAGCAAAATGCAACGGCGATCTTGGATATGAAGGAGAGCAAGGTGGGGGGAAGGGATCGTGGTGACAAGAATCAATTTTTTGGTTTTGCATAAGGGAGACATAGATATAGGGTATCCTTGCGGCTTCGGAGATCATTTGCATCGGCATGGAGAGAAAGTCCTCCAAAAGTGAGCTACCTAAGTAATTCTTTAGAAGTCGAAAACCAAGACCTACAGCACTCAACCTGCCATATCACACACATTTTCTCCTGCATGTCCATTTCCTGCTTGCCCTCCTGCTGACTAGAAGTACTATTCCTCATCGTCTTGTCGCCGGATGTGTGGACCACTGCGAGAGGAGGAAGCTCCGGTGGAGGTGGGGCACTCCCTTTCAATGGCTCTCCTAGGACACAGGCGTGCGCTATATCCCGAGAGCGGAAGAACCTTGCACCGCAGACACTCGCTCGGTAGCGGTCGCAGTCGGTATCGGATAAAAACGTCGTCTTGCTGGTGGCTTGTCCTCTACTAGCATGATGCTGATGATACCGTGAAGATGTTGTCGTGCTGGTGACCTTTCTGACAGCATGAGCATGATGCCCGGCAACTGCAGCTTCGAAGTGTAGTGCTGAGAATCGGGCGGCTGCAAAAGAGGCCAGAAAAGGCCATTTGCGTCGCACTCGCATTTTGGTGGTCATGCTGCCTAGTATTCGGGGCTGCTCTATCTGAAGCATTTTTTTACAAATTGCTAGCAGGAGAAACATGCATCATGGGAGAAATTCAGAGGAAGCTACTCTATCAACAATCCCTTTGATTGGATTATTTTTTCCTGACCGTTTTGCTTTCAAATGCCTGAAACCTGGAACTTCTACTCGAGTTAACAAGTACTAGTCCTTATACTTATAAACCACAAATACTGCCCTTTGACACCTTCTGCACGAGTCTGATAACACCTCCTCACTTCGCATCCTCGCTCTTGTTGCACACGACGACCACTATTTCGAACACGCAAAAGCCAGATAAGAGTAAGACGAGCCACATAAGAGTAAGACGAGTCGTTTTCATGTCATTCCCTTAAAAATTTGGGACTGAGAAGCGCTATGAGAAATATGCTGCTTCTATGCGTCACAAGACTCTGTTGACAATGCAGATGCGTGCTGGTACCCGTGTTTGCGCTTCCCCATGAACGAATATCTAATCTTCATCATGAACATGATCGTTATTTTTACCCATGCTTTCCGTAGAAGTGAACAAATGATAATAAAGCTGTGTTGAGAAGGAGAAGGCTAGGTTAGGTTGTGAATCCTGCACATCAACGCCCCCCGGCACGTGGCTTGACTCCGAGGATGAATAGGCGACCTGAATAAAGTCGACCACGAACACCGAGGCATATGACCTGAGTAAAGTCGTCGCCGTTATAGATGACCGATGTCCCCGTGGATCTTCCCTCTCCTCTCGGTGACAGACAAAGGAGAACGAAAATAAGGTTGATCTGAACTCTTCACAATATTTCACAACGACCATCACATGATGGAAGAGTACTTAGATGCAATTAAAGGTAGATGAAATTCGCGTGCTAGACCTAGATGAAAAGATCTTGATGACATGGAGTGCGTTCTTTGATAGCAAATTCTAGAAGCCGATAGTAAGCAAATTCTAGAAGCCAAAGACGATACTGAAATCGACATTTAATGTATTGTACTTCTAAACCGTCGAATAAAGTGATGTATTTTTCGTTAAAAGATCGATGCCATTAGATCTGCTCAAACATGCCTGTACATCCGATGGCTTTGTGGATCTGATCAGCGGTGTCCTTGCTGTTTGCCTCGTTGACACCGGTAATGCGAAACCAAGGATCGCTGCCCTTTTTCACCTGAAGCGAAGAAGAACCACCAAGCGTTTCGATGGTTAGAAGACGCAAGAAGAGAAAAGAAAGCAAAAGGGGGATGGGAGGAGAAACGTCGCGGACGTCGGGGATCCAAGAAATAATGGTGGGGTCGTATAACAGACTGACGATATTGTACTTTAGCTAGACCATGTTGTTGTCGGCGGATCGCGGAAACGTCAAATTTCTAAAAGGAAAACCCCATAGTAGTAGTGAGCATCGATGAGTTGTACTAGCACTGTATTAATGTTCTTAACTTGAGTAATGCCTCCACTTTTTCCTGCGCAGCAGAGGTTAAAGTTGACCCCTCAACCGAAGGATAACCTGCAAGCACAATTGCATCTGGTTGCACGACTAAACCGAGAATGCGGGGTTCTGATGACGTTGTTGAATGATATATAAGAAGAAAAACGAGCCAAATCAATGACAAGAACAAGACCAGCAACATTCCAAACGTCAATTTCATCAGGGATCGATAGCGATACTAGTACTTCTTAGCATTCATTTTCTACTAAGTCTTAAAAAAGTATGAAACTAGTACTTCCAGCCATTCCATCTCCAGGATTGATCCAGGTTCCTTGTTCCAAGGGCTGAAACGTATTACGCAAGTGGATCGGAAAAGGCAGTCCCGAAGGTCCTATGCGAACGGTATCGGGTTGAAGGACTTGAGCGCCATTGGAAGCGAGGGTTGGAATTAGAGGACAGCTGCGGGAAAAATATCTGGGACCTACTTCGACGACCACGACAGCTCCGAACTTCGCTCGTTGATCTTCAGGGACAAAGTACTTCTATCATGTCAGAACACTTCTGACGGATTGAATCTATTCGGCGAGCTGCCTAAGATTTCCCAGACGAGTTTTACCCGCTAGTCTAGCTTGTTGTTGGATTGTTAGTGGGATTCCATAAAAACAATTCCGCATGCGACAAGGTGTCGATTTTCTTGGCACTACACACCTTGTTCGGATCCGCAGTGAAGACTCCCGCGACATCAGTCCAGTTCTCGTAGACATCTGACGCCATAGCACAACCCAACAATGCTCCGCTGATATCCGATCCACCACGCGGCAAGGCACGCACTGCTTTCGTCACTCGATCTTGACCAAAAAAACCAGGGAGGACGACAAAAGGACCGGGGGATCTCACGCTTGAGGAGGAAGAGGCGTAGTTGCGGATTAGAGGTGGAAAAAGAAGGATGAAGAAGTGGAAAAGGTGTAGTTGCGGATTAGAGGTGGACTTAAGGTCGCATCCTTGAGGAGGAAGAGGCGTAGTTGCGGATTAGAGGTGGAAAAAGAAGGATGAAGAAGTGAGGAGGAAGAGGTGTAGTTGCGGATTAGAGGTGGTGGAAAATTTGGGCCGACATTGGGCGCGATGGCGATGAAGACGCCGTGAGCAGAGCCAACGAGATGGCAAAGGGCGCGATAAGCAGGCTGGCGCCGTAGTGAATGTGTTTTGGGCCGACATTGGGCGCAAAAAGAAGGATCTTCAAGATCTGGTCGCGGGAACAGAATTTCTCTTATTGTGATCCCTCTTCTACGTCTTTATCATCCAATCGATCCGTAAGGTCGCATCCTTCAAAGCATCCATCGTGTATTCGAAGTCGACGACAGCAGTCCCAGATGGTCCGTTCTTCAAGAAAACCGCATCCTCAGGGTCCACAAATTTGCAATCGGGCAAAGCCATTGAGATAACTTGGCCAGCGAAGTACTCACCGCGAGACACCACAAAGTCGTAGTTCTGCAATTTCTCCTCGGGATTAGAGGACAGGAGAGAGAGGAACAAGATGAAGAGGGCAGGGAACAAAGGAGCCAGGTCCTGTGTACGCATGCATCTACTTTTTTTTTGACTTTGTCAACATAATCTCCGACTCCAGCAGCTGCTTCACCAACTGGTTCACCAAACTATCGGAGTGAGAGGATGAACCAGCACCGTCAGCTCCAGACGTGAGACTGCTGAGCATACCAGAGAATCGCAACCCAATTTCCTCCACCAGTGTTTCCTTGTCTTTTGTACTCGCTTCGGCAGAAGTGTGCATCTTATGTAAGCGGATCAAGAGATCAGTCGTCTTCACATCTTGCTTATGGCGTTTGCCTGGCGCAGAAACGACGACGCCAATGCGTTTGGGGACAGTGGTGGAACAACCTTATGGTCGTGTAAGAAATTTCGAATAGGTGAAAATGCAGCAAGAGCAGGTTCGTCTACCAACGATGCAGTTTTTCGTGATCCACATCATCAATCGGATTCATCGGTAGCCACTGCACACATAGTACAGAAGTACTAGAAAAAAACACAGTATCAATCTATCACTCTTACCTGCCGCCAACAAAATGTCTCGCACGTGGCCTAGGGATTCTTTGGTGGCCATAGAAGTGCCGCCGAACTTGCAGACTGCCGTTCTGGCAGAGGACGTTGCGAAAGAACGCATTTTTCCAAGAGCAAGTCTTCAAGAAGAAGAATCTTCAAATAGAATGCTGAAGCTCTCTTCAAGAAGAGGAGGAATCTTTAAATAGAATGTCGAAGCGCTTTGTTTTTCTGCTTGTACGTCGGGCGGACGTGGTAGGTAAGCGATAGGGATATCTTTATAAACGTGGGCTGTGTTTTTAATGATGCGGGCAAGAGATGAAGATGATAGAGAAACGAGCAAGTACTCTTGAAAACAAGAATGAGAGTGATTATAAACTGCGATATTACAACAAGCACATCCGAGGATGATACTCCTTGAACCTTCGGGTCCAGATGAGATCACTTTCAGGGCAGAGGGATACTTCATATAGCTGTGCGCGTAGGCATTGGGTTATCTTCCTCGCTGTAAGTTTCTCTGGATGTTTTCTACAGATCCTTCTTAGCTCTCGTTCGACACAGTGTACTGATGTCGTCTGCAATACCGAGAAAAAGAAGAATTCTCTTGTTTTCACCGATTCTGAGATTCTTCGGTTTAGTCAAGAGAACTCCAGTACAGCGCCTTCACAGACACACTTCACCCTGTTTTATTCTGCCTACAACGTACTGGACGTCGAATGGTGTAAGCTTCTATTAGAAAAACTATACTTGAATTTTTGAAGTAGACACGACCCGGCGGTCATGCCAATAAGAAGATGAAAAGCAGGATTGAGAATCCGAATGAAGACAAGGACATGAGCAAAGCAAGCAAGAGACAATTCAATAGATTGATGTCGCAAGAAAAGTTCACACAAAGACAATCCAAGAATAAGATCCAAGAATTACGAGAATCCAAGAATAAGATGAAAAAACTCAAATCCTTGTTACGTTCTGCAGCGGCGTGCTGCCGCAGAGGAGGCGCTTCGTGCTGCCGCAGAGGAGGCGCTTCGCCTTCTAATTGTAGTTTCACCACAACACAGCCAAGAGAATAAAAAGTACCCGCTCCTACCCTACTGCAATTTAATCCAAATTAAATCTGAGAGAAACCGACACAGATTGAATTTCACACTAAAAACTCCCACCGAGTTCATATTCCATGAGCACCCCATCCATCGTGATTGCAAAGACTGCCCCAGCCACTACACAACACCCTACAACCGGCTTCTTCGCTGCTTTCACCGTCGTCAGCGCACACTCGTACCGCAAACTGTACTTGACCCGTTTCACACTGACTAAATGCAAAACTGACAAGCGCGAAATCGGATTAGGCTTTAGGACAAACAGACCTTGACCTCCACCTCCGGATGAAGAAGCAGAAGAACTTCCACTCGTCAACACAGTAGTACTAAGAGGAACTAACGCTGAGAAACTTCCTGGCGTGTCTAAAGGAAACCCTTTGCCGCAGAGAGGAAGACTCGCTTTCATCCTGAAGCGTACCCTATCAGGCATGTCGCGTTCGAGCAGAACGAGTTTCATCATCTCTTGCACAGAAGGAGTTGATGTTGATGTTGAAGTTTTTTTATCTCCGAAGACGGTCGATGGAACAGCCACGGCAGAAGCGGAGTTGTCCTCTTGATTGCTAACTACACCTACAACATCGTGTTCTTCAGGAACGTTGTGTTCTTCAGGAGCACTCCTATCTTCGAGTGCTCCAGAAGTCGCTTCTCTTCCTTCAACAACCCCATACTCGTATCTGCAAACTCTAAGAGGTTCTACAGCATACAATCGGAATTGGCGTCCCGAAACCACTGCAACGAGCTGTTCTTCTAGCAGTCTGGACAAAGAAGATGTTGTTGTCGAGGACCCATCCAACGAGGACCTTGTGTTGCTTTCGAGAAGAGATGGACCTAGTTGAAGAATAGGCGTTTCTGCTTGGACTATTTGTAGTCTCCGCTCTACTGCTTCTCTCCAGGCAGCAGAGACGCCAGCGAAACGTGAGACACAGGTGCGAGCATCAAAGAACACGAAAATGTGGTGGGACAGAAGAAGATGGAGATTGTTGCCACTGCCAGTGGTATATAATTCCGTTGCCTCCCTACTAGTACTCTTCTCAGGCACTTGTGGCTCTTGGTGCAGTACAATAGCTTGTGCCCTACTGACAAGTAGATTGCGAGAAGCAGACGAAGTAGGCTCATTCTTCAATGCGAGCCGCGAGTCAGGGGTCGTAGAAGCGACTTTTGCTCTATTGTCAGTGCCTATGCTGCTTACAGCGGCGACACTCCCCTCAGATTGTAAACCTGCTCCTCCCCCAAGCCCTCCTCCTTCTCCACCTTCTTGAGGAGATGATGCTTTACTCTGTGTCTCGCTACTGCCTCTACTCCCTACCGGATCCACACTTTTTCGGTACCGTTTTCGCCTCGCCCAATCAAAAATACGACTTCCACTCGGCATTTTTGTCCAATCGAAAATACCAGCTGGAGGAGAGACAGAGGACATGTGATGATCTCTGTCGTGGTGCAAGGAGGATAGCGATGAAAGCAGCACATTGCTATGTTGATATCCTAAAGCGAGCGGACTTCCTCCAAGTCCGTCACCTCCTGCTGTAGTATTTTCGCTACTGTTGCTTCTGACTATGTTCCAGTACTTTTTTCTCTCTAATCGATGAGCGCGTGTGGAGGACACGATGTTACCGAAAAGGCTATCGATTACACGACCACCACCGCCATTTGGTGATCCTGAGCCTCGTGGTCCACCTGTAGTTCCTCCTGTGGTTGCTGGACTGCTTATTGTAGAAGAAGTGTTGCCTTGTTCACCACCACTACTAGCGTAATCTCCTCCGCCTCGCAGCATGCTTTTAGCGGATATCCAGCGGTCGGTTACAGGAATCGATGCAGCTGGAATGAATTTTACTACCCAAAACCAATCGATCATTCTCCGAAAACCAGGTAACACAGACGATGCGCCCATAATGCCTTGCAACAGCGGGTCGGAGGCACGTAGTTCTCCTAAAACAGCGAAGTCTTGATCTACACCTCCATTTAGGTTTTTACTTGTGATGTTATTGAAGTGATTGCTATTTTGCTGTAGGTGTTGTTCGTCTTCGGAATCTTGAGGTGGGCGACTACTTGAAGATCCTGCAAGTCCTCCTGTTCGTGTCATAGTAGTCATTTCCGCTTCTACCGCAGCAACTGCCTGCATCGGCATACTAGAATCTGGAAGGCTAGGATCATCGCGCTCTTCTCCTGTTGCTGTTAAGGGATCAATCATGTCACCAGGGAAGTTGTGAGGGTCCTCGTTATCGCTTGAGGCAGCCACAACTATTGTTGTTGAAACTTCAGGTGCTCCAGCCGCGCCTATTGCCTCTACTTCTTCGTCCCGAATAACATCATACCTCGAAGAAGAACTGCTGCTAGCGCCTACTGCTGTTGTCGCTAATGCACTGGAAGTTCCCTCTGCTCCTCGTAGTCCTGCTTCTCCCGCAACATGCAAGGCATCTACTGGTGCTTCTTCAGCTAGACTACTGCTCGCTGCATTCCTCAAAGACAGCTGATTCACGCTGCTGGAACTGCTGCTCGTTTCGCCATCTTGCAACAGGAGCAAAGCCCCCTGTCTTGCCCTGTTGCGACTGACCGGGGACAGGTTTTCAGCTTGTTGAACTAACCACATCGCGTGGGCTCTTGCTTGCGCACGACGTGCTTCAGAAGAAGAAAAGTTACTTCTAGTCAACCCGTCGCCGCCTCTAGAAAGGTGTAATAAACTCGACGATTCAACATCTTGTAATATCTGACCATGCTGAAGCAGGTGTTGTTGATTCAGTAGTGCTTCTGACAAGTCCCCTGGAGCGCCGGTTATTGGAAGGAGTCCAGGACGTGATGGTGTTCCTCGGGTTCCGTTATCAAGAAGAACATGATCAACAACATTCTTACCCGGACTGGCGACCACCTTCACTAGTCCTGCATTCCCACCATTCCCACCATTACAACCTCCACTGCTCGCACTGCCAGAAGATACCTTCAGATCTCGTATGGTCACTGGATACTTCTCTCGTGTCCTCTGCATTCTGGCGATTCTCAACCGACCATCCAAGCACGTCCAAGCCAGCAACGATCCGTCGTGCGACAAGTCAATACAGGGGATGTTCCCAGCTCCACGACCACTCTCTAAAACAGTTGAACTCACCATCTCCACACGGCGCGAAGGATGTTTCTTAATGTTGTTCTTGTTGCTGTTGGTCGTGTTGGTTGCGAAAGCACTAGTAGAAGTTGCGCTTCTACTACTGGTAGTTCCTCCTCCTCTATTGGTAGGAGAACCGCTTGCTGATGCTCTCGTTCTTCTCGAGGATGCTGCTGTTGGTGAAGTACCAGCACCACCGGCAAGAAGACTCAACACGCTTTCCAAAGCATTCCCAGACGACGACCTTGCTCTACTCACAGGCGACTGTGCCGGAGAAGTAGGTGCTGAGCTCATTGGAGATGTGGCTATTTGATGACTTAGAAGTGCTCGAGAACTTGTTGTAGAACCTCCAGGTGGGACGCGGCCAGGCGGAGCATCGAGAAGATCGGCGAGAACGTTGTCATCATCATTTTCAGCTTCGTTCTCAACAACAGAGGTTTGCCCTTCAGGAGGAATATGATCTGACGCAGTGACGTCGACAGAAAGATCTGCGAAGCGAGGACGTCGTCGTCTCTCCAGTTCTTGATTTTGCTCACCCCCGCCAACGTCATCATCAAGCGCGAAAGCCCTTGAAGACAGACCAGAAGCACGAGCAGTTCTTCTACTGTGTTCTTGCAGCTGCATCCCCGGTCGTTGATCGTCCGACGAGGTTGCGGCCGTGCCACCTCCAGACCTTTCATTTTCATCGTCCTCTTCTAAGAGACGAAGTTGTGCAGCTGACTTAGCGGCACTAGACGGACTCTGATTCCTAGAGCCAGGAGCTCCAGTTCCTCGCTTTCCACCTCTCCATAATTCTCCTCCTTTCCTCAACAACCTGGCGTTGCCCATTGAGAACATTTTTACTAAATGATCACTTCCACCAACGAGGACAAGTTGAGTCAGGAGATGTGTGTAATCTGGTTGTTCCTTCATCTCTTGCTGATCACCAGTTGTGCTGGTGCTAGTGCGAGTATTGCTAGCGTCCTCTTGCACCATCATGTTGTAGTTGGGACTCATATTCATGCTGTTGAACCTATCTTCATGCTTACTGTTGTTCTGTTAGCGTGTGCTAGAATGCATCTCGGTCCCCTCATCTTGACCCCTTTTACCTTGTATTTCACGAGAATACAAGGGAAAAGGGGACACTATTAAATGTTGCCGAGAATGATGGAAAAACAAACAAAAAAGCTGGCCATAATTCTGCTTATTCACCTTCGACCGCAAAAATTCCATCGACAGAAACCGGTAATCTTTGACCAAAACAGCGCAACCCCAGGTTGATTCGCCTCTCAATCTGGCCCCGAAAAATCCTGCACGCTCGATTCCTGCTAGTAGACGCGGGTCGTGCACTGCTCCACGTGGGTCATCCAAAGTCCTTCGCATAGGTATCCCCACGACCACAGAAGTGCCCTGTGGTGAAGCTAGTGGCGGAACTGATGAGCCTGCTTCTTGATCTGCTTCTTGATCTGAATGTTGATCTCCTGTTCGATCCTGATGTGAAGAGGCGGTAGCCATGGTGTTCATCGAAGATGCAGCCGACGAACCTACTACAACACGACCCATGCTAGTATCGGTAGTATTTGAAACCACATCGCGGCTAGCACTACTTGCTGTCCTTGCAGCATTTGTCGGAGACGGCACCCCCAACCCAATCGACTGGTTCACAGCAGCATGATGGATAGCGCGGGGCGTGATTGGGCGTCTTGTAGGTGAGAAGTAGCGCGGAAGCTCCTGTTGCATCGTCGTTACTGGCGAAGAAGGTGTTGCGGGGATGCTGCGTGTGTTAGAGGCGCAACAAAAAATGTTGGGTACGGTGCGCCGTCATTCAATTTCAAACGAGATGGAGATTGTGATGCGTAATATCTAACTGTAAACTGGTTGTAAGCAGTCATTTACAATTTGTACTTACATCCCGCTACCTGCTGTAAACGAAGGCCAGAAAGAATATGGAAACGGACTTAGGCACGCAGGTAAATAAAACAACTTGAACTTCTGCCAACATAACTGTTGCAACTTCAACAACCGCCCCTCCACTAGTACTGCCTTCAGAGTTTTCAGCAGCTGGTGGATTTCCACCTCCATTCAACAATGCATTGTTTCCCAGTGCAGAACCACTGTTATTCGACGACAGCGATACCCCAGAAGCAGATCTTTCTCGCTGTCTATCCTGATTCCTTGGTATGGATCTTGTCGTGGGCGATCTGGTTCTATTAGAGATAGGCATATTTGAGGGAGACAGGCATAACACATATTTGGTGCTTTTGTTAATGATGATGTTAGTCGGTTCGGAATTGGTGCTTTTGCTATAATACCGTTTGTTATGCCTGTCTCCCGGTATTGGAGACACACATAACAAACGTTTGTTAATACACGCAGCCTCCCGGTATTAACAAACGCAGCACCTTTAACCACCTACGCTTAATTCTAGAAGTTGATGATGTGTCTCCTCCACCTTCAGGAGACTCCAACGCCTCAGCCGGAACATGTTCCGCAGAAGCTCGGTCATTGGCTTCCACTTCTCGCAGAGTCTCCGCGTCTTGTTTCAGCAAACGTACATTAGAACATCCTCATCCTCCAAAAAGGATCATCTTCCTATCAACGAAGGAAACCCTCCAAGGAAAATGTGCTGGGAGATGACGGATTTCTCTACAATACAATGCCACTTATCTCGCACAAAGTACAGTGCAGACTGCCTACTGGCCTTAACAACAGGTCGCTTTCGAATATTGGCAAAACGAGCCAGTATCTTCCCGGTCTTCAGCTCTAGAAAGCAGATACGGCCACACTCGCCGACTGCGGTGAGGATAGGTCCTCTAGTAGGCCAACAGGGACTCCATTCCAGACAAGAAAGATCGAACACTGAAACATGACTCGGGAAGAGAAAATTTTTGAGTTGTAGAGACAAACGTTGGGCAGTAGTAGGACTAGAAGAATCGTTCTCGTTTTCTCATTCTCTACGTCATCATGTAGGTACTACCAACCTACTCAATTGTTGGAAAGTTAAGTAGATCAATGCCCCTCCTCTGGTGTCCCCGTACGTATCCAAAAACAAGTCAAAGTCGAACATCAACAGCTAGGATTTACTTCCATCTGTGTATTAATAGTGGTGGAGCCAACCTAACTAGAAAAAGCAAAAAAATAATTTTGAAAAAGGAAAATTTGTTTACGTTTACTTCAATCTCTATGGGAATGGGAATTTGTCCTTTCTCCTTCTTGAAGTTCATAAATTCACCCTGCGACCCACGTGCGCGGACCACAGCAACATCCTCGACTCCGCGTCCAAACCTAGGATAACGTCGTTGGCCACGACAGCCAGAAGCGCACGGGTTTGTGTTGTTGTAGTCCCATCTGTAGTAATTGTGCTCTTTCCTTGATGCTCTCGCGCATTCTCTTTTCCGCCACGCTCTACCTCTGCTCCTGTAGCTGTTCCCGAAGGCGCTATAGAAGTACATCTATCATGATCATGTGTTGTTGATGGAGACCACGCAGGATGAGAAGTTGTAGCACTCGTCCTGCTGTGGTCACCCTGTGGTCCTTCTTCATCTGGTGCAACATGATGTTGATCCTTCTCTTTCTTGCTGCTTCCACCTCCTACGACTCCCGAAAAAAGGTTTAATATGTACCCTTTGCGGAAGATGCAGCCAGCTGCAGATTTTAGGCCGCCAAATGCAGTGGTCGTCGTGATGTATCTAGACGACGACGACGACGACGTAGCTCTCGTACTCGTTGATAACGAGCCAGCATTTCTTCGGTTAGGAGAAGATGAAGAAGAAACTACTCTTCTAACCGTACTAGACATTCCTGTTCCAGCTCCAGCACGACCCCTACCAGGTGACGTTCCCCTCCTAGACGTTCCGCCGGCACTCCCACGACGAGGACCGGAAAGAACCAAAGCTAAGACCTCAGCGTCGTGCTTGTCCTCTGAATAAAAAGGGACCAGGCCACCTGCTAGGGCATTCAGAGGCGGCCCATTCTCTCCGAAGTCGGAGATGCGTGCTGGGATAGCATGCCCACCTATACGGCCTTCTGAGACTTTCACTAGCGTTGCAGGTCTGGTCCTGCGAGATGAAGGCGATGAAGCCTGGTCTAATCTGGATCTGGTAGAAGAGGTCATGACGATCTGCGTATTGAACAACGAACTTGGAAGGCTTTTCTACTGCATGTGCATGAAGATCGAGCTAGTATTGAGCTAGTATACTTAATTCTACTTACTTATGTCGGTGTTGTATCAAGAAGCCACCTCTTTAATGCCAACATCAAGAAGGGGGTGCTGCTGAACGATTTGATTTGGTTGCCCCGAGCAGAACTGAGTCAGGCCCCGAGCAGAACTGAGTCAGGCCCCGAGCAGAACTGAGTCGGCGGTCTCAGAAAAAAAATGCCTCAAGACAATCGGCGTCTCCTCTTTTCATCCTTGGTGCTGTTCCGGAAGAAGTTCTACGCGTCGCTCATCTCAAGTACTGCTCTAGCACACAGCAAATTCATCGCTGTGATTCTAGTAAAATGGGCTTCATGCACAAATCATGATCATTGTACAACGCTGTCGTTTTCTATCGTCTTGTGAGTGTTCTTCTTGAATCTGTTCATCTCGCAGGCGTTGATGTGTGGATGCTCTTAACGATATGATCAAAGTACAGCCATAGGATAGGGGAGGAGTATCCTCTTCTAAAATGACTACAAAGATTCGCTATTTGGCACGAGTACTATTCTCCGTTGTCTTTGCAATTGATCGATCTTGATACATCACTTTTTTCTGCGTGCGGTATTGTTTTGTAACTGGGCCTTGGAGATGAAGGAGACTACTCAAACCAGAAAACGTTTCTACTATTGATTTTGGTATGATGATGAAGCCCTAACCGTAAATTGATGATGCCCTGAGCGTAAAATCACACTATGATGAATTTGACAACACTATCACTATGACAGCGAGCAGTAAATAATCATGAAAAAAGAGACTCGCCTATTCATTGCTGTGCAACGTTCTTACCTGTTTCCCAAATTCTTTGAATGACTGTCAAAAACGAGTGGTAAATAACGCTTAGTACTGAAAAGAAGTTTTGGTTTTTTCTTTCATATAAGTAGTTGAAAAGCTTCTTGTTTGTGATCGTGATGTGTCCGGGTATAATTTTTTTCGTCAACTCTATTGTAGCAAGAGAAGTTGCTGTAACGATAACTCAGTCCTGTTGAAGTTGAATCGTGCTGGTGCTCAAGAATGCATCTATTATAACATCCTATTTTTTCAATCATCTAAATAATACCTCGGTAGCAATTCTACTTGTAAAAATGTATTGGATCGAAAACAAAACTTATGCTTCTCAACAATCTCTTGGAGATCCCTCGAGAACAAAACTATACTTTCAGCTCTTCTGCTAGTACTCGTACAAACAACTCGAGGACAAAAAAATGAAAAATTTGATGACCTCACATACATGGTATCAACAAATAACCTATTCAACTTCTCCCTACTTCTCAAAATGCCTGTCGTTTTTCTACCCTAGCACCGCAGCAGCGGCCTCTTATTCTTCTACATCTCTACCGCGGTCGGTTCTCCCTCTACCACCGGTACCTGTTCCGCTACCGGCTCTTCTCCTGTGACTAGCGGCTGCTGTTCTTGTGGCACTGGTGCCGCTGCTTCTCCTTCGGGTGTCCCATCCCAATCGTCCGCGTCTGCGTCTGCGTCTGCCGCATCCGCCGCATCCGGTCCCTCTGCAGGAAGCTTCTTTCCACCAAGCATGACGACGGCGATGAGACCTCCACCAACGATAATCAATGCGCCAACGCAGATGAGGATTAGAAGAAGCACTGTTCTTACTGTAGGGGAAGGCCTCGTGCTGGGACCTACTTCTGTAGTTGTATGATTGTTAGATTCAGATTCAGATAGGGGTCCTGCCTCAGCCCTGCGCATTGAGCACCGGATAGTTAGTAGCCAAGACTGATGTTTCCAAGGTCACGGACTCGCTGTCGCTCCTTCATAAAAGGCTGGCACACTCGATTTTTAGTAATCGGCAATCTAAGGAAACAAGTAGGTGTCAATTAATTATCATGGTGTCAATTATCATGTTCATCAACAGAAGCGAGAAACTTGGAATGAACGAATGAATGAGACAGTGTAGGAGAAACAAATATATAGAGAAAGGGAAGGCAGGACGGAAAAGAGGAGAAAACAGAGGGAAAGTATGATCATGAGGATGTGCAGAATGTAGTATGATCATGAGGATAAGAATTTTTTTTACGAATACAAGTACTGTGTGTGAGGCTATGCGGCTTATGTATAAAATGTTACTAGAGCAGCTTACCCTAATCCATTTTGACATCCATCTTGCAGTCGTTTTCTCCTTATATCATGGAGGGATCTTGCTCCCGAGATGCTTGTGAAGTAGATGGATTAGGACATCAAGGATATGTGTCAGTGTCGTGGTCTCTATCATCCTCGTTTGTTCCATAACAGAACGATTATCATCGGCGACAAGCCCGTTATTTTGTCAGTAGTCTCTTCGCTGGGTACGATGACTTGGATTTCTTTCTCAGGGTCCGGGACGTCTATCGATTTTGGTCAAGGTTAGCGCTGTAGGTAATACTAGCCCAATTCAGAATAACGAAATTTAAGCGAGTAGCTACTACTTAAAATAAGCGAGATACTGAACAAGGAAGAGAAGTAGCCCCCCTACTAGTTTTCGAGTCCTAGTGGAGCTTTCTAAGAGGGTATAGAGTCAAGTAGCCAGTTAACTTCCGTCGTTTCTTCGGAAGATATTCTTAGTCCGTATTCACAGTCTTTAAGAGGGTCTATAGCCTACTACTCCTCCTTCTAGTTGATGAGGTATAATTTGCGCTAGTAGAGGTATAAGAGGGTCTTCTCGTAGTTGTACTGACAGTGGTTTATACTCTACTAGTTGTTGTAGAGGTATAAGAGGGTATATACAAATACAACCCTACAACTAGTTCCCCTGCTACCCTGCCATAAATATACGACCCCTCTTCGGGTGCTACTCGCAAGGTAGAAAGAGCATTAGAAAATTCAGTCTGGACTGAGCCACTCTGAAATTTCGCGATCTGATCCGCAACTGCATCTCTGGAGACTCTGGAGAGTTTTGCTTGTTAGAAGAGGTCGATGAGGCAGTGGGTCAAGATTTATTATATGCGGATGATGAAGGACTACATAGCAAGGGCACGATTCATGTTTTTGTTCTAGGTTAGGTTAGGTGCCGTTCGAATATTTCTCAATCTCACACTAGTAATCACATAATTATGTTCCTCTTCCGCGAGACCTCCGGAGTGAGAGACGACAACGTGCTTGTCTTCGCGCAACAATCGAGATGAGCCACTGTTGCGAGCAACACTGCTAGTAAGATTAGATGTCATGATGTCATGTTTGAATTTATTGATTAGATGTCACCTCAGTGCTCAAATTGACTTATTGATTAAGAGGTTAATTCAGTCTGCCTGTACCTTCAAAGAAGAGCAAGCAAACCGAGCGAGGCACGTGCTGTCTTTAAAAACGACAACAATAGTACTCGTTTGGATGTGGAAACCATTTTTAGCTGCGGGGCTTCCACCTCAGCGAGCCCTGCGCGTTGAATATCTTCAACGACACAAAGAATAACACATCCATCCCCTTAAGTAGAGCATCAACCTTTTCCTCTTGTTGGTGGCTTTGGCTTTGGGAACTAGCATCCACCTCCACGTGTGACGTTGCTAGAAAAGCGACAGATTTGGGAAGATCGTCCTTCGCGAGGCCAATGCCGATTCGGAATTAGAAAAGTGTACTCGAGTCTTCATCTAAGCTAGATATGCAGTTGCAGAGTATCAGACTAGAGTTCACTCTACGGCATCAACTAGCTAGAGTTCACTCTATTGTTCCTTAATCTAAGACATCTTGGTAGGCTCCGAGAGAAAGAGCTTCCATCTGTTCCATCGCAAAAAGAGCGTCAGACTCCATCGCAAATTCTACCACCAAGATTAGAAGATTTCACCACCAAGAGAGACTAGAAAATTCTACCACCAAGACTAGATGGATCTTCATGCATCTCTGGTGGTCATTCTCTACCCCGTTAATCTGTTATGAAAAACGTTGTCCCGGAATCATGTACTATCTCAGTCATGTATATTCGAGATGACTTCATAATTTAGTTTCCGATACTGTGACGCTTTTACTCGGTGTTGCTTTCACATCCTTATGGATCTCAGCAGCTGCTTGTGCGTACTTGTAAGTCGCAAGATTAGACGAGGACTAGAAGGAAAAGGAGTTTCCTCCATTATTCAGCATCATCATCACCGCATCCCTAACGACCATACAGAAGCAGATCATTGTGACTCTGGCTTGTTCATTTTCCAGTATCAACAAGATAAAACAACAAGGTCTAGCTTTTAGTTGCATGCTTCATCTCTTCCCATTGATTGATAGACAAGACCAACAAGGTCTGATACCTAAGGACGAGTGGAAGGATGCTTATTACCTTGGATGAAAGGAGCAAGACGAGAAAAAATGAGCCAGTTACTTCCGACTTTGAATGCGTCGAGAAAAAATGTTTATCTTCAAATCTTAATAAAAATGATCTCTATCATTGTTGTCCATCCATACGCGTTATATTAAGCCTTCATGATGTTGCGCGACTATGAATTATCTTTTCCATACGCGTTATACTAAGGCTTAATGATGTTGCGCGACTATGAAAAATTATCGTTTCCATACGCGTTATATTAAGCCTTAACGATGCGCGACAATTCCACACCGTAGTCCACCACACCCAATGTCGAAAGAAAAAGCTCCTTCACAGAAATGAAAGACCAAGTCCTCAGTAGTACACGTTGTATCTCTACGTCTATGTACAAGTAAATTATCAAGTCCTCCCCCGCCGGACTCGCAGCGTCAGTAGTACACGTTGTATCTTCTCTACGTCTCCCAACCACTCACTTCTAAGCCTGCACGAACAATTGTTGAACTACCATGTTAGAGATCCATAATTAGAGTACAAGTAGACATTGACTACATCAACCATAACCAAAAAGCTCAGGAACGACGCGATTGGTTCACTCACGAGGAATCGAGCAAGGACGAACTCATTTTAGAGCAGGTAGAGCTAGTACCGAGGACCGGCAACCTCAGAACTTCTACTGACATCATGTGGTCCACAACTACAACAAATGACCCTTTTTTTAGATTTAGAACAAAAGTATCAATAAGTTGTATGTATCAATATAATTAATAAAAGTATTCCTCGACCCGCCGAGCAAGCTGGTAGTACGTGAGAACATGAGAACCCCTAATCAGGCCAGTCATGGTCAGGTTGCTCTTGCTGTTCTTCAGCCTTAATGGTTATGTACGCAGTCTTTACTGATCGGAGGTAGATGGTATTCTCCATCCTCATCAATGACATGTTCTCCATATCGGCCAATCTTAGGGGAAAGTTGATGTCGGGGGGGGAGTAGTTGATGTTCGTCTTACATACTACAACTTCTATAGATACGTAATAACGTACTTACCTTAGCACGTAAAGAAGACTTTTAAGATAAAGCTAGTGTCAGGGGACAAACAGTCAGGGTGAAATGAATTGAAAGTGAACGGAGGGTTAGGAGGTGGGAGCAGGGTGTTCTTGACAACAAGAGGAATGACGTCGATAGGACAGCTTGCTTCATGTCCTAGAATAAGGGCAGCTGCTCCATATTCTTTCATCACACATGCATGATCTTGATCACTTCTTAGTCCTCCTCTAATGAATCACAGATGATAGTTAGTTAGCTATTTTTCTACAGATCAGGTATATCCATCGTCAACATGTAGTTTATCAACAAGCGCGGCTTCTTCACACGTGAAGTGACTCAACATCCTACTCTTCATTAATTGGCCTAAAATTCTAGTCCTGCTCCTTACCAAGTAAGTACTCAGTTGTCGGGAGTCAACTTGAACTTTCCAAGATACACTAAGTAAGTACTTAGTACTACTAAGTACTTAGATTATGGAATGTCTATTGAGTTTGAAAAAGTCCCTTAGGGCCTTCTGCTTGCTCCCTTGAATGCTAGGCCTTAAAATAGTCGTTCAACAATGCCTCCGCCAAAACAGGCGATCCGTCAATGACCTTCCCCAGAGCGGTGACCAACTTCTCCAGGATCTTGGCTCCATCTTCACCCAGTATATGCTTCACTAGAGAAGGGTTAGAAGAATAAGTAGGATGGATGGATATGGATCGATTCGAAGTAGTTGTTGCTTGGACAGAAAAGTGTCAGAAGGATAGGATTTAAATTTTTATGGGATATCAAACTGTTGACTTGTTCACACACTTCATCTACAGGTTGTCGTATGTCCTGACGGTCACTGCGATTATTTTGGCGAGGATATTGCCGAACCACCCCCGGCGGGTCCGCCGCCGGCAAGCGCTCTTAAGCAACTATAGTCCAGCGGCATGATGCGAGGCATAATTAGTCCTATAATTTTTGTCGAGGATATTACCTCATTTTGGAAGATGAAGAGTTGCGACAGAAAAGGGCGCATAATGTGGTAATTTTTTGCCAGTGCGGTGATGATTTTGACGATTTCTTTGGCAATAGCGTGTGCGTCAGTATGGTCGACTTCGGCCATCAGCGCTTCGAGGTCCCCTTTTTTTTAGAGCCTGCTCCTTCATACTGTTCACGGGGTGCGGTCGTAGAAGATGAACGAATCGTATCTGATTCATAGTGAATGTTATAGATGCTTCTAAAAAATCACCACACTTCACTTCACTTAAGTGATACAACTCAAGTTTCACGTGCTACGTTTGCAGAGCCTCTAAGTGCCATAATCTTCTTTCGACCATGCTTGCAGAGCTTCTGACGCAGAGCCAAACGCGTCGACGTACGGCTCACCCTCCCGCGCTTTAGATTAGAAGAGTATGAAGAGGACCAGGACGAAAGAACTCCTTATAAACTACGAAGAGGGCTTGTAAACAAGACAAGGTCTAGGATGCGTAACTTACACTTAGACTCAACATAATAATTCACAGCATTTGATGATGTCCAAGAAAAAGTTGTAGAAAAACCTGACTAATTTCAAAATAAAAAGCTTGACGTGTTGTAGTCATTCTGAAACTTTCAGGCTAACTGCCTCATAATTCAACATCTGTCCCAGGACGCCCACTGATGGGTCAAACCAGATGTTCATGTTCCGCATGACTGCAAATTGCCACTTTTCTTCACTCTTTGGCTTCGAATACATGGTGTCTGCTACTCGTTCGGAGACAATGAAAGAGTTTGGGGAGTTTGTTCTGTCTCAAAGAACCTAGGAAGAGCAATGATGAATCTTCTTGTTCCGTTGGAAAGAACAAGGATCTTCTTCCTTCTTCTTCTTTGTACTATTCGATAAACTGAAATAAGCAAATAACAGACGTCGACAATAGCCGACATTGATACAACTGAAGAGCAAAGAGTTGTAGCCTTTAAAAGCTACGTCCCTTATTTCAGTCAGTAACTCGCTTATTTTCAGTTTTCGAGTAATTCTTTTCCAGCACGACGTCGATATCACGTCATGTCTTGTGATTGTTGTAGTCATTCATTAACATTATCGAGGAAGTACATTCTTGCCTTAATGATGCCATCATGGATATCCGCGAATGGACATGGAGAGGACAGCTCAACACGATTCTCTTGCAGAGACGAAAACTCGCTTAGAGAGAGCAGTAAGGAGGAAGAAGAAGAGGAACTAAAAGTATTTAATGTATGAAGTCATGCTGGACGAGTGTCAGAAAAGCCCTCTCTAAATCATTCTTCATGCGGCCCTGAACAAGCACGAAAAGATTGTTGAGGTCCGAAAGCATACACATCCTTCTCAAGATGATGAATGTTTTATTTTATGCTCCTTCAGCTTCATCTCGAGACAATGATACATGCAGTAAAACTACTCAGTGCTGGTCTAAATTGTTGTAGTCGCGGTACCTGCTACCTTCATCAGGTTAATAATTAAAAAATACTACTCTTCAGTTCTCCTGTATTCATTGCAGGAGTATCAGTAAAAATATGTAGTTTTGATCGGAGAAGATCACAATTGTAAACCCAACCGCGTGCTTAGTCATTCAAAGAGATGAACCCAACTACAACCAAAAACAAAAAGGTGGCCCTTCCTTCTGGATAAGTGTAACTCTGGTAACTGCCTAAACCACTAAGCTATAAGTGTAACTCTTCCTTCCTTTAAGTGTACAGGTCAACGCCACTAAGCTATAAGTGTACAGGTCAACGCCTCTAAACCACTAAGGGAACTGCAATCTTAACTTGTCTTCCACCTTTGCAACTGCGCGAGCAGCTTCAGCCACACGATTCAGGGGAAATTTTTCCACGGCTTCGAGAAGCGGCAAGATCGTTCCCGCATAGAAATACTCCTCTCCTCTTTTAAAGGTCGAAACATTTCATATATTCTACTGAGAAGATAGCAATGCTCAGGGAGAACAGCAGGGCAATCAATCTCAATAGAGGAGATGCATCGTCACTATTCAGATTCAGGGGGCCCCCACCGCCGCCACGTTTTTTTTTTGTATCCCAAGACCGCCGAAAGGGTGATCCCAGTTTTATCCACTTCGCAACACGGGGTGGTTTTATCCGAAACACGGGATTGAGGAAGAAGGAGATGCATCTTCACTACGTGTAAAAATGAAATAGGAATGTTTCGACCCTTAACTCTTCGTATGATGGCGACAAAGTGTGGAATCGCTGGCTTCAGGGACATAAGACCCTCGATAAGAGGTCGCTCCTCCTCTGGGAGATCGTAACTCTTAAAGACGGGAGAGGGAGAGGGGCTGCTACATCTACAAGTAGCCACCACAGACCATACCACAAGAAGGAGAGGGACTACTACATCGTATAGAAGAAGATGTTGAGGAAAGAAGAAGGAGTACATCGTATAGAAGAAGATGTTGAGGAAAGGAGAAGGAGTACATCGTATAGAAGAAGATGTTGAGGAAAGGAGAAGGACTACGTCGTATAGAAGAATCAATACGTTGAGGAAAGAAGAAGATCAGGATGATGAGGCTGAGGTTGATGCTCTTTTGGTAAGTAATTCTACTTTGCTAGTCCTCCTCGTTGTACTAAAAAAGGCTATGCGTTGGTAAACTACTCAACACTAGTACTCACGATTACCCTATAATCGTTTGTAGTCCTAGTCCTTGAGTTGTTGTTGTACTACTAGAAAGCGTTGCATCTCTACTGCACTTGTCGTCGTACACGTACTAGTTAAAGTGTTTTTATAAATATCTAGTCGTTGATATACTGGAAATGGTTACTCTTACTTCTTTAGAACTACAGCCGGTCTTAACTACAGGCAGCGCCAGCATTTGATTGAAGTAATCTTCAGTCCCCTTTTGCGTTGCTTCACTGTCTCTCAGCATGGCCACCCAGTCCTTTATCACTTTCTTTCTATATTTAGATTCTTTCTAACTTAGATTCTTTCTATAACGTAGATTCTTTCTATAACTTAGATTCTTTCTAACTTAGATTCTTTCTAACTTAGATTCTTTCTAACTTAGATTCATCTAACAACGGAAGATGTTGAAAAAATAACCTTCATATATGATCCTTCAGCACTTTCTTTCTATACCTAGAAGATGCTGAAGAAGAACGAGCCCTTAACTTGAGTTAGCTGCAGCTTTTCGGTCACCAGTGTGTTCCATCGGCTCGGAAAATCCCCAGTGTCTACGCCATCGGATGTCAAGTCTTTGGAAGTTAGATGATGGTGAAGACACATAAAGTTTTTAAAAGATCTTCTTGAAGATCTTCAGACATACTTATAAATATACATGCCCAGAAAGCGGGCCCATCAAGGGCCCGCTGCGCTGGGCATAGGTTAACAACTAGACAGGTTGACTACTAAGAGACAGAAAGACAAACGAAAAAAGCCGCCAAGTCTGCTCGCCAAGGCTGGGAAGCTGACTCCCACTGTGGCGAGGCTAGTGAGGAGGCTACCGCTATGGCAGGCTACTGCCTTGGCCGACTTGCTTGCTAAGAGCAAGCCAATGGGCGCCAAGGCTGGCCCGCTGAGCGTCATGGAGTCCATGAGAAGGCCACGCCTGGGCATATCTATGTAGGCACAGAGGTTGGGCCCTTTTGAGTGTGATCATGTCCAGGAGAATCCTGAAGCATAGCATACCCATGGGATGGCAAAAGGCTGACACTGGCGAGCGTCATGGACGAGGCCCATGAGAAAGCCACGCTTGGGCATATCTATGCGCAGAGCCAAGAGCTGGGCCCCAACCTTCAGGCGCGGGGATGTGTCTATAAGGTTGGCCGTTTCATGGACATGACACAAGACGCCCACCACGGTCCGCGCCTCAGACATGCAATGGCCCACAGTTATCATCCTCACGCACAGGCATCGACGGAGATGCATGCGCCTGGCCTTCTCATGGACATGATGACGCCCGCCAGGGTCCACCCTTATCCACTTTCTCACAGACATCGACATCCTCAACGGCTTCGACTTTCGCAGGCAAATCTGTAGACCTTTGGCCCCCTCATGGATATGATCTGACGACGCTCACCAGGGTCCACCCTTCAGACATGCAAGTGCTCAAGGCTATCACTCTCACAGACATCGACATCCTCAACGGCTTCGACTTTCAAACACAGAGATGTACATCTTTGGCCTTCTCATGGATATGATGACGCTCACCAGGGTCCACCCTTCAGACATGCAAGTCCTCACGGCTATCATTCTCACAGGCATCGACATCCTCAACGGCTTCGACTTTCAAGCACAGAGATGCATACCTTTGGCCTTCTCATGGCTATGATGATGCCCACCAGGGTCCACCCTTCAGACATGCAAGCCCTCACGGCTAGGGCTATCATTCTCACAGACATCGACATCCTCAACGGCTTCGACTTTCACACACAGAGATGTATATCTTTGGCCTTCTCATGGATATGATGACGCTCACCAGGGTCCACCCTTCAGACATGCAAGTCCTCACGGCTATCATTCTCACAGACATCAACATCCTCAACGGCTTCGACCTTCACACGCAAACTTGCACACCTTTGGCCTTCTCATGGATATGATGATGCTCACCAGGGTCCACCCTTCAGACACGCAAGTGCGCACGGCTATCATTCTCACAGCCATCGACATCCCCAACGGCTGCGACTTTGAAGCGCCGCGATGTATGTCTTTGGCCTTCTCGCGAATCAATATGATCACGCTCGTCAGCCTCTGCCCTTTCAAGTGCTCACCTTCTCCCTTACAATTCTCCCGCTTTTGTGCTGGTTAGAAGTAGACTGGTCAACCATCTCCAAGGGCTGCCGCGCGCTCCTGTGGTGTGCCGTGGTCGATTGCTGTGCGCGGAAGGTAGTCGCGGAAGGGGAGCGAGCTAACTTTTTTCCAAAAACTTCAGGGAGGTCGTTCAGTTTTCTCTGTATTTGAATGACCTCCCTGAAGTTTTTGAAAAAAAGCAAAGGCGTCGGGCGATATATGACAAGGGTAGCGGTTGGAAGTTCGTCGGGGCGATTCGCTAGGGGTGGGCGCGTAGTGTCTTGCTGCAGATGTGGCTGGTGTAAGTGAGTAGCCTACAAACTAACAGCCGCGAACACGTTGGCACGTTCTTGACACTTTTGGACTCGTAGTACTAGCAAGGTCCTTAAGGAGCCGCTGTTATTAGCCCAAGTTTATAACAGCTTGTCCTTAAGGGACCCCCTTAAGGGAATTTTTTTCCTCTTAAGGAAAGTTATAATAACTTTTTATAATAAAAATTCCTTAAGGAAACTGATTTCCTTAAGGAAGCGCCTTAAGGAAGCTCCTTAAGGGAGCTCCTTAAGAGATTTCTGGGAATTGCTAATACTATAAATACTAATATAGGTCTACTTAAGTAAATACGGGGGCGGTAGTGCCGAGAGAAACACGACCAGTGGTCGACCTATGTATATTAGTCACGAAATGTAGTGGTCTACAGTGGTGTGACCTCTAGTACGTCTAAAAATTTTGATTTTGCCATTCATTGTTCTTGGATTATAATAATCAGTCACAGACAGACAGTAGAGATTGTAGTTATAATACTAGATCCCCAGTTCGGTCGCATTAAACTCAATCGCAGCACTCTGTTTACAACAATGCCATGTCTCAACACAACCTAGCCACTCTGTAGTTGATTAATTAAAACAACCCAAGTATGCATGCGACTGTCCCTGTTGCCATCGTCCATGATGGGCATAGAGACGTGGTCTGACAGTACTGCTTAATTACAATTCTCACCATAACTTCAACTCTAGCCACTCTGTAGACGCCTCCAGATCGTCGATCAAAGCCGGCAATCGCCCTACATACCATTGAGCTGCATCACTGGCCACAATCACTTTATCCCAGTCTAAGATTAGAGTCTAAGAGTCTAAGAAAGGTTAGAGTCTAAGATTCCAAGACTAAGAGTCTAAGATTAGAGTCTACTAAGAGTCTAAGATCATTAGAGTCTACTAAGAGTCTAAGATTAGAGTCTTCTAGTAAGACAATCACCACCACTTTATCCTAGAGGAAGATTCGACCTTCAGTCTCAGAATGGTTCTGATGCTGTTAAAAAGTAGATCTTCTACAAGGATGGTTCTGATGCTGCTGTTATTCTAGCTGCTTTCAGCATAAAGTATTCGTTGCAGTATGCAGTTCTGCATCTGCCTCTTCCACTGCCTCCTCTATGGTTTCGGGCAGTGTCTTCGTATTTGTCCGACTACTTTTACTACTGTGAAGACTACTCTGTTGACCCTTCTGAAGGCTATTCTTTTGCCCACTTTTCTGAGAGCCACTTCTGTTCGCCTTGTTCTTGTATTGGCGGCCTTTCTGCAAAATAGCAGCCATCCTCATCGCGACACCACTTGCACGAGAGAACAAACCGTGTGGGAGATGCCTTGGCATTTTCAACAAGTGCTGTAGTGATTCTGTACCAGTTGAGTGGTGCGGACTTGCTGAAGTAATAAGGAAACTGTTCGGGAGGTTAGAGGTTACGGAATTGCATTCGTTCCCCAGAACATGATCTTCCACCCTGGCGTCTTTTCTACTAGAAAAAGCGCCAGGGAGGATGGTACTACCCTCAATCTTGAGGGAAGATGTAATTCGGAAACCCTTAATCTTGTTGTCAGCAGTTGATGTACTTGATGTCCCAATTTCGAAGAGACCTAATCCTAGTAGACCACCACGACTAGTAGCGCTTGATGTTGCACCTGTTCTTCCACCAAGGAGATGATGCATCATGTCATTGAAAGCGAGCGCTGCTGTGCTGTTCTTCTGAAACAAGGCAGATGAAGTGATCACACTAGTGAGTCCTTTTCTCTCCGAGTCCGACTCCGCTGTTCTCCCGCCACTACTAGAACTGGAAGAGGTAGTAGATGACGAGGCAACGGACGACAAGGCTGTATCGTCCCGACGCAGCGTCTGAGGCCGTGCTGCTCCATTCACACCCAAAATGCTGGTGCTATTATTAGCCTTAATATTCCGGGAATCTCCCATTCTAAAAGTCAAATCTTGGGACCCGTTTCTCCCTGACACGGGAGGTCCAAGATGCTTCTCAAAATGGGACATTTCCGGAAGTCTTAACATCAAGCCACGCTGTAGCAGTCGATACCAGAGCCGCAAAGGCTATTCTGCGACCACTTCTGGTTGTACTCCTGTGTCCTCTTCTTCTTCTTCCTTCGATTGAGGAAGAGGAGAAAGAGGAAGAGGCAGATGCCTCTTCAAACCCAAACAACATGTCCTCGTTGGAACTAATATGACAACCACGTACTCGTTGCGAAGATCACACTACTAGATTAATCTGCATACTAGATTTCTTTTGGAAGGCTTCACTGAGAAATTTTTGAGGTCGGAAAAATGAGTACTACAGTACAATCAATCAATCAATCAGTACAAACGCGCCACTTTGATTTGCCCTTCTTGCCAGACGACTTCGGTGATCACAATTTGACTTTGATGAACCCTCCCAAGCTCACTCGTTAGTTGATGATGTCGAAATTCTCATGCGTCTTTCTTGTTGCAGTAGAAGTTGGAATATAGGGGACGCTTGACGGGGGATCGACTTCTCATTTGCTTGTAGGGAATAATCGGGATCTTGTGAGGGTCGGTGGAGGAGTGGGGGACAACATGAAAATCAATCCTACACTGTTTTTTCTAATCAGCGTGCGATGCTAATCACAAAATTTAACCAAGTAGAGAGATGCAAAATATGAATCACAGGAAAAAAATCATCTAGATGCTTGTACCGTTTAGATGCTAAATCTGTTAAACCGTGTTGAGTGTTAAACTGTGGGTGTGATCTGTGAGCTTTTCTGACTAAACCTGAATTCTGAGTGATACTGTTTGTTACAACTCCTCGTGCTATTTGTTTCATCCTTGTGAAAAAAATGCATTAAATGATGTTTCGAAGCAACCATTATCGACTGTATCGTATCGTCAATCCTTTTCTTTCCGAAGCTACTGGTAATACTATTCATTCCCTTTCTACGTGTTCATTTAATTTCATTTGTCGAGTCCTATTCATCACTATTTCTCAAGAGGGCATTCTTGGCAGACAAATCCTATCGTTGTTCATTTTCCGGAGAATTCCCATCTAATGCCTATGAGTATCTTCTAGTAGAAATGCGACACGAGTCGTTCAAAAAAGTAGGTAGGAAGCATGCACATAAAAAACAAACTTTACAGTTACAAAATCGATGATGACGGAGAACAAATAAGACTGTGATATGTGTGAACGACCCCGAAGATTGCTTTTGCTTTAGGTTTAGATTTACTTCGATTTTCTTACTATGTTAAATCCTATCATAACTACATGTTATAATCCCTCTACAACTTCATCACTTCCCCTAAGCACCTCCGCCTTCCGCACCTCCTTCACCAAAGGGTGATGCAGCGTCGCCTCCCTCTGCTGGCTTTGCCTTCTGTTCTTCAGCCTCCTCTTCATCTGGATTTTGTTCGCTCTCGTCATTCAGCACGTCGAAGATACAGTCCCATTCCTTCAACGCTAGTAGCTTCTCATTGAAATGGATGTGCAAGTCCTTTATTAGCGGTTAGGTTAGGTTAGGTTGTGGATCCTTCACAACGAGCCCCTAGTAACAATACAAGACAATACAACTAATCTCGCACAGAGTTCAGTGCAGACTGCCTTATGGGCAGGGCATCATATCTTTGTAGCTAGGGTACTATGGGTACTATCCCCCCCCCCCCGACCCTTTCTTGTTGGTCGGGGGAAGATCCCAATCCCTATGTTCAGATTCAGATATGAATTGCGAGAGGTAGCCGCCGTAACTTTCTGACTACAGCGTCGATCATGCTGTTATGTCTCACATCCAGATGCTCAAAAGCGAACCCAGGTGCATGAGCAACTTTCTTCTCGTTCCAGTCGTCGAGGAATTTTCTGACTGATTTTCCAGCCAGTTTATTACACTGCAACGACAAAGACCGTAAAGCGTACGAAAACCTTGCTTCCATACTGGTCAAATACTCAAACACTGGCAGCATGCGATGTGATTCGATCTCGTTTCTGGCCAGATCTAGGTGGATCAAGTTCGGACAGTCTTTGAGAATCGTTAAGATGCTATCGGATACACCTAATCGATTGCTGCCAAGGTATAATTCTTCGATCTGGTTTTCTGCAGGTATCACGTCGGGGGCGATGGAGGACTTTAGAGGAGGAGAGAAGGCCATTCTCGATCTTAGGTAGCCGTACTTTGAATGGCAACCGCAACAGGCCGACTGCTCCTGCGAAGTAAAATCTAGTCATGTGAAATTCATGTCCCCAAGACTGCTCATGCGAAGCAGTCATGATGTCCCCATGAGCAGTAAAAACGAAAAGTTCAGATGTATGTCATTCAGGTCTTCCAAGCCATAAAAAAATGTCATTGTCATCCAACCAAATCGTCCTCACTGAAGGTGGCAGATTCTCGAGTACTATTTCTGCACCGTCATTGCCCAGACCGCATCCCCACACGCACAGTTCCTGCAGCATCACGCCACCACCGTTTATGAAACCGCCTTGTAAAGCTATCGCGCCATGTTCTCCTAGTGGCTTCTTGCTTAGGTTTAAAACTGTGGGTGTGCGGAACTTTAGGTTGTTTGTCACCTCCTTGACGGCAAGGGCCTGGGCTTCCGGCATTTTCGTGCTTGTTCCGATTAGACGGGGAGATGTAGTTAGTAGTTGTGAGGGAATAAAAAGAGCTACCGATCTGATGGTGTTCTTCATCAAATTCATGATTAGGAAGTTTTTCATGATTAGGTTCTTTTCAACGAATTTGTTTCAAAATAATCTCAGAAAAACAACAAATTCTTTCCATAAACTCGACATACTGAGATCCGTTCTACCTGTTGTCGGCGCAGCCGTCGAACGCGTACTCGGTGCACCTCCTTCCTTCTTGGCTCCCTGCAAGTCCAACCCCTTAAGTTTCTGGCTTCGCCTTCCAATCTTAGGTGCGGCAGCGCGGGCTTCTTCGGCAAGTATCGCTCTTGGGACTTCCTGAAATCTACATCGGACTTCCTCTACACTCGGATTTACACTTTCGTCTAGTCGGAAGCGCATGATTTCGGGTAAGCCAGCCATTACAGCGGTCAATTGTCCCTGCAGCAAATACTGATCATCCGAGCAGAGATACTCCAATTCATTTCGTCTTGCTGGATACAGTGTGTTCAAAGCGCCGAGATCAATGGTGGTTTCGAAGATCATCTTCGCGTTCGTACGCGGGTCTAGAGGATCTTCCTCGGGTGGCGCGGGTGTCTCGGGTCTCGAAGCTTCAGCCTTGCTGTCTCCATCTCCTCCCGCTTTACGTGGAGTCGAGCCTGCTTTTCCTGGCATTGAACCTATCGCTGAGCTCTTTTTTGATCCTGCCCTGCTGTCCTTTCCACCTGCTGCAGGGGTTGCTGCTGCAGCTGCCCCTGCCGCTCCAGGAGCTCCTGCTGCTCCAGGAGCTCCTGCTGGAGCTGCTCCTGCCGCTCCAGGAGCTCCTGCTGGAGCTGCTCCTGCCGCTCCAGGAGCAACAGGCACGCTCTCCGCACTCGCTGTCCTCTCTGCTCTTGGTTTTCTAACAGTGCCATCTTTCGGAACGGCAGCCATCTCCTCAAAGACACCTAGTCCATTTTGGGCCAACAACTTAGTCCTCACTAAATTCTCATCCCCAGCTTTGATCTCTAGGGCGTTGACGACGACGCGGTTTATCCTGGTATACGCAACTTTGCGACAACCTTTGTGATCTTTTTCGAAGAAACTAGAATGCACATTGGAGGGAACGAAATTGAGGAACATTCTGACAAACGGGATGTTCTCCTTGCTGTCGATGCGGTAAACGACCTCGGATGTCCAGATGTTCAGGAAGTACCTGGAGTAGCAATTTTTCAATCACTTCTTGTGGGGCAGCAATATGAAGAAGGATCATAGGCATTCCAAAAAAAAAACTCATAGGAATAGCAATAGGTAAATCAAAACTACCTCCTCCCCCAAATCGGATCCCTGCACTCCTTGTAATCGCTCAAATGTTGTATCGGCCTATCTGCCATCTCCGACATCTGTAAGAGGATTGGCAGGATGTGGGGTCTCAACAATTCCATGTTATCTATGAACGCTTTTCGGACAGCTTCTTCCTGTAATTTCCGTTGTCGTTCCTCTTCATCCTTCTTTTGCTGCAGTTTTTCTTCTTTGCTTCCGTTAGAGGAGGTAGTAGTTGAGTGAGGTTTCTGAAAATCAAACTCGTCCATGCCCATCATTATCATTCACTAGAGATAAACTCCAATAACAATACCGTCTTAGAAGATTACGCCACACTACAAGCACAGACTATTGTTCTCTACTTATAAGTACGACGCCACACTTCTACAAACACAGACTCGTCTTGTCACTACTTATATATCAGTACAGCGTCTTCTAATTAAACCCAAGGATTCTGCCATAAGTTCTTTCTTCACATTCGCCCGATCTGCTGCTGTCAACAACTCATCGCCACTTCTCGCACTAGGAGTCGAAATCGCGTCCAACTCATCCACCTCAACCAACTCCATCTCCTCTGGTGGCGTGCTGGGCGTCGGTGGAGGCGATACTCCTTTGACGAGGACGTAGTCCTTCTTCTGGATTTCCGGTAGCATCTGATCGAAGTACGGATTTCTAGAGTTTAGAACTAAGATGTCTAGATGGGCATCCGTTCGAAGTACGGATTTCTGGGACGCCCGTCTAAGATGTTGTAACTGTACAGTACAGCTTACAGATGGATTTCTTGTATTCGAAAAACTGAAATAAGCGAGTAACTACTTACAATAAGCGAGATACTGAAACAAGAGCAACGTAATGACTCTGCTATTTCAGTTGGCTACTCGGCTATTTTGAGTTTTCGATTAGCCTTAAAGAGAGTAATCGTTCTTCTTGCGGTACCATTCTGACAAAGCAATTCCCGAGTTCATCCACCAGTTCGATCCAGCCTGCACGCATTCGGGAGATCATAAACTGTTTCATTTTCACAACTAGAACGTAGGCGTAGCGGCCTTCGACGTGCTGGATGACAATTTCGTCGTCGTGCATGAGATTGCCGTACAACTTGCCATGTTTCGTCAAAGGTAGAGGAGCGCCCTCGGCTTCTGTTGGTTCGAGTAAACCTTCCCCTTTTGCTTGCCGGACAAAATGCTCATTCGGATTATCAGTCCAATCAAACTCTCGCCAAGGCCTCCCTTAGAGCGGCCTCGGTCGCATCCTTGAAACCTCCAGCCCTGTGCCCCTTTCCAACGTAAGTAGGTAGACCGTAGACAAAAAAGATTTCAATTCCTCGAAACAAAGAAACAACTACATTTTAGCACTTCTAGGTAATCGAAAACGGAATCAGGGATGAGGCTGGTTGAGGATGCAACCACGGTAGCCTTAACTCACGATCTCCTGCTTCCCTGTCCTCTTATTCACAGCATATTTCAACTGCTGCATGCACGCCTTGCGAGTCGGATACATCCGCACGACGACTCCTGTTCGTGCCTCAAAGTCGTTGGCCATGACTAGTCTGACCTCTTCGTCCGACACGTGCGAACCAAAGGGCGTAACCCTGTAGATAACGCCAGTCTTCGGTATGCCGCAAAGCGTAGAGGGTGCAGCTCCCGAAGACGCCGTGCCAGGTCTCCCATCAGCAGCTGACGGGCTTGAAACCATCTGCAGACTGCCGTAGACAGCTTGAGCAGCAGTTACCGATGTTGTCGTTCCTTTGTGGGGAGAAGCTGGCTCTTCTTGAGGGTCCCCCTCACCGCCAAGCACTTCTCCTGGATCCACGAAGTCTCCCTGATGATCTAGCATGTCGTCAATCAAACTCGCATGCGCCATACCAGCTGCGGAAACAACCAGAGGTTTGAAGAAGCCAATGAATGGACAATAGCCATGACCAGGAATAGCTACGTCGTCTTTATCTCGGCTTAGGCTGCCAACCACTGCACCTGGAGGATCAATCCCCAACTGCCGACTGGAATTGGAAGTCGTCTGCTGGATAGGGTTAGAACAGGTGGAGACTTTGGAAAAGCGAAATGAGAATTCCTTAGAATTGACTGGAGGGACTCCCCTGGGATGAAAAAGAAAATGAGAGAACAATTCATGATTGGGGTATACATAGGTTATGGAGTATAAGAATCAATAGGAGTACTACTACTACTAAACTGAATCTTATAAACTTATACATAGTATCTTGAACATCATCATCTATCTAACCTCAAACATAAAAAGACCCGAACGACCCGAACTTGCACCACCGCCTCCTCGCATCAGGGAATACAACGGCGGAGACAAGACTCGGCACACGTCGTCTCCAACCCACTCAACTAGGAGGACGCAACCTTTGGTGAAGACTGAACAAGTTCGCTCAGGTTCGAATTGACCGTCTTCGAACACCTCTACCTGTGGCGCCACCACCACGTGCAATTTCCAGGCTCCAGAGACTAGAAGCTGTTGCATCGTCGCTCTCGTATCGGTCCAGCAATTGCGCCAATAAGGCAGGCCAAAAACCGCGTCCCTTACTACTTTCCAATCGCACAACTGCCTGCCACTGTCCAAAACGTCCATCAACTCCGGCAGAGTCCTGAAGACGCTCTGTCTATCGTCCACGCCGCCTAATTCGTGGTAGTCTAGTTCCTCGGTCGGCAAAGATTGTAGTCGCCGCTTCAATTTTGCTTTCCTGATTTTGTTCAGATAGCCTTTGGCTACGCTGGTCATGTTGTGCGCATCCTCGACTCGTTCCTCCGCGAATTGAGTGTCATACATGCTGCTGACCTGATCCGGTTCGTCGTCCCAGTAGTCACGGACTTTTTGCCGCTCAGCTTCATCTTCTGCCTCTGCTTTTCGTATTTCTTCTTCCACTTGCTCAACTACCTTAGCTGCAGCAGCGGCCTTTGCTTGAGAGATGCTCTGAGCCCCCTGACCTGGCGCCGGCGCGCCAACCGGTGTTTTCCCCGCTGCCATGTTCATAGCGTCCATGTCTTCGTATTTTTCCTGTTCAGCCCTCAACAACTCCAGTTCGTCCTCCTCTGCTTTCCTCTTCGCCTCTTCTGCTGCTAGTCTTTTCGCTCGACATTCCTCCAAGTCTTTCTTCGCTTTCTCCTCTAGCTTTTGCACACCCAGTTTGCGTTCTTCAGCGCGTTCGGAAGCCAAGAGTTTCTCAATCTTGAGGTATTCGCGATCTTCTGGCGTGGTGCGAATGTGGGCGTGGGAGCGATGTCTACCGCGTTCGTAAGGCAGTTCGAGTGTTTTCAATGTTTTCACATCGTTGATGACGAACTCCTGATAGTGGTCGTCGGTTACGAGTTCTGCTACCTTGTCCAACTCCGTGTTGCTCAAGCGTACTCGATCTGCCCATCGCAAAACGAAACCGTCTTGAACTGTGGTTAGATGAGCTCACATAAATTGTGATTCTAAAAATTCATGATCCTGAGATAAGATAAATCTTCGACTACATGTTTTCTCTACTCCCTTAGGGAAAACAAAGGGGGTCGAAAAGATGCAGCTTCTTGAAATGAATTACAGCAAGAGGCCGTAATGTGGGTATTTTCTTCGCTATCGTCGAATCCTGACTACCGCCGAGAGTAGAACCAGAACGACCGGACAACGGAGCAGTCCCAGAATGCTGCAGACCTCCACTGATTAGAACTATGGGAATTCCATCTTCAGCAGCATCTTGGGTCTCCTTTTCGTCCCTTGAAAAAAAACGGGAGGACCAAGATGCTTCTGAAAATGTCATGTCATGGTACCTCTTATGTAGCTATCAGTGTCTACTTGTGAGGCCAACCAGTTGGGAAGTACCTCCGATGGAGAGCCTACCTACCGGTATTTTGTTTGTCTTAACTTGAATATCCGATCATGGCTCATTTGTTCCCGAAACAAGGGTTTTCCGTCAGGCAGCATAAGCGTCACCCAGCCTTCCTCGATGGGCATGCCTGGAACTTTAGGGACAGTAGTAATGCGACCTCGAATGCCCGCGACAATGGAGAAAAGGACTAAGTCGCCACCTCGTACGTAAGCCACGTCCTCGGATTCGATGTCCTGCTCTTCTTGGACAGGGAGTAGGACGCGTTCGGGGAAGTCGGCAAGGATTAGAGGAGGGTGTAAGAACGTGTAAATGTAATTATGTAATGGAGAGTTGTAAACGAGTTGTAGTCGGTCCTTAAATTTTTCTTTCTGAGTTTCAACTTGAGAATGATTGAAATATGTCCCCCAACGAAGTTTCCTCCGTAAGATAAACACTCCGCTCAACGCTGTTCCTCTTTCATCCAAAACCAAGTTCTTCACCAAAGGCCGCTTGTCCATCGAATACACCTTCGTGTACCCTATGGTGCACTTTAATGGATCACATAGGTCCATTAGCTCTTTTGCTTTTGAAACGTCTTCTCTCGTGGGCACCATCGGACACAGGATCTTCGCAACGCCCGTCTGCGGATTCAAATCGGTCATCACAACGATTCTACCCTGCTTGATCAGGCGACTAGGAGCTTTCTGGTCTTCGTCTTTGAGCAAACCGGCTAAGCGTGCTTTCTTAGAACTGTCCGTAGTTCATCCTTCAAGTGTATCCTTGAAAAGTATGGGAGAGTCTTGCCCGAGGATAGATACTCAATCATACTTTTCAGGGATGCTCTGAAAGATGAATTATCGCTAGCCTTAACTTTATGCTCTTTTAGCTCGCGGGGATTGAGGTATTCACCAGCGATTTTGCGACTGTAGTTATCCTTGGCCTCGCGCAAAGGTTTGTCGTAGACTTCGAGAGACCATGACTCATCGCGGGCGGCACGAAGGTTAGAGACTGCTTACGTGGGTCCGGTTTCGACAAAATCATGCTTGAGGTTCCGACTCAGAAAAAAAAAACTATAAAAAGTCCAAATCCAAAATCAAAAGAAAGTTCTCAAAGTTCTCGTCAAAGTTCTTCGTTCACGTTCACCTCCAATTTCCATCACCATAACTTCCGTCGCTTCTCCAACTACTCCCAAATGCCACGTCTGGTTTATCAACAAATCTTCCAGACCGCCATCGTGCAAAAGTTCTCGGATGTCCCAGGTTGCACGCACTGCAACACTCCCAGGATTCAGATAGTAAGTCCGATTCCAAATATGATCTTTTGCTTCTCGCCAACCACCAGTGACGGTTTCTCTCTGAATAATAATCATGTTGTTCGCGTGCACAGCGGATTCGAAGGCCTGAGAGGGATCGGCCAGAGTGCCGGCTGCTGCGGCGGGTCTGCCATCGGCGGCGGATTCGGAACCTGAGCAGGTGGGTAACAACAAGTGGAAAACAAGTCGTGGAAGTTCTTTTTAATACAATCAAACATGCACCGGGAATCACAAGAACGAGGACAATGCTGGACAACCCAAAATACAAACACGTCATGTAGTCCTTCTACTAAATTCCAAAGAATATTCTTGAAATCCAAATCAAGAAGTTCTACTCGCCGGTCTGCTTCTCGCTTTTTGCAGTTCGATTATCTGGTGTCTCGTCAAACCACTGTACTTCGTTTCGTTCGCAATCCGAGTCGCTTTGTCCAAAGCTGCCGCTTCTGCCTGAGCCGCAGCTTTTGCCTCCGCTTGGGCATTCAGTTCCATCTCCGACTTCAAGGCCGTTCTCGCCATGTCCCGCTTGCTCGTTTCCACCTCTGACAATGGTAAGATCTTTGAGAATAAGCTCTCGCCTGTTTCAAACAGTACTAGAGAAACCCAGCCGCCGCGGTAATGAGCGTCCAGTTCCGGATCGATGATGGATACTTTCTGCACGCGTTCGTCTTCGCCGTCTAGGACCGGATCGTAATCCGGGTTCTCCACTTCCATAAAAACGTGGGAAATCTGTGCTCTAGACCCTATGATCTGCGCAAACGACAGCTGCGTATTCGGTCTCAACCGGCCTAGAACTCTGCTATGGTGGAAGTCGCGACTCTCGGTGACCAAAACGCAGCCGTCCTCGGTGATACCAGGTACGTCCTTCATCTCGGCTAAGTAGGCGTATTTGTTCCGGGACACTTTGGAAGCTCCTCCTGGTCCTCCTCTACTACCAGCACCCGTATTCTGAGGCCCCGTTGAACTTGATGACGGCACCCGACCTGCGCCAAGAAGCGGGTCGTAACCTGAAGCTTCAACTTCTTCGGCTATCACGTTGAGGATATCTCGATCGGGGTCTCGATCCATGTCGTTCATTCCATCGTCATGTCGGAACGCGATGTCCGATAAGTCTGCCGGATTCGGAGTCCAACCTACGACTCGTCCCCACCTCGATCGCAATGCATTATCTCGCAGATTCTCAGTCGGCACATAGGCTTGAGCACGACCTAATCGTGCCACTCGGAGTGGGTTCTGGTGGCCTTCTGCATCGCGCTCGCCCAAACCTCCTTCGGGACCAGGACGTAGTTCGAGTTTTTGTTGTGAAACTAAAAAAACTTCCATGTCCTCGTCTGGTGCGACCTTGCCCGTCTTCCAAGGGTGATCCGCATTCCACTTGCCCTCAGCCATTTCGAGGGCGTCTAGCTCGCGTTTTGAGAGGCCGTCGGTGTCAGCGTTGGATTGAGAAGCGCCTGTGGTTGGAAATGATGGAGGTGATGCAATGGAAGAGCCTTGTTTGGATCGAGTGCAGTCGGCAGGTGAATTGATGTTCATCGCTAAACATTACTTAGAATGGCAATTACTTAGAATGACAGAGGGACCAGAAGATCTTCACATCATACACGTATCACGAATCAAAACCGCAACAAAACTTACGACTCCCTTTGCTCGATCTCCCACTCACTGATGCTCGCAATTTCCTCCTCTCTTGCGCCTCTGGTGATATCTCTCCTGGCAAAGGTAGTAACTTCCCTCGTTTAGGTTTCTGGTCCCAGAATTCTCTGCTTTGCGCTGCCCAAGAATATCTATCGGGTGATTCCATGTGACTCGTCAGTTCCATCATCTCGTTCTCAGCACCTTTTTTTCGATTGTGGACACCCTGCAAAGCCGACAGGTCACCTCTTTCTTTAGAGCTCTCGCACTCTTATCCATCTTGAAATTCATCTTGATGCTTCCTTCTCCTCATGGGATGAGATGAGAGGCTTCAAGATGCTCCCGAAGAGGGGTTCCGATGCTCCCCAAGAGGGGTCGGGCGAAGCCTTAATTTCTACTGCCTGCTTCGTCATGATCTCCTCTAGGGTCAAGCCGTCTTGACCTGCTTTGGCTTCCCGGTCTATGAACTCGGCTTGAGTTAATTGACGGAAATCCATGTCGCGACCAGATGGGCTGCCGTCTTCGAAGGCTTAGACGTGAGACGAAGACGAGGTCTAAAACTACTGATCCGTGAAAGAAGCATCTCAACCCTGATGAAGTTGTAGGAGAACACAAGTGAAATTAGGAAAACTTGATCACATCTTCCAAAGTGAGTTTTCATTTTCTTGACAGTGGTCCTACGAGTATTCACAGAATTTTCTTGACAGTGGTCCTACGAGTATTCACAACTCCGTATCTTCATGATCACATAATTTTTCTGTTTCCTTCTCGGCGGCTTATGCCTGTTCACAGGACTCTCAGGACTTCGCCCCCGTTCGTTTCTATCCCAAGGCTTGTGAGACAAGTCGGCCCTCGCGTCTCTCTCCCGGAACGACTCATGGATCTCACGCGGGTGCAGTTTATTCAACATCGGTCGGACTTGCGCGTTGCGGACGTCTCTCCGGTTCTTCACCTCCAACTCCATGCGCTGCCACCAGGAAGATTGGAGGAGCAAAGGAAAGCGTCCCTACTTCTACGCGTCATGTGTGTGCTCCTGATATGACCATCCGTGATCATCAACACTCTACATTCAACAATCTCCCTACTTCTACATCAACAATCAGTACATTCTCATAAGACAACTCTGCCGCCTTCCTCCTTTCCTCCTCTAGCCTCGCTAATTCCGCTGCATCCCTTGCCGCCTTCTCCCTCGCTGCACGGCGGGCTAGCTTCGTATTCCTTCTCGCAAGTCTCTTCTCCCGGAACGCTGCTTTCTCCCTTCGACGGGCTAATCGTTTCTCGCGTGACGCGGCTTTTCTGGCAGCCAAGGCTTCAGCTTCGGCAGCTAAGCGACGGTCACGAGTATCGTCGGATTCGTCACTATCGACGTCCTCGTTCCTCTTCTTCCGATCTCTGGTCGGAGGGGCGCTGCTCGAAACGTCCTCGTCTTCCTCTTCCTGGTTGGACGGAGAAAACAACGGTTGAAAGCAAACAATGGGGTTGAAAGCAAACAATGGGTTCTTGGAGAGAGTAGAAAAGACAAGTGTAATCAAACCCAAAAATCAAAATGGCATATCTGTTTATTTTATAAATCTGTTAGTTTTCCAAAAAAAAACTATCAGTGATGTGAGTTCTACTGCCTCCATTGGGCAATCAGACTCAAAACTCGCTAGGACGTGAATACTTCTTCATCTTCCTCCTCCGGATCCCACTCGCTTAATTCGCTACTTTCCGCGTTTTCTTCCTCCAACCTCTTCCTCTCCATTTCCTCTAATTTCAACCTCCTTTCCAATTGAAGCTTTTCCCGCATCGAACTCTCTGCCTCTTCCAGTTCTTGTTGGGTGTAGACGCCGGAAAAGGCTTTAAGCGGTGCTGAGAAGCCTCGCGGTGGCGGAGGGCGGTTGATGTAGGTAGCCGCGTCGGCTTTTGGGAGTTTAACTTCCAAGTAGGTGCCGTCTTCTAGAGGGACGAGGCCTAATTCACGAAGGATGGTCCGGAGCCGACGCACAACGTGATGGCGATCGACGTCAGACGGTGTTCGCGAAATGACATGTACCGCAAGTGAAGTCAGCTGTCCCAGATCGGAATCAACGAAAACTGGTTCACTACTGTCGGAAACTAAACCTGGCAAGGCGTCTCCACGACCATAGAGCCCCAGACCTCCGAATACATCATCCTCTTTGTTGTTATTTTGTTGTTGTTCTCCTGCATCGCCATCTTGTTGATGTTCAGACCCTTTTACTACTGTTACTACTCCTGGGTTCATCTTCTTCACACTACTTGGCAGCGCATACCTTCTATCAATCACAGTCGGTAAAACCAAGAAACTGCCTTCTTGGTTGAAGCGAATTTCTACTTCGTGCAACTTGTCGCCAAATTGTTCCTCGAATTGCATCACCAGAGTCAGTTGTTCTGGCGGCCGATCCTTGGGTGGCTCCCCCTCTGGATCTAGCAAGAATTGTAGACTGCCTGCACTCTTTGCCGCACTAGAGGAACTCCCCGTCATGCTCAGGTCTAAGGGATTGGCTCCGGCCTCTCCAGTAACCGTTTTACCTCGGACAAAGCCAAGACCGCCTCGGGAAGAGACGCGAGAACCTGAACCAGCACTAGCGGCTTGACGACTACCTGGAGAGGACTTAGAACGGAAAAACGAAGTTCTCCCGAAGGATCATCTTCATGTAGTTCAGTCTAAGTTTTATTCTGGTAGAGACACTAAAACTTTTTTAACGATGTACTACTCAGAAATCATTTTCATAACACTGCCCCCGTTTGACGACATTCCCCCACCAGCCGAACTCGCCGCTTTCTTTTGTGGCATCCGCAAAAAGCACCTCACTGCCGCCGCCCCCGCCTGCATCCGTTTCTTCTGGTGCAATTTCATTTGCTTCTTCGCATACCTCTCTTTGTCCATTTTCTGCCGCGATTCATACCATCCTCCTCGCCTCAGCAAATTCTCGTTCCGGTTCTGCGTGCAAACGTAGTAACGCGCTTCAGGATCCAAGTAGGTGACCACGTTGTATGGGTCATTCGGATCGATGCGGTCTCCGATGTTCACGTACTGCGGCTCTTCGGACGCCAACGCGTCCTCCAAATACGCTCTCCGTTCATGCAACACGCCAATGAGAGGTTTCAGATAGATCTTATCCGGTCCCTCGTCGCCGACTTTGGCATAAACGAATTTCCGAGGATTCAAGGGATTGATCATCTGAGCAACCTGAGTGCCGTCTCCCTGGGACTGGAGACGGATAACCACGATAACGGAACCCTTTTCGATGAAACCTATGTACGAGGAGTTGAATGCTATTGTTATGGGTTTGTTATGTCTGGGAAATTCGAGAATCGAGAGTCAGGGAAGGAATATACTTAGTAAGAAATCTTTTCTGGTTGTTCTCTCCATGGTTTGACCCGGTGGTTTGGCCACAAAAATGACCCTACACTATGTGCATCCACAGCGACAAGGAATATGAAGATTGACTCAATAGGGAGCACGAAAGCACTCAACCTAATGAGTCCTGTTTTAGGACACTGTCACAACGAATACACCATGAACGCCCTGTGAGGGTGTCGGTGATTCGCATAGCGTGACATCGCTGCAAGAGTGATAGTCGAGCAGCATTGCGTCCGAAAGTGCTTAGTACAATTTGGTTATATTTGGTTCTCGAAAATTTTGTTCTCTCCATGGTTTGACCCGGTGGTTTGGCCACAAAAATGGCCCTACACTAAAACGTGCACCCACCGCGACAAGGAATATGGAGATCGACTCAGGAGGGAGCGCAAAACAGCACTCAACCTAATGAGTCTTGTTTTAGGACACTGTCATAACGAACCACCATGAACGCCCGCTGAGGGTGTCGGTGGTTCGCATAGCATGACATCGCTGCAAGAGTGATAGTCGAGCAGCATTGCGTCCGAAACTGCTTAGTACAATTTGGTTATATTTGGTTAAATCCTAAAAAATTAATTTTTGTTCTCTCCATGGTTTGACCCGGTGGTTTGGCCATAAATATGGCCCTACACTGAAACGTGCACCCACCGCGACAAGGAATATGAAGATTGACTCAGGAGGGAGCGCAGAGTAGCACTCAACCTAATAAGTCTTGCTTTGGGACACTGTCATAACGAACCAGCACGGAGGCCTTTTGGAAGGTAATCTCGGTGACTCGCATAGTCTGACATCGCGACGAGACTGATAATCAAGTCGCATTGTGTCCGTAGGGAATTCAATTAGCTGTTATCTGATCGGGACAATATATTGGAAAACTTCAAGATGTTTGTTCTCTCCATGGTTTGACCCGGTGGTTTGGCCACAAAAATGACCCTACACTTAGAATGTGCACCCACCGCGACAAGGAATATGAGGAGTGACTCAAGAGGGAGCACGAAAGCACTCAACCTAATGAGTCTTGTTTTAGGACACTGTCAAAACGAGTACACCATGGACGCCCTCTGGGGGTGTCGGTGATTCGCATAGCGTGACATCGCTACAAGAGTGATAATCAAGTAGCATTGTGTCCAAAGATCAATAGTAGTTAGTACCACAGCATTTCCCAGCGCACATCGGATTGTCGAATAGCTCTAAGCACCATCCAGGCAAATCATAAATCCTCGGAAACAAGCTCGGATCCAAGATACACAGAGTCCACTCTAGACTCCTCAGCAAGTCCTCCATGCCTCCACTGGACAAGACTTCGAACACGTCGAACGTCGCCGTCTTCGTATAGGGGTTGTAGTAGTAGACGCGATTCCAGACAGGGTCTTCAGCGGTTCGCCAAGAGCCGACGATGACAAGAGCATCTCCACGGAATTTTCGGTGTTTCTCAGTTTCAGCCTTGTCTTGAGGTCTGGGTCGGGAGGGAGATTCGGGAAGGTTGCGGAAGATGTCCTGCTTGTCATCCTGTTGCTGTTGCCCTTGACCGGTGGCGGGAGAGAGTTGTAGTTTATGGGGACTATCTGCACCCTCGCCTTCGCGTGAGGGGACGTCACGATTGAGAGCCGAATCTTGCTGACGACGCGGCATTTTCGCGGATCCAGGTGGATTTTATACCGGATTTACACAGCGGCCTCTCTATCGTCGGATGTGTCCGCTCGAGCCCGCCGCGAACTTACGGCTCACGACAACACTGGACAAGTCGCTCAAGAGCTCCGTGTCAAGTCCAAGAAAGGACATGTTGTTGTTATGGACTTGGCGCTCTATCTACTTCCGGCACTTCGAAATCGCTATGAATACGATACATCAAGAACATAGCATCAGGCAGGGTGCTAAACTAATTTCCGCGACCCTGCATAGAACGTAAGGGGGATAAGGGGGATACCTCTAGATGGCACATTTTTTAAGTTTGCCGCACTTTTCGTATCACTTTTCAGACCTGGGGGTCAGTTCTCATTTCATCATCCACGCTCTGTCGTTTTCCTCTTCTTTTCTCTCAGTCACAAAAGCGCCCTTTCACCACCTCTTTCGTTTCGAATCAAAACACACTTTTTACTTCAGAGAGATAGTTTGCGACAAGCGGGTTGGTCTTGTAGCCTGCATCGAGTGCAGACGTCTTTTTTGAGATGTCCTTTTTCTTTTCCTCCTTAAGAAACAGGTTTGACAAGACGATTTAGAAGACGAGTTTGAATGAGACATGCGCTTTCTTGTGAAGTTGTTCACTGTATGATCGGCTCATGACCGTCCTTCCACGACCAAGCATCATCGCTTCACATATCTCCTCGTCTACCATCCCGAGCATGTCCAAGCATCTCGCCATTTCTAAATCCGATATGTTCTCAAGAGATACACGACTTAGAACGGAACGAAGCGGGAGGCGGCGCCGCCCATACCCGGCTTTCCGTGGCGAATCGGCTTGTATGTGATAGCGTACTCAGCGAGGTAAGTACCTGTGATTTTAATATTTGGAATGATGTTAGGATGCGTTGCCTTGACCTCTCCAGAGCATGTCTCGACATATCAGAGTCAGAAAAAGCGTGGTGTAGTTTTCCCAGGGTACGAAATACAAACAGCTTTGGTTACATTGCAACATCACTAAAATCTAAACAAACATCCAAATCCCAAAAAATTTATACCGATCATCTCCGGCTTGACTTCGGCGTTGATGAACTGCTTTCCGTTGTAGACGCCGACGATGGAACCAACCATCTCCGGAACGATGACCATGTTACGCAAGTGAGTCTTGACGGCGTTCGGCTTCTCTCCGTAGGCGGTCTCCAACTTGGCGGCACGGAGCTTCTTCAGAAGCGTGGTGGGGGCACGGGAGATACCTGTGTTTCGAGTGGGTGACACGAATTAGTGTAGTTGGTTTGAGATGAGATTACACGAATTGTATGGCGCCGCTTCCGCCATAAGGGTATTTTCCGTCCAGCCCTGAATGATCTAAAGGGTTCTCGGAGTACTCTAAATCGGGTTTTCTAACAGCAGACTCTGAATCAACTCTAATGACATTGAATACAATACCGAAAACTTAGTCGACCAAAAACAGTAAATCAAAGAGTACCGCGAGAGAACTTCCTGCGCTGACGAGCGTTCATCAAACCAATGAGTTCCTGGTTGTCCATGGTAAGGAGCTTCTCCAACTCGATACCACGGTAGGAGAACTTCTTGGCGCGCTTGGCCTTCTTCTGGGCCTCGGTCAAATGGCTATCGTCCTGCATCTTGTCTGTTTGGAGAGACTTGTAGTCTAAATACAAGATCTAAAAAGGACTGGATCCTTGTTCTCGTTTCCCTGTTTGGCGTTTGGAATATGGAGGTGACAAAAATGAGGTCGTGTTGTCCAAGAGGTTCAGAATGTGATACCTAGAGAATCCCTTAGGTGGACACTTCATTGTGGTGACGTTTTTAGATCTTGGGTTCCAAAAGACCAGTATGAGGATCGGAAAACGGTAATTTTTGAGTTTCTTAAGCAGCGTGGTCTTATTTAGAATTGTTGGGACCAAAGAACGAGGATCTTACATGCCAAGGGAGCATGGGAACTGCCTTTCATCGGTGTCATCGAAAGATCTGCTGCTTCACCGTATTAACGAGGTTTTGTCGATACTTGAGCTCAGTTGCAGAGTTTTAGTAATGATCCTGGCGAGTTAAATTTCAGACGGTTCAGAATAACCTGTGCATGTTCTGAAAGGGCATGATCAGAGTGCGGTTGTTGAACAATGAAATCGTGGAACCAACCTTCTTTCACGGGATCTTTCTTTTACCGAGCAAACAAAATACCTGGGCCGTTTCTAAAAAATCGATTTGCCTTCACTGCGCCTATAATATGCTGTCGCTGTGATCGTGTCGTTATGACTATGGAGTTCAACGTGACGAGGTCCTTACATATATGTCTTGATCTTGTGTGGCAGGACTATGTTGCTGTCATTTTAGCGAGTGTGGCTAGTTATGTTCCATTCGACGTTGGTGTACTAAATATGGAAAAGACCTAACTGCAGGCAGTTATGGCCTATATCAGGAGGGTTACTGTGCATTTGATTAAGATTGTGTCATCTGCTTCCACATGATCGTGTCATTTAGATCTTTAGATGATTTCAGCGGGATGTGCACAAAACGTGTTCTTCGCCAGCTGTGTGTCGTTTTGTCTACTTACCTATGCAAGAAACGTAAAAATCCGTTTGATGTTGCTCCACCTACTGGCAAAACTATGACATGGTGGGAAGCGCCATGAAGACCTATGTAAGAAAAAAAATGTAAATGCGTGATTCTAACCTGTGTATAGCAAGATTGTGCGCGCAGAAACTACGAATTCTAAACCGATCAGAGTTGCGCGATAATCTCAGTAATATGAGAGAAATCATTCTCCTCTTATTGATATGATAAGATCATACCACGATGCAGCCTCGAAAATAACTTCCAGTGGCGGAATGTTCGCTTTTTCTGACCCAAGAATCAGTTTCTGCGCTTGCCTAGACGGAGCTAAACTACCGCTTTCGCCCCTCCCAATACATCGCCTTCCCTCGCCAACAGTTTCCGCCTCAGAGACATATCCTTCACTTGCGACTCTTCGTGAATCTTCCACCCTGCGTACCAGACAGCTGACCACGTCAGAATTACCGCAGCACACGAGTAATACGCCACGTCAAATCCATACACGTCAATCACACGACCCCAAAGGATACTACCAATTGAAAAGCCGAGTTGCTGATACAGGCCATTGCAGACTGCTTGCATAGTAGTTTCGTAACCTTTTTCGTTTCTTCGTGCGGAAAGAATTTTTCAGAGCTTTTAATTGCAGACGAACTATGTTCAGATTGATACTACTGCAAACGCCTCCAAATTCTGAGTCCTCTAAATTACATACCACGGCAAGCAATGCTAAATTCAAGAGTCTATAACTCACCTTTCGGCGCATTTTGCTGTGCATAGTGGACGCTTGCTGTCCACATCGCGGCAAACGTAATGCCATGCAGAGGCTCCACTATCAAAACGCTCCAAACAAAATCCCGTGGCAAGCAGACGTAGAGCAGACACCTCAGTGCAAAAACGATGTGGCAGCCGGCTAGGACCGTTCGTTCCGACACGTATTCGAGGACGTGATGGAAATAGAAGAAGACGGGTAACTCAAAAAGGCACATGACAGCGATCGAAAGACCTGGTGACGTCGTTTTCTTTGGGGTGTGGCTGAAGCAGAGCAGAAGCTACTACTTCTCGCAATTGTTAGTTCCTCTAAAATGCCTATAGTACCCAGCAACAGCTTATCCGCCTTGGGCTGAAAGTCTCTTTCCAGGTAGACGAAGAGAAAGGTCTCCACCATCGCCATACACATCCCGTACATAACGAGATTCGCAAAAAACCACAAGGCCTTAAACTGCAATAGCTTTTGTCTTCGGAGAGCGGCAGGAGTTTGCGGGAATTAGCAAGTCTTGGAACAAGAGGGCTGATGCGGTAGAATCCACGGCTCTGTTAATCAACCCTGACATTATCATAATATAGGGTTGTACCTGTGGGGCGTAGGCACACTGAAATCAAAATCATACTTTTGCATCCATCACCACGTTATGGTACTTATTTCAAGCTGCCTCTCATAAATGTAGCTCTTGATCAACGCTGAGTTCGCCACGATCGACCCTCCTGGTGTCGGGTGTGCCATCCCCTCTCCACCAACTGGCGCATCAACTGCATCTCCACTGTCATCCGCGAAGAAAAAGACTAAAACTGCGATTGATATCGACGTACCAATGGAATACGAATAAAACATATAATCAGTTCCGTACTCGTCGATCATTCCTCCAGTGAAAAAAGCCATCACTCCCCATCCAATAGCACCCCACATGCGCTGCCCGCCGTAACTGTCGTCGCCGCCTGTAGGGAGTTTGTGATTGCGTGGCGGGTTGCGTCGATGGTCTGACTACTGATCGATATTGTATTATTCCGCTCCTCAATGTCATCGAAAATCAGATACGATCTTTAAGTTGGGTGCTACCTTTATGTTGTTTCAGCACTCCCAAGCAGAGAGAGTCCTGGATCCCCTGTGCCCCTGCTCTGCAGAAGGCTGCTAATCCAACGAAAATAAATATCATGGCCAAACTATCCTTGTACGCATTGAGGCACAGGTAAAATACAACGCCGAGTGCGGACGAGATGGAGAGGACGACCTGTTTGAGCAGCATGAGTTCCATGACGAAGATAGGGTGGAAGTAGTGACGAGCGTGAACGTGATGTAACAGTTTTGGAATAACTAAAGAACAGTTATACCACCAACCAGCGAACCAGAAAAATCAAATCTATCAATTACACCTTAATATGGATTCCACTCCAATCGCAGATCATGGCCCAAAAAATCTGTCCGATGAAGCAACTCAGCGGGTCTAGGCACATCAAATAGCCAATAAACTCCGGTCCGATGCCTAAATCAGTGTACAGCACAACAAGGAACCGGACTAGACTCGCTGTACATCCTAGTTGGAGGAAGTAGAGCAGTTTACATGCCCAGAGGGGGGTTATTGCTTTCTTCTCGGATGCTAAAAATTCTGATGAATCTATTGGCGCTATCGTTGATGCTGACATGATAGCTTTGAGAGACGAGGAAGAGGAGGACTGGCCCGGTCCTGAAGACGACGAAGCACTTTCGCCAGTTATTGGCGGTCCTGAAGACGACGAAGAATTTGCTGCTCCACGCTGACCACAACATGAGCCAAAGCTACCTGAAGATGATGGAGCGGATTGCTCTCCTGTAGGTGCGCCGCCTACTAGTGGCATCTTCTTCGATGCCGCTGCATCAATAGTGTCCTCTGTCGTGATGAAATTGAAGTCCGCACTGCTATTGATCTTGATCATCTTGGGGCGGGCACCTTTCCGTGGCGGAGAAACGGCCTGCTCCGCCGCAGCGGAGCGATTCTGGGCGACCGGCATAATATTTCTTGGCGCACTGTTATTTGGTCTCTTTTTGGTTATTTTTTACGGTTTTTGATGTGAGGTAGGAATTTCGAAAAAGATTCGATTTTGCTATTCGGGAAAGCAACGAAATGCGTGTCCTTGTCGACCTACAGTTTCTTCTCTTTTGCAATTGACAAAGCGAACTTTTTGCCTCTTTGATTGGTTGTCCTAATGGGCTCCTCGGTGATAGACCACTTAAAAGGAACATCAGTGTGTTATATATAACGGGGCCTTTTGCATACTGGAAAACAAGCATACTGTCAGCAGAATCTTTTACTCTATGCAGAGCGTGGTGGATAAGACGAGACTTCACACTGAATTAACAATCACCCTAACATCAGGAGGCGTGCCGAAATCACAGCATCAATCTACATGTGTTCTTCAATGAAGACGTCATCCCGCTCCGCCACCACTTGGCGCGCCACCTTCTCCACTAGCGCCTGCCTCTTTCTTTTCCTTCTCCATGCTTTTGACCAAAGCTGCAGTAGATGTCGATGACCGCCGCACCACCATCATTTGCTCCTGCGTTTTCGGTTCTTCTACCGGGTCTTCGTAAGGAATACACAAACCCGCACAAAACCCTCGACAACACCAATACAAGCAGAAGATCGGACAGCAGCATGGAGCGTTGCTGCAACAAGGATGTATGCGCTCCAGACAGCGCAAATTGGCTTCGTTTAGTGAGGAAGGCTTGGTGCCAGCGCCTTTTAGTTGCACATTGGCGGGTTTTACTCCTTTCTTGCCTAGAGTGAGTTTTGCAGCAGATGCACGAAGTGCTTTGGAGAAGGTGCTTGTATCATCTTCCACTGAAGATGATCCCTCCATTGTCTCTTGTTCAACTGGATTTAACGATGAGGAAGACAAGGATCCCCCTATCGAGGAAGCCGACGCTGACGCACCAATTGTACCGCTGCTCATGCCCATCGCCGACGTTGTAGACGATACGAAGGATCTCGCACTGCCACCTTCTCCTTTCCCTCCTTTTCCCTTTCCCTTAAGATCTCCAGCCTTTCCCTTTCCACCTTTCTGATCACCTGCATCTTCCTTTTCATCACCCAAGGCTATCAATGCTGATGACATTCGTTTTGCTATCTTAGTCGGCACGCTATCTCCATCGCCATCTTCGGCATCGCCTTTGCCTATGAAAACAGCCGCGGAAGACAACGCCTTTCCAATCGCTTGCTTTGCGCTTGAGATTAGAGGGACCGCCCGAAGACTCCTGATTACTCAGCAGTGAATGGTTCCTATTCTCGGCAGTCAATTCTGTCCCTAATTAGTCCTATACTCAGCTTGCAACTTCATAGCCTATAGCTGGGGCTTCTTACAGTCACCTCCACGCAGGTACTTTTTGCATGTAAGCTACAAGAAGAACAAAGCTCTTCAATCTACTATCCACCACCCCAATCTAAGATTCAAACCCTTTCCATAACCCTGTCTTCGTGATCCCACCCAAAAACGCATCGTCCTCTGGCACTGTTTTGAATTCATAACTGACTGCGCGAGTCAACTTCGCCTTCTTCTCTGCGTCGATTTTTCGATGTTGATCTTGCTCTCGTGCATCCACTACCTGAACTTTCTTCGTTCGTTGCTGAATGCTTAAAGGCGATTCCAACGCATTGGACGAAGACGATTGGTTTCGAGAGGACATATTGCTTGTCTTCTTGGAAAGGATATTAGTACTTGTTTTGGAGTTGGACTTGCTTTTCTTGTAAAAAAGACTTTTCGCTGGTTATCTGCAGACTGTACCCATCGAAAAATGTTGATGCTCGTTACTCTGAACCTGATCAACGCAGTCAATTGCGACATGTTTGATGTGCGTCTTGCGCTAGGTGTTGTGCCACTCGGTGCCACTCTTTCGGGCCTGCTGAGGGGAGTCAGGTATTCTGTTTTACAAACCGACGTGGAGTGAGCCTTGTTCAACCGAGTGTCGACTGTCTGTACCGAGATGAACAGCGACAGACCGAAAAATCTTGTACTTGTACCGAAATAGAGTTTCTTTATGCGTGCTCGTGCTCAACCAGCTACTTTAATATTACAACATCACATAGAGATGGAAGCCGATAATTATACACCGTGAAATTCGATTCCTCAACGCTACGTAATTTGAGATCACCTCGTTTTTTGCGTTACCACGACCACTTTGATGCGAATTTACGGCGCTGAAGATCCTTTCCTTCGACAGAGAATGGTAATCATATGCTAGAAGCAGTGACACCTGGCTCATGCATGGGGAAAAATGATTCAAGTTCAGCAGTCAGTCACCGGGAAAAGTAACAAAACGAAAAGAATGAAGAAAAAGTCGTGTATAGTCCATCTTTGGGCAGTACTCTGTGCCTTAGCCGACGTCTTCAAGAAGCTCATCAGGCGTACTTAAAGTCCGGATAGTAGATGTATGGTCTGCGCTTGGTACCAAGAGCTGGGCCTTCAATTGGCGTGTATCCATTGTCGAATTTGTGCTGATCCCATCTGCACTTCTGAAACTCGTCAAACCATTTCACGCACCTTTTCCCAGCCTCCAACGGCTGTTTTTCATACTGATAGGTGGCGAGGCAGCGCGCTTCCTCGAGGAGGAGGTATTTGCCTGGCAGTGGTCACACATCAGATATTTGTGGTGGAGCCGACCTAACTAGAAAATATATTGTAAATGTAGAGGACCATCAGATTTTGTAAATGTCTAATTCAGGTCGTTGGCGTTCGACATAAACAATGGAAAGGTATACGAGGTGTAATAATTAAGTACACGCACTATTCGGGTCGTCTTGCTGAATGCGATCTCCGAACTCGTTGACTGATAGCCGAATGTCATCCGCACTCTTTGCTGGACCCATACTTCGAGGACGGTAAAGACCTGAATGTGGTCGTGTAGTTACAGATGTTGATTCGTTGTGAACTAAATGCCTAGTAAATAGACAAAGACAAACAGGAATCTAGTCAGCTAGTACGCTATCGTTCTTTCTGTAGTTACAACTCTGAAACAATAATCTTCATGCGGAATATGGTAGTAGTGATGATGATGATGATGATTGTAGTAGTACCTGTAAAATAAGCCAAGTTCTTCTGCCACTTGCTTCCGATTTTGCCTGCTGGGACTGCAGCAAGGCTAAGTTCGTCTCCAAGCATATTCTCATAGCTCTGATTAATCCTGTCTTCTGATGGCTTCTTGGGATGAAAGCCTCTTGCATCGGTCGCGAACGGGGCAACGGGTGTCGAGTGGTTCTTGCCGTCGAGCAGCTGGGGAGATCGGGAGAAGGGAGATCATGTTGAAATGACGAGTGTTCTTAAGGGTAGCGGGAGAAGTGGATTCGGGGACAACAGGAAAGGGAGATCACGAAATGACGAGTGTAGAAGTGGAGTATTTCTTGAAGAAATCTTCGTGTTCGACATGCAGACATGTTAACCTCGACGTAGTGGAGTAGTTCTTGAAGAAATCTTCGTGTTCGACATGCATACGTGGCACGCAGTTACCCTGCTTACCTCCTCATACTCCTGGCTCAACATCTTCAACTTACAGTACCTACTTACCTCCTCATACTCCTGGCTCAACATCTTCAACTTAGTACCTCCCCATGCTGCCTTTGTCCCATCAACTGTCCCTGTGGCACTGGGTCAAAGCCCCATCGGTGCACCTTCATTTCATTCGCCACGTCATGAGCCGGACTCAAGGGCACTTGCTTCCCCAAATCCATGAAAGCGCCAGCAATCAAAAATGGATCCGAACTGCTGCCCTCTTGGCAGCGGACAGGAGCTCCTGTGCGGGAGTTGGAGGTCCCATCTCCACTACGCGGAGGCCCTCCGCGGACCCAAGAGGAGAAATGGAGCATGTTATTATTCTTGTTTTGGTGGAAGTAGGAATTGCTGTGACGTTCTGAAATTTTTGTTTCTGTAACTTCTAATCACTGTAAGAGTTTTCGCTCGACGCAGCCACAACATCGGGTAGCTCTCGAGTCTCAGTATCAAGTTGCTCTATAATATGAGGGCACAACCCAACGACGCGGTCACGGCTCTGACGCCCCCCTATTTCTCTCAATCAAATCGGAGGGCTCTGCTGCTTCTGAAAACGGACTGCAAGGCTTTCGTGCAGTTCTGGAACCTCCACTTTTGTTGTATGCCAACCATCTATTTGGAAAAAATTATGTAGCCAGAGCCAGTATGAGTTTTTTGGCATAAACAAATTGTGGTAAACTTTGCTCGGCAAGATATTTGGTTCAAATTGTTGAGTTCATGTCGCTCCGGCAACATTCACCGAAGGAATAAACTTATGATCGTTCTTCTATCTTATCCTCTTACTTATTCTATTGCCCCAAAGAAGAGTTACCATCCTCAGGCAAGGAAGGACAGTTTCGCTGAGGGAGGCAATCAAAAGAAATAAGGAGTATGGACCTCAAAATCATCAGTTTCGCTGAGGGAGGCAGTCAAAAAAAAAAATCTGGAAATATGACGATGGAATGAGACTGCTTAAGCTACTTCGCGCATGATCATGCTTTGAAAAACTGGATCATGCGAGAAATGCCTATGTCTAAACACTCAAAGATGTTGTGATATTTAATACCTTATGTTGGAAGTATGTTATGCTCAGCGGAGTGTTGTACTGGCGGAGTACAAGCACCTATATGTATAATCGATAATTTCTGAAATGATAATTTCTCATCTTCACAAACTGCACAACTTTTTCTGTGTTTTGGTTTCTACTACAATGTGAACGAAGACTATTAAGTAGTCAAGGTCGGTTCGTTAAAAACAGCAGTCCCGTTTTTTTCCATCAGAGATACCGGACACGGGTTCTGCGCCGCAGCCACTATCCCCAGACGCCTTCGCCATCGATTGCCGAAGTTCAGCGAGGTCACTGTATTAATGTAATAAATCTAAATGTAGGTTTGTCAAAATCTTCACCATTTGAACATTGATGTGGTGCCAGGAGTGCAATCAGCTTTCAATATATGAGAATAAGAAAATGTATTAAATGAATAAATTTTTAGCTACACAAGGTAACTGGTGTTCTTGAATAGGTCAAGACAGATGGTAATGCTACTTGCTTCTATAATCTTCCTCAAATAGTACACTTTTTTCTGGTCGTTTGCAGACGCACCAAGAAGAACCAACAAGAATCATAAAAAAAGCAATAGTACTTTTCTTACACGAGCGGAATCTTGATGGCTGCAAGGAACTTCACATCCAAAGGCTCGTCGTCGCCATCGACGTAAGTCGGATTGGTTTCGCAACTCGGCGTCTCGTCTGCTGGTATCAACCAAAACTTTGCTTGCTCTAACTGCGTGTGCGTCACTGTGGCGCCTGGTGTGTGGTGGTGGTAGTAGTGGTGGATTGACAAAAGGTGAAGTTCTTTGTTGGTCTTGGTCATGATGATCATGTCACAAAATATCTTCAAGAGGGTCATTTTAGAAGAAAGCCGCACTCATTCTAGTAGTACTCATTCTACTCGAGGAGAGGGCACGCACGCCGACGGCGACGATCGAAGGATTGTGCTCCCAGAGTTCGACGGTTAGCCTCTCACAACAAGATGAAAAAGAATCCAAGTCAAGTCCAAGTGCTTCAACAAGTTTTTAGTACCAAATTGCGGATCAACAAGTAAGTACCGAATTTCGCATCAATTTTCCCTTCTTTCAAGCCCAATTCCGCTTTCGACGCCATAATCTTCAGAATCTGCCGTAGACTCGTTTCATTGGATATGCGCAATTCCTCTGGAATAGGCTCTGCGAATTTGCCAGTCTGTTTGGCGGATCTCCATTCGTTCATGTACTTCATTTTGTGCGCTTGTGGAATTTTTGTGGACTTCATGATCTCTGACATCGCGGTTTGGTTGTCACTATCGAGTGGTGGCATGAGGCTGTTGTCGAGTGACACTGCGAAGGGATAGACGGTGGTGGAAACCGGCATTTTGTCCTTGCCGTCTTCGCCGCCTGTCGTTTGTGTGGTGGTATGATGCTGGTGGGAGGAGAAATTCTTGTTAGAAGTGATGGATGGAAAGCAAAAGCATGATCCGGAAAAAGGATTTGAATGATGCAGAGACTCATCTCTTGGAGTTAAAATAGACTACGAAGATGGGTAGAAGTACCCTTCTTATGTCCCAAAATGAACGCCCAGTTCGTGAGACAAATGTTATGTTCGTTCTCCAGCCAGTCTATGAATCCCTTCAAGCTCATGTCGCCACTAGAGACAGTCAACTTATCCCAGACAGTGTGTGGGTTCGGATAGGCCGCATACTTCTCCCTGAGGAAGTACTCTTCTTTGACCTGGATGTGGCAAGTGGAGAGAGAATAGCAGGTGGCGAAGATGTCTTTTCATCTTTCGAGTACCATGATCATCACAATAGTAAATAAAAGTTGTTCCCCAGATGATCATCAAAAAGAAAACTGCTGCTCCCACCTGTACTAAATGTTACAACTACAAGAGCCATTGACTATATTATAGTGTGAGCCATTGTGACTTCTCTTTTCTTCATCAGAAAATATTGATCGGATCAAGCTTTTGATGTTTCTTGTTTTTGGCTCTCCTCTTATTTTTGTTTTTCTAGTTGAACACATATTACTTATTTTTAGTGCTTTCAGAAAATATTCGTATGTAATTGTGTACTTAAGTACCTTCCCATTCTCATCAAACGCATCGTCTTTCAATGTGCTAACGTCTGGCTTCTCCACTTGTTCACCGCTCTTGATTAGAGCGGTCCGTAATTCATCTTTCAAGTTGTGCATCCTTGAGAAGTATGGGGGAGTACTCCCTTACAGGATACTCCTCCATACCCATAGTACGTTTCAAGGATGCGTGGTCCAAACAAAGATGTACTTATTTAATAAAGTTAATAAAGGTCCCTCTTTTTTATGTTACTACTTCCTCCCCTTTTCAACTTAAGAAAGTGCATCTTAATTAATAATTAGGGACAACAGCCTTAACTTCAATTTCTTGGGTTCATCCGCTTCAAAGCTCGTGTACGTGTTCGTCGCGAGTCCGACTAACCTCTGCCTCAACGCTTCACAGGGCTTATCCAGTAGCACTTTGAAGAGCTCCATGATCACTAGACCGGTGACCGCTGCGGTCGTAGTCGCAATCGCGGGAATGATTCTTCCGGCTACTAGCTTCACCTTCTGGAAATCCGAGTTTTGGATGAAATAGTTGTCTGCCCTCAAATTGCTCAGATGTGTGATCAGCGCAATATGGAAGTTGAAGTCGTCGTCTTTCTCGAAATCCGCTTCGAGCAAATCGCCGTTAGGAAGAAGTTTGCCGCCGCTTGGTGTTGGGAAATGAAAGTAGGGGACAGCGAGAGGCGAGTGGGGGAGTATTTTTGAGCAGGCGAAGACGAGCGAAGATGAGTGCATGAAGCAACGGATTCATCCCAAGAAACTGTTTTAGTGAGGTTCATTCCTCATAAAAGTCAAGAAAACATTGATTCATTCGAACCACGTAGCAGCTACGAGTAGCTGCCTGGTTCCGTTGGGACCCGAGTAGTTAAACACAGCGAGCGTTAAACATTGAAAAATAAAATTTCATCATAAGCAACTTCCGCTTTTATGTCTGCTGCGATCTTTTCCAGCGCAATTCTGCCACTGTTGGCATCCTTCTTCAGCTTCTCATTGTTCGGATCGTTGTCATCTAATTTGATGCCTCCACTGATGTACTTAGAGCTACCGCGTCGATCTTCCTTGCAAGAGATTGATAAGTATGTCCTTGGTTGGACACATCATCATCCTTGGACACATCTTTTTCCCCTTGAAAATAAAGACGATCATCCAGGGATTATGTGCTTAAGTATGATTTCCCCTTGAAAAAGACGATCATCCAGGGATTATGTACTCTTCAAGGATTTATAATGTATGACTATGATGTTGAGGATGCTCGCTTCACTGCCTTAATGTATTCTGGAGTCTTTAGAGAAGGCAACAAGCTGTTGAGCCATGCGGCGGATCTCTGATTGGCAAGCCATGAATCATCGCCATCCTGCTTGACTGGATTGGCGCCGATTGTGACGGCTACGAGGTTCGTACACGCGATCATGAACTCCGCGTGCGTGGTGTTGCCAGGTTCAAACTTCGCCACTTTTGGAAACCGTTTGTGGCCTGTCCAGAACGGGCCTTTGTCTTGTTTTGTGTCCGGATCAATCGTCCTTGCATTTTCTGGGAAAGCGGTGACCAGGTCTGTAATCTTGTCCCGAAAGAGAAAGTGGAACAGATCGTACGCGACCTGAGCGGCTGCGGTGACGGACGGTTTTTTCCCGGCTTGGAGCAGACTGCCTATGACTCGCAATTCAAACAGGCTCTGTCCCACATCCGTCGTGTCTGTTTTTTCAAGCAAAAACCCTTCGGGATCGGCTAGTAGTTTTTCTAGCTGTTTCGGCGTCTTCACCAGAATAAACTCAAAAAGATCCCGCGCCCACTCAATGCAGTGATCCGGCAGATGCGGGAAGTTGCGAAGCGTGCACATTGGGATCTGTCATTGTCAGGGGAGAGTGAAAGTCGTGGTATCAATCCTCCTGGGAACAACAGGAGTTATTTGGAAAGAAATATCAACAACTGCAACAGATTGGAGGAAGGAGAGATATTAATTTATAAATATGACATGCCGAAGTCAAAAATCCTTTGAATGTCTTCATGTGTTCGCTCCATGTTGTAGTTAAAGCTGAACTATCGAAGGAGCCGCATCACATAGAAGTTCTAGCGAACTAGCTCCTCTGAAGAGGGCCGATATTCTGTCACAACAGAAGATACCCCTCCTCCCGCAGCCGCTTCTCCGCCGTCTCTGTAAGTCTTCGTTTTAAACGGCACGATCGGGTCGACGTTGCCGCTGGGTCCCATCGTTCCACTCTCCAACAAGGGCTTCTCATATTTCACACATTGGCCATCAACGTAAAACCGAGCCTCCATGTTGTCGAGAGCGTTGACTACTGCATCCAGCTCCATCCAAAAGGCATCATCAAACGTGTCTTCTGTGCTCTTCCCGACAAACATCTCTTTCGCGGAGATGAAGGTTAGAGATTCGCACGCGGACAAATTATCATGGAAGATAGACATACAGCACGCCCTCTGAAGTTGTACTGAGCCTGAACTTGTAGGCGTAGCGTTAAGTGTACGTAGGAGTTTCTGTATCAAGTGTTCTAGTTCTAGTTGTGTGGTCCTCTACTCCGTCAATTCTCTGTTGAGTCCTCGTAGTTGCACCTCGTCCTGTCAAAAATAGCAATATTTCTCTATATTAATCAAAGGTCCTCGAGTGGTCCTAACTTCAAATCTTTATTCATCGTTTTTGCCATCGCCCCAGCTGCTACCGATTTCGCATGCCCAACATTATGTTCTCGGAAGAGGAACTGCCTTGCCAGATTGCTCAATTCGATGCGATCTGCGTCTGTCACTGTCAGTTTTCCACTAGGCCCACAGCAAATACCGTTCAAGTTAGAGCTGCTCTCCGCAATCCATCTCCGCAAAGCACATTCTGAGACTCCTTTCCAGCATGGAAAGAAAAACGTCTCCAAGAAGATGCTTTTGGAGATGGATTAGGGGAACAATCAACCCTTAATCAAAGCAAAATTCTTCAACAACTCGCAGCCTAAAGCGCCACAGCCAACCATGAAGAGCTTCTGATTTTGCAGTTTGGTCACGAAATCTTGCCCGTAGAGAGCTACTAAATCGCCGTAGCGGTTCTCCTGCAAGGCAGATGCAGAGGTATTTCCTGCTTTCCAATCCTTCGGCAATGCCTCTCTGCAGTGGAAGTGCAAAAACCCAGGAATCGGTGTGAACTTGCCCGTCACCTTGATGACCTCTTGTCCCAACACACCACCGAGAAAAGCGCTCATCGGCTGCAATTCGATGCCCGCTTGCGCAGCGTACTCTTTTTGCAAGTCCTCGTTGATATCGATCTCGAGATCGAGCTTTTTGGTCTGAAGGAGCTCTTTGGCTGTGGTTAGAGTGGGGAGATGCGTTCTTTCTCTGGTAGTTCACCTTGAACGTATAGAAGCAGTTGTAAAACTCTCAGCTTCATGCACACTAACAAGACGGCTTGTTCACCATTCCACCCAGTCGAGTCAATCAACACGACTTCCAATCAAAAATTCCAAAAAAATAGTCAATCCAACGAATCATACCACCAACGACTACAGCGTGACCACTAAGAACTTCCTTCATCATAACTTCGCCAAGCATGCCGCAGTATCCAAACTTCCTCCAGCGTCCAACTTTAGAGGTAGGTTTTTGGTGTTTGTTTATCCCGCTTGTTATGGCTGTCCCCACCTAAGGGAGAGAGCCATAACAAACGGTAACAAAAGCACCGTTAACCTACCCCTAACAACTGCACTGCCATTGCCAGGTGTATCTGCAGTTCGGATCCAAAATCCAACATGTCCGTTCCCACCATGTCGACGAAAGGGGTTCCAGGCTGCGCCAGCTTCTCAGCAAAAGACGCACACGGAGATGGCTCCGCAACTTTTTTCTCGGTTAATATGAAACCAAAATATGTTATCATTATCATACTTTTCTACTTAAGAAACTTGATAATGATAACAGATTTTCTTTTCATAGTTAAGGTTCCACCCTTGAGGTAGTCTCCTGGAAAGCCAGCAGTGCTGCCTACAAGTCGGAGTGTGTTCTGCGGATCCTTGGATTTGGTGGTTGTGCGCCAGCCTACTATTTTTTCGCCAGTAGGGAGAGTAACTTGGTTCTCGGCGATGCTGTGCTTAGAAGAGGGGGGAAGTGGAACTAGTTCTTGTTCACAGGATTCACAATAGATTCTTGTAGTGCTCTTGTAGTTGTAATTCTGGCAGTAATTATCACTGGTGCCTTTGAATGTCAGCATCAACCTCAAGAACATGAAAAATCTGAAAGTGAAGTAGCGTTCTTGAATTATAAGTAGCAAGTCATCATTCAAACTGACATGAGTCGAGCTGAAAGAACTGTCTGTCGCTGTCACCATCAAGGAATCTTCATAACTTTTAACCCCTGAATGTCCGGTGAAAACTCAATGTATGCTCCTTCCGTGAATGTAGCTGGTGCAGTTCCTTCTGGTACCGAATACCGCACCAAAGGTTCGCTCTCTCCTTTTTCGATGTGCTCGACTATGCGGACTAAAGGGTTTTCTCCGTTCCGATCCGACACCATGTGATTCGGTCCGTGATCGCTGAAGATGGTGCAGAAGACGCCTTGCGACCGGCCATAGAGAAACGAAATCCTCTTCGATCGACAAAATTCGTTCCACTTGGCCAGGTCCTGGCCGCTCATTTTGGGATCGGTGACGACTACGACTGCATGCTGGAGGACGAGGTCTTCTGAGAGCGCAGAACCAGATCCAGCAACGACTTTACACAAAGGGTTCAGTTCTTTCAGTTTCGGAACCAAAACGTCGTGCTTGACCTTTCCGACGTCTGCTTCTGTCAGAAAGAAATTGACACCGAGGTCGCGCTTTGTGACGGCTGTGGCATCGAAGAGGGTCACGCCACCGCATCCGAGGATTAGATGCTGGGACTTCTCAGAAAGAACTTTCATTCAATTGTTCGAGCAAAAAAGTATAGGCATGGATTGGATCTAAAACTACTTCACGGCGCACATTGACAATGACGACATTGACACTATCAACTTGGTTAGGTTAGGTTGTGAATCCTTCACAGCGAGCCTCACGGGCACCTGCTCGCCTCCGAGGATGTTGGGTGACCTAGGTAAGGTGGTCAGCGAATAGAACCGAGGCGGTGACTTGAGTAAAGTCGTGCCATCAACTTGCCCTTCGTAACTGCAACACAATATTTTTCGCCGTCTCGATTCCCAATCCGTTGCCTGCACCGACGATAAGGACACGGAGTTTCGTCAGTTTCAGCGTCGTCTCGGCACCAAGAGCAGCATTCTGACGAGAGAATTTATCGAGAAACCTTTGGTCGGTTTCTCCGTGAGGAGACGAGCCTCCGTTAGCGGTGGGAGAACCGTTCGCGGCTGCCATTTTTTCCTATTTACCTGATGATGATGGAGCAGGTTGATAATCAGTGATAAGGATAACGTCTTTCAGGTCAGTGAAATAAATTTTGTTGTTAAGTTTCTAGTCTTTAGATAATGTCGTTAAGTTTCTAGTCCTTCGATCGTTTTCGTTACTTAGAAAAGCAACAAGCCTAAGAGCTGTTATTTGGAACGATGATATGTCTTGATATCAATTCAGAACTTGTTCAATCGTACTTTGAAGTAACAATAATCTTCCCCTCCATGCTCTGAATGCGTATGCGTCCTTGAAGAAAAATCACTCATACAACACACTCGGAATGTGCTTGGATGTAGATCCATCAATCTTACTGCATTCTTTAATACTACCGACTTGCCTGAACGAAAGCAGTCCAGTTGTTGAACACGAATTTTCAACGTCTGACAAGAAGTTTTTTGATCTTCAAAATGGCGAAGACTGAGATTTGCAAAAAATCAAAAGGAAAGATCCTTTCCTACACATAGACGGTCGACGCGACGTCAGCAATCATGGGATGTTGACAGTCGGCGCTCTGACACTGCACAATTCATTGCGTATGTGTAAGTGTATTCACGTGGTATAGTGAAAAAATCAAGAACCGGGCATGAAATTTTGCGCGTTGAACATCTCAGCAGGTGAAACTACAAGAAAGAAGGGAAGCCTGTATTCTGGCAGTAGCGATTCTGCACCGGCGCCATACTACTAAATTCGGACCGATGGTATCAATCAGTATTGTCTGCGGAAGTTTATTGAGCACCAGCACTACTGAACCGGCGCCATACTACTAAATTCGGACCGAGAAAAGAGGAATGGAGATGGTATCAATTAGTATTGTCTGCGGAAGTTTATTTAGCACCAGCGCTACTGACTCGGCGCCTCAATATGCTTCTTGAAATGCGCGGGCAGCACTATATCCATCTCGCCCATCTCCTTCAGCACCTTTTGCCCAATGACCATCTTATTGATCTCGCTAGTCCCCTCATAGATCTCCGTTATCCTCGCATCTCGGAAGTACCTCTCTTAGAGGTAGGCTTTTGGTGCGCGTTTTCCCGTTTGTTGTGCCTGTCTCCCTTAGGAGAGCCATAACAAACGGTAACAAAAGCACCTTTAACCTACCCTTAACTCTCAGCCGGCATATCGCTGACGTAGCCCATGCCACCAAGGATTTGGATGGCCTCAAATGCGCAGAAAGTAGCAGCTTTGCTTGCAGCGTATTTGCAACGTGCTGAAGCACGAGTGTAATTTTCTTCTCCTCGATCCTTCATACTAGCTGCTTGCCACGTCAGTAACCTAGCGGACCAAATCTTCAAATCCATATCTGCCAGCTTCTCGTGGACTGCGTAGTAGCCACCTATTCAGGAGGAGGGAAGGAGCAATGGAAGCGGGAAAAGGAAATGGGATGATGGAAAAGAAATTGGTTTCAAGTTCAACAAAGGTTCCTGTGGTCTACTACTTTTCAATGACTTCAACTTCATATTTCCTCACGATAGAAGCCTTTGAAACAACAACAAGATGAATCATCTTCCCCATACGCCTTTATAGTAGTTTTTCTCAACTAGTACCGGCGCGACAAGATAGTAACGAACTCTCCGACACTCGGAAAGACTCTCTATTAAGCAAGATGAAAATAACGAACTGTGTCCTCGGAAAGACTCTCTAACTCTCTACTAAGCATGCTCTCTATTATAAGGTTTACTAAGCATGAAAGCAAAACTAAATCTTTAGGACCTATCTTCTGTCCAAACGCATCCCTCTCCGAAGCATATTTGACAGCACACTCAAAAGAGGCCTGGGCGATACCCAATGCTTGTGCGGCAATCCCGATTCGACCAGCATCCAGTAATTTCATGGCGATCCTGAAACCCTCTCCTTCTTGGCCTAGTAAATTTTCTTTAGGTATCTTCGCGTCTTCCATAATAACCTGCGCAGTGGTGGAAGCCCTGATGCCTAGTTTGTCTTCTGGCTGGCCAAGTTTCACGCCGGGGATTAGAGGTGGCAGTGGATGAGGCGGAGGCCACAGTGGATCTTAGGCGTTAGTGAGTTAGTGACGGAGTACGTAAGTTGTCTACCTATTTTCTTACCTGCAGTTCAATACAACCGGATACAACCAAAATGATATCTATCAAATCTTACTGCAATACTGTGTGTCATCTACATGTTCAAGTCCTTGTGTCATAAAGCATGATCCTTCAGTGGCAACACGAAGCAGGAAATTCCCTTATGCTTTTTTGATTTATCAGTAGTGGCGAAAACCAAGGTCGAAGCACCTCTTAAAGCTCACCCTGATCCACCTTGAGACTCATCCTGGCCGCCTTTTCAACTTGAAAGCCTCTTCAGGATGCTTCGGAAGATGGATAAGGGGAAGGGGAAGCCTTAAACCTTGGTAACAATTCGAAATCCACTGTTTTGTCCCGGTCAAGGTGTATTCCGAGCCATCTGCTGATAGAACCGCTGTCGTTGACGCAGCCGCTGCATCGGATCCGTTGCCTGTGACGAGTGAAAAGGGATGTTTTGAGGATGGAGGGAGTAACAATGTTCCTGTATTCGACTTATTTTCACAAGAACAGGCTCAACGTTGATCTTCTGAACTAAGGGCCTTCTCAACTGTTGATCGAGCTGGTCGAGGATGGAGGGAGTGACAAGGTTCCTGTATTGAATTTTTCACAAGAATAAGGTCAAGCAGTAATAAGAATTATCTGTATTGAATTCTTCTTTTCAGAAAAGCAGCGTCAAGAAGTAATGTAATACGGAAGTAGACTTCGATTATATTATAGCTCGCTCGCATGGTATGGAGTGCATGGATTTCCATGGAGCTAAAGGGGGCGCTTCTTGCGTCCCTTATGGGTCTGCGCTCCATGCACTCCATGCTACTGCATGCACCATGCGTGCTATAATAAACATAGAATACCAGGCTCCGACAATGCGAAGCATCCAATCTTCTCGCCGTAGCAGTAATCCTGCAGAGTCGCCTTCTGCTCCGCACTTCCAAAAGTTTGAATTCCACCACAGTAGAGACTGTTGTTGATACTCAAGACCAGACCACAACTAGGACACCCTCTCGAAATCTCTTCCATTGCTACTGCATAGGCTAATGAGGACATACCAGGCCCACCGTGCTCCTCTGCCACGTTAATGCCAAGGAAACCGAGCGAACCGAGCTGCCTGAGGGAGGTGGATGGGAGCAGATCGCGAGCATGATTGGTCTCAGAATTGGTATGAATCCTAGATGACCGCGGAATCATGTTGGTTAGCTTATATATTCGCTACTGACTATCTTAGAATAGTCATCATATGACTAAAGGTGATCTCGCGATCATGGTTAGCTTGATCGCTACTGACAACTATCTTAGAATATTAGTCATGTCATGATCAGGTGAGTAAAGGTAAACGACCCTTACAAATCTAGTAACTGACGATGTGAATCGATTTGGCAAACTGTCTAAGATTTCCCTGACAACGAACTCTAGTAAAAAAATAATCTTCACTTAGACTTTATGAAGCATGTATTATACCTTAGAATATCAAGAAACTCACCAGTGTAATCTTAAAGATGAAGAGTCTTTATTAAGTATCGTAAGAAGCACGTAGTAATAGTAAAATAGATAATAGATAGATAGATGTACCCACTCACGGGGAGGTATAAGAGTCTTTATTAACTAATCTTACTTGATCTCTTCAGTCGGAAATTTATGTAACGCATCGTTCTCTGCTGCTGTGGGAAACAGCACTTCTTCAGCAAACTGTCGGCTTTGTTCCCTCACAAGTTGGACTTCTTCAGGTAGCTCTGCGTAGGTGGTGTAGTGTCTCCTTCCATCGTTGAAGGACGTTCCTTTTGATTGCTCAATGATGAAGCTTCGTCTGGTTCGACCCGAAGAAGAAGAAGATCCGCCGCTGGAAAAGCATCCTCCAAATTAGAGCTGTCCTCCGTAATTCATCTTTCAAGTGCATCCTTGAAAAGTGCTTATGGGTGAGTATTATTCCCTTAGGTGGATAGATACTCCTCCACACGTTTCAAGGATACAGCCTTAACCAAAGGAGCTTTTGTTGACACCCACACCAGCTAGTCGTCTTCCGCCCACCATACGGCTTAGGACAGCCGAACTCGTGCGAGGAGTGGCTGCTGCACAACTCATATTATATCTTAAATATTGGTTTTATCTTCTTGATGTCGTGTCCGTTGCTACAGCATTCAATTTTGCTGCATAGGACGAGTAGATGAAACTATTCTATCAGGGTGCGTTGCTTGGCTGACGAATTCTGTTTCATCAATATCGCAATTCGGTTTTTGCAGGATACTCCACGAGATAAATTTGTTTTAGACCAAAGCATCGAAGGGAAAAGGGAACAATCAATGCATGGGGAAAAAATGTAGGCAAGAACTTATTTACCAAAAAGGGGAAAAGAGCTGCAGTTCGAACAGAATATCATCCACTGCTGATCAACATCTTCTCATCTCCTTGACATGCAGTAAATTGCCTCTACTAATGTCAAAGTCAATCACCTTCAGGCTTTCTCGTCCGATGTGGGTCATCAAGTCTCTCGTTCTCTCTACTGCTCAGGGTTGATGCTCTGCATGGGACCTGTTGCAGCAACTCAGGAAGCAGAAAGAACAACAAGATCCTAAATACATTGGAGACTAAAAGCCCGACTCGTGCAGCGACCTGGGATAAAACGTCATCTCACTTACCTTCAAAAAAACTTGAAAAGTAAGTACACTGAAGAATCAAGAATTTCTCCTACTTTTCTTTCGAAAATACTCATTAGAAGATGTGACGGCTACTACAGCTTGAATACCATCTTGTCCTTTCCTACCCTCTCCGAAAAGCCTGAAAAGTTTTTTGCAATCCGTTCTGTTTCAGCTTTGGCTTAGATGAGGTTAAAGAATTTTTACATTCTTCAGAACATAATCCCTGGCCTCGTCTCTACTAGGAAAAGGGCCAAGGATGGTAGTGGGGAATGTAATTCGGAAACCCTTAATTGGAATTAAGGCACACAGAGCCAGTAGTTCTTCTTTTCTAAAGTGCAACAAGCTGCGTCCGGAACGACCGCTCCGTATAGTACAAACCGGAACCCGTTCTCGACTACCGTTTGGAATTAGACAGTAAAAAGGGGAAGTACCTTGTTACTTGTTGAACTTCAGAAGGTTGATTCCTTGATTGATTGATTTTACCTATTCATGAGGTAAAGGGGACCTATATCGCGTAAGTATAAGTTATGATAGAGCAACATGCCCATGGCCATGTCCATGACTGACTCTGGTATGATAGTTGAAGGCTTTGATAAAATCCTTCTCACTGTCTGAAGGTTCTCAGAGCTCGGTCGTGTAGGGACCACTACGTCGTCAAAAAAGTACTACTCGTCAGTCACTAATATTATCGTAAATCGTTGTTCTATTCCTCGCCATAACATCTTATCTCGGACGTTATGCACGTACAAATAGCGTCCCAGATTTTCTCCGCTGTCTAGCTCAAAAACCTTCATATCTGGGTCCAGCATTCTCCGATCATAGTCTGGCTCGATCCAATTATTATCAGCTTCGTCGCATGTTGACGGTCGTAGAGAAGTACTAGTCGACGGACTTGACGTACTTGACGTACTTGTCGTGGTGGTTGCATCGGTGGTGGTTGCACCCGTAGAAGTACAGGCACCAGTTGACGGACTTGACGTACTTGTCGTGGTGGTTGCATCGGTGGTGGTTTTGCAACTGGTTGTGGAAGAGGGTAATGTTGACGGACTTGACGATGGTGTAGTTGACAAGGTACAACTTGTTGAAGCTGGTGCAACGAATGTTGAGGATGTTGATCCCGTAGAAGTACAGGCACCAGCTGACGTCGAGGAGGGAGGCGCCTTTTTTCCCACTACACTGCGGCTTCCCGAACGAAGTCCCGTGTAGGCAGCCAATCTGCCAGACAATTGCGTCGCGGAGTGACGGTTAGGAATAGCAGTGCGCATCTTGTGGTTGTCCTTTATTTCGTTTTTGCCCCTGATGTTCTTTAAAAACTTGTTTATAAAATGAAGATAATGTTTTAGATTTGATTACTAAATTTTAGTGAAAAACGCTGAGTCTTCTTCATCAAACAAAAATTTTTTCATGTTGTGTTCTTTTGAATTCAGTGCAGGATCCACAAGCTTCCTTTTTCTCTCTTTCTCTCACTCCATCCTAGCAACATGAAGAACATTACAGCGTACTAGACCCTTCATCATAGCCCTCGCTGCCACGGACTCTGAGCGGCACTCATCTTCCAGTCTAGTCGTGATGCCACCGTCTTTGCGTGATGTCACCTTCTTGGTCAACACTTTGGTTTCTTTTGGTCTGTCTGGTGAAGCTCCCCGTTTCGTGAGTAAGTAATCACGACCTTCGTAGATGACGTTTGGTGTCACCTCCATACACGTTTTCGTTTAAAACTGATTTAACATCGTTTAAAACTGGTGATGATGTCCTCATAGCGTCAACATTTTCAAGCGATTTATTCATTCATTAGAAGTGCGTCGGGTGACGTAGTTGCAAGAGCGGGGAGAGGGTGGGCAACTGCGTCTCGATCTTGCACCTTCTTGCGCGTTCAGTGCTCTTTATTACGAGGTCGACTTTTCACTTGAAGAAAAACTCTAACAGCTTCTGATTACAGTCAACTATATTTTTCAAGGCAGAAATTTTTCTTAGTTCCTTCTTCTGAAGTATATTTTAGTGCGCAAGTTGCATGTTCTTCAAGTTGGATCTTCCGTTTCTCACACGTCTGACATCTCAGGTAGATCTTTACTCTGCTTCTGGACCTTGTCCCCTCCGGTATCTCGAAAGAATCGCGACGGGTAATTACAATTACAAACTTTCCGAAGGGGGTTATGGCGGGCGGTATACTAAGAAGATAGTACGACCCACTATTTTTCCAGGATGCTGCAATTACAATTACAATTACAAGTTTTCCGAAGGGGGTTATGGCGGGCGGTATACTAAAAGTATGACCCACGTGTTAACCAGGAAGCTGCCCGGCGATGGTGGGAGTTCATTAACCTCCTATACTAAACGCTACTTACTTATTCTGCACCATCGATTTTAAAATGATCAAAGCTAAGAGTTTGCAGAAAGCTGTCTGCCTCTGTTAATGCGCATTTTTCATTTTTGAGATCACAGGAAGCTGCCTGCATTTTGAATCTCTGTAATTGCGCTAACTCATCAAGTGGCTTTTCTAGGATGTTCGTGTTCTACGTTCTTGTAGAACTCACTCGCTCAGTATGATCTTAGTAGGATCTTAAAGTTCTCCTTTTTTTCACTTTGACTCCACTGTTGGCTTTCAGATCTTTTTTCGACTTATCTCCCTTCATTCCTTGCGACCGTATTGATCTGCTTTGTTGGAAGGCATGGCTAACTTCTTTCGATTCCGTATTTTGGTCTACAGCTTGCTCTTGATCTTCCAACTTATGCCAATTTGTGGGATCTTCACCTTCTTCGTTTTTTCATCGCTGACCGTCCGCGCTTGAACAGCTATCGTGCATTTCATCACACAACCATCTTGCCATAAACCACCAACTTCTTCGGAGACAGCGAAAAATTTGTTCTATGTATGGTGCCTCTTCATGCAACTCCGCCTCCTACTGTTCTCGTTTGATGCGCTTTGTCGCGGGTTCGCCATTCTCTTGCTCGTAGTCGTTTTCGTCGACGAATGGATTTCCTTCTTGCGGTTCAGGAAGGAACGCCTGTTCTTCATCTTCGGCCTGATGTGGTGCGTGAGACGCCGCCGCTCCCAACGCTGGTAGAAACATTTGTGGGACGAAGTGAAAGTAGTTGGTGTGCTCTGGCGCTGCTATCATCATGTTGTGTGGTAGCATTGGCATCGGCAGCATAGAGGATGTGGCTGTCGTTGTGAGCTCAGATTGGCCTGATGTCATGTCGGCGATAGCTGTTGGCTGATGATTGTTGATCATGGGCATCTGGTTATTGATCTTTTCATGATTGCATTGTAGTATGGGTTGTACTTCCATACTATATCACGTGGTTTGTCCCAGTGATCCAGTGCTTTGCACTCGTTAATTTCGCGATCTATCCCACGTAGATCATTCTTGAAGTCATCGAATAACATCTGCAGCGTCTGACTCCTATCGTTTTGGAAGTAGATTGTGGTCTTCTTTTTGCCCACATAGATGAGCAAATACGTGACTTCTGCAGTTATTTGTTTGCGTATGTGATAGCGGTGAGCTCCGGGTTGTACAAGACACGGAACTTCGGCTTGTGCAGGTACTAGCCATGCTGCGAAATTATCAGCGTACTCTTGTATCGATTTCGACATTTTGTGATGTCCAAAGGCACTTACTAGATGCTTATCACGATGTAGAAACTTTCCGCCGCTCTTTATCTTGCTGCTTCGTAATGCTGAGGTATTAATGTCTACTAATTGCTATTCGCCTTGCTTCGGTTACGTTGAGCCTGCTTGTTGCTAAATCGAATTGCACTCCCCCGCGCTGCAAAGTCCTTTTAGGAGGACGCTCCAGCTTCGTCGTTGGCTGCTGTTACCCTTGGACTTCGCTCTTGGGTTGACACTGCATTCGCTGGACCTACAAGTTATTTCGTTCGCCTCGTTGCGACTGGCCTATAGGTTCCACGTAGGTCATATTTTTGAGAAATTCTGTGGACTGGGGATATTTGAGATACGCAAGCAATTGCTCTATTGGTTTTGTCTTAATGCTTTCTTTTAATAATAACCCTAGGCTGACTAATTTCATTCAACATATGATCCGCTTCGATGTCAATGATAAATTGTTGTAAATAAGAGTCTAGATGGGGTAGGCTCAATGCAGTTAAAAAACTGATAGCGTCAAATGCAGCGTCTATTTGACATTTTACACTGGCAGAAAAAATATAAAAACTTTCACTTTGCTTCCCATGCCAATCCTTGGGGAGGTTTAGGCAACACATTTGAATAACATGGAGGCACACTACTATATTTGCCTCGGAATTTAGTATAATGCGGAGTACAATAGTAAGCGCGTGAGGGATAGACGAGTCCGTGTATAAACCTACATGGTTTTCGTTGGCAATTATTTCTTGCGCGATTTCTATCGGGAGTGGGTTCTTAATTTTCGAAGTGTAGCCAAAGTGTAAGCTTTGTAGTAGACCATGGTCCTCAGGTATAACAGCTATCAGTTGGGGGAGGTCATACACCATGTTTTTACCTTTTCGCACCCTTTGCTTTGGGGTTGGCCCTTTTTCTTTTGTTAGTTTTTATTCTTATAATGCCAGGTCTTAGCTGTCGCTGAGTTAGATGGAGAACTGAACTCGTGATGTTGTGGCGATAGAAAGTACTGCAATGGTGGTGGTGTGTGTCGCTTACCTATATGGCCGATAAACTTCTGGAACTTACTTCGGATTTGAGAGAAAATGTACTGGGGGATGACATCCTTTTTTGCATTTTTGTCCCACTTGGAAATGGCTGGAATGACTGTGGCTACATCATGAATGTCGGCCACTCTACTCATCAAAGAGTATTCACCTCTTTGGATTTGCTCAGTTTCGTTTATGATTTTTGCTAGTTTATCCTTGGAGCACGTAATTGGACAAGTGTGGGTCTCAGACTTAATAAAATTTTGTTTCTCATCAATCCTATAAAAATACACAATATTACCTTCAGTTCCATCTAGAAAAGTAATACGAAATATTGACTGAAGTCGTTCATCCGAAAGTTTGAATGCCCCAAAAGGGTGGCCCCCCGCAAGATAGCATAATGATACTAAGCATGGCATATTTGTGAAATACAATTTGACTCCCACCTTTCGATCGCTCCGCTATCCGTACTTTCACTTTTTCTATTTTTTATGATTTGTCAATCCGTTGATTTGGGGCTTTGTCATTTCTTTTTTTGTGGAGTTATAGCAAGGACAAAAATTGAATTATTGCGACACCTAGCGGGCTTCGCACGTGGTTCACTGAAGGCCAATTATGGGGGGTGACGCGGGCAAAGAGACCGGGATGGTCTGCTTTGAATATGGTGTTTACCCTCAACAAAGGGTTGCAGCAATCTTTCGCGAAACCGATATTGCGACCTTCTCAACTCGACAGAAGCTGCGTATTGTTAACCAACTGATAACACGAACATCACTTATACACAATCGTTATGAGTTATCTTCAATGAAACACTCCACTCACCTCGACAATAGAACCTTGTAAATTTCGAAGCAAGTAGCTTCCTCTCGTTCACGCAAATGACAGAGAAATCGCACTGGAGATCACCTTTGGGTTCCTATTGGCTCCCGGCATATCTCAGCGTCAATGATGGATGAAAAGTCCAGGTAGGTAGATCTTCACCATACATTGACGCACCAGCAGTGGTGGGCGCAGAGAAAGCAAACATTTCACAGACACACAGAGACAACAGGAAGGACCATGAAAGACCACTCAGACTCTCATCTCTCTCTCTGATCTCCGAAGAGTTCGACGCGCCAGCAGTGGTGGGCGCAGAGAAAGCAAACACTTCACAGACACACAGAGACAACTCAAGAAGGAGATAGGAGCAGAAAACTCAAGTGAACTCTAGGATGCTAAAGCTAACAACTACTCAAGCAAAGCCGTGACCTATTTTAAAACGAACAGCAGGTAAAAAGCAAACAGCCTACAGTTGACGCCGGCCAGGACCCTTTGAGGCTTGCTCAGAAACTAAATAGAAACAATTTTGAAACTGCAAAAAATCCCAACCAACACACGGGAACAAAGAAACCCCACCACCCGAGAGGGCGAACGACTGGACAGACACCGAAGCAACAGAACACGAACCACCCGAGCGGACGAGAAAGCACAAGCGAAGGCACAGGGCCCCACTCGATTTGATGGCCCCCATTGCACCCCCGCACAATCAATCTGAGAAAACTCGGGCCGAAGCGGTCCCGAGCTCTAAACAACCCCCCCCACCCCATCCCCAAACCCACCCCGCCCAACCAAGCTCCTCGCGGAACTGCTGCAACAAGAGGACCACCATGATCGACAGCACGCCCATCGAAATACCCAACCGGAACAACTAGTACCGGCAACGAAACCCAACGGCCGCGACCACACCCACGACGAAACCCAAGAGACCACACGCGAAAAACCCACGCGGAGCCTTTGGGCCAGAAAAACCACAACACCCGGGAAACTTTCCAGAAACTCAACAGAAAGAGCACCCAGAAACTTTCGAAGAAACTCCCAGGAAACTGCCAAGAAACTCGGGCCCGGAATTGTTTGAAAGTGCCAAGAAAGTACTTAAAAGGCTGACACTTTCTGGGGAGTTTCCGGGCATTTCCGCCAGGACTTTCTGCGACCACCCCCCGCAGTTGTCTGCGCATTTTCATCCCGAACCCCTGGAAACTCCTGCGCCGGCCATGGCCTCACACCAGAGAGAAAGACCGACGACCACCAAACCCGGGAAAAGCGAAGGCGCGCCCCAATCTACGAGGCTCTCGCGCAAAAACAGGCAAGACCCCCAAAACAAGCCCCAAAACACTCCCCGACCTGTCACACCCCGAAGCAAACACCCAAAGGCAACTACGTCAAGCACACCCCCAAACTCGAGCCCGGACGCTGGGAAAACATAGGCGACCCCCGAGAGCCCTCCCGCGCTTTGCAACTTCACTCCCATCTCTCTACTGAAGGACACGGAACACCCCCCAGCCCTCCAACAACCCAGACAGACCCCCCATCCAGATAACCAACACGACCCACTCGACCCAGAAGACGACGACGCACCAGCTGACACAACAAAAGCAGACGAGTTGAAGGGCTCCAGCTGTACTGCGTCAGGGGACAAAAAAAAAAAATCCATCCCCAAAATACTTTCGCCGTAGTTTCTTCCCACTTTCTCAAGGGCTCGGCCAGCGTCAACTACAGAGAAAAAGAAGAACGAAGTTGCGAAAACAAGATGCGGAATCAGTTAGCTACATAGTTGTAGAAAGTTACTTTTAAGTTGCGAGAACAAGATGCGAAATCAATTTTAAGAGACGACGAGAAGGAATACGAAAAGCCTACTCATGGTTGGCTGTTGCCTGTCTTTCAACGTTAAGCATCAGTTTCCTTTAAAGCCAGCACGAAAGTAAGTAGTCATGTAAACGGGTCGCGAGTCCTTAGCCTGATTCGCAGTCCTTGTAAGTAGAGATCTCCAATAAACTAACACTTTTTTTTTGCTTGCAGCGCACTTGACTGGTTCTACAAACACGCGCCTAATCAGCTAAAAGATCATCTTCTTCGTCGACCTTGGCCGGCCCTTCTTCAACACATGGAGCGCCAATCAGCCTGCTTCTCTTGCGTCGGATCTTGAACCGAACAAATGACGCAGGGCCCTCAAGAATTTCTTGCTTCAAAGCGACAGCAGCACGAAAGGCCGATAATGCGTTATCACCGTAGTCAGAAGGCCGAACATCCTTCGAGATGCGCCGCTTGGCACCATCGACAACAACAGGCACCGAAACACAGAGGCAACGCCGCGCCTGCGACCACGAAATATGAACAGGTAACACACTGGGCAGTCCAGCCAAGCCACCGTCGCCCGCGGCTCCGTACACATCAGGGATGGTCGCCTTCGGTGCACGAACTGAGTCGCCAAGGTCACCTTGTGTCGCTTCCTCCTACGGCTGGCAATCTCAGCAGATGACTTAGTCGGCTTCTTCAGTGGTGCGTCCACCCGCTCAATTGTGTGTCTCTGGAGCACCCGTCGCGAGTGCCTGTACGCAACACTAACAGACCCGAAGGTACGGCCAACCCGCCCAGAAGAGCCAACACCAGGCGCAGCGCCGTGGGCTGCGTCGTCAGAGGCGCCAGATATGCTCAAGTCAAAAGAGGACGAACCGTCGGACCTGGCGCTAGCTCCCTCTGCCCAGGCAGTACACTCCTGACAAAAGCACTCAACTAGGCTGATAGAGCCATCTCTACAAGTGCGGCACCTCAAGAACGGGCACGAAGTCAGAGCCTCATAGACACGCGCGTTTGCAGCCTGGATCTCATCACTAAAACAGGCCGGCACCACAGGCTTCGTCGCCAGGGATGCCAATTCGTCAGTGTCAAAAAACAACGCCAAATGATGCAAGTCGCCGTCTTCTTTCGTTGTGCTAGAGTGCATCCGCAAAACCTCAGCAAGGGCATCCCCCTCACGGAAACACGTCGGCGCCTGCAGGGAGCTCTCATCAGTCTGCTCAAAGGCGGCACGCATCGGGCAAGAGACCTCATGCGCCAACAACTCATCAATCCGGCCTGGTGCAGCAGCGTCTGCAGGGGGCGCAGCGCAGACAAGTGGCCCAAGAGTGTGATCCCTGCAGAAAAGCCCGTTAGACGTGAGTGGTCGCGTGTGCCATCCAAGGACCGACTTGGCACAAAAACGGCAGCGCGCCTGTTGAATAGCCCCAGGCATCACAGCATCCTCGTGGATGATCCTGAGCTCGTAAGAGGTGAGCTTGCAGATAGAGAAGTCATACCAACGACTCAAAGAGTTAAGCGTTGGGTCAATCTCGAAACAGTCGCCACGTTTGTAAAGCTGGGCGATCCAGTGCGTCTTTGCATTGCTTCGCGAATGGTGTCATCTCTCGATCTCTATCATAGAGCTTCAACGCCATCCGAGTGCGCATCTCGTAGAGAACAGTATTCCAATGCTCCCGCACCGGCACCGGGTCCAGGATACCTTGCCCCCGATGTTGGATGTATTGCGTGCTGCTCAGGTCTGAACAAGTTCCGACTCGATCCCGGGCATTGCGGAGCTTCATTGCAACATAGGAAGTGGCGTAAGACGCTTTACACTTGCTGCACCTATATCTCTCTTCGTGCTTCTTGCGTCCTCGCCTCTTAGGACCTGCTGACCTAAGCCTCCAGAAACAAAGAGCGGCGCCACTTTTCCTCTTCGTTCTTGCATCTTCAACAGTTTCGTTCTTGCATCTTCAACATTTGTTACAACTTCGTTCTTGCATCTTCAACAGTTTCTAAATCTCCAAGTCACAATAGTGCAAAGAGGGGAGAATATATAATGGTGAAATAAGTTTTAGCTTATGAAATCGATCATACCAACCCGAAAATGAGAAATATAAATATGAATATCATTATTCGATCAATCGAGAATAGAACTTACTACACCATCGTGGACCCACCATAGCTAGAAAAAAGTGCACGAAAAATGAGACACAAAAGTGCAAGTACTTATTGTAAAAAGAGTTCAGCTCCTTCAGTTTTTAGAACTCCAGCTCCAATAAAATGCTTGCTCTTCGTCCTAAAGTAAACTTCTGATTAATTGATTGATGTACCCACTCGCGGGGTGTAGCATCTCTAATTAGCTTGTGGAGCCTTAATCTTATCGTAACTGAAGATGAGGCAATACTTGTTGTAGAACCAAGAGGTTTGTAAGCGATCAATCTAAGTCTAACAAACCAGTCTTTGAATATGCGTATCTATAATGATGTTAGTGAGCCTGGAGATCCGGAATAAACCACTGAGAGGCTGCACAACCAAGGACAATCTATCCGCGTCAATCCATCTCGCAACGCCTTTGGTTTTCTCACCAAGCTGCTGGACCTCCATCAAAAGTGCCCCTTTGAGAATGGATTTGCTTTCTAGGGTCGTAAAAAAGTAGTGAAGTCACAAGATGAAGATGAACACTTGTTCCTATGTGCCTCTTAGAACAAGCTATACAAGTTTCTTATAGACATTTAGTCGAACAGCCTCTCGCTGCTTCTTAGCTTCTTAGATTCAGACTCAGATGGGCTTCTGCCTCAGCCCTGCGCATTGAGCACCGGATCTCTCTATAGACACACACTCGCTTGAGGATACAGGTCAAACTGTGGACGCCGAATCAAATCCTATCCTATCCCAAGTATCATAGCATGTTTTCACAATTCCGGAGGCCGTTCAGTGAGAGTACGGTTTTCTTAGTGCTTAAGTGGAGTGAAAGCGTCTAGTCGAGAATTTAGAATTATTCATTCATTCATTTGCGAACCACGTGACACAGAATTAGACCTTGAACAGCAAACACATCATACTAGGTAGAAGAAGGGAACAGCAAATATTGATTAGCCGAACGACAATACAAAAATTTTCGGGAAATTTTTCTAGGGTCCGTCTATTCCTTCTACCAATAGAAGACTCAGCAAGGAGCAGTGCAACATCATGATCAACATAGATCTGCTTATGTTATAGAATAACATAAAAGCGCAGTATCTTGTTGTATTGCAAGCTTCTGCGTCTATCGTAGTAGAACTTAAAATGAGATGTGCGTTCCATCATCTAGAACTCTACAACTAGACATCATTCCGGAAGAAGAAGTATATGCTTTTCCTTCTTTTCCTGGACTAATAGTTGTACTCCACAAAGTGGGCTTTGTTGACGCTGAGTTTTTTAAAAAGTGAAGTGCACAAGCAAATAGAAATGGAAATCCCTCATGTCAATTATACGATGATGATGATAATGTATACCGAGTACTTACCACGGAGTTTCTTCCTTCACTCCTTCACCTCCTCTCTGTGATTTAGTAGATTTAGATTTAGAGAGTGGACTTAAGAAGTGATTATAAGCTGGCAGAACCCGAACCCCGTAGCAGCTTCAACCATTGTATTCTGCAGGTGTGGCTTCGAGATTCTGCCGAGTCGTGTGGCTTCGATTGAATGCGATTAATTGTGATACAGCTATAAGTATATATCTTGTAATAATACTATTGATCATGCTCAGCGATAATTACAATTTTTCCTATTGATACTTCTACCTATTGAGTCTTCAGATCACATCCTCATCCGGATCCGTGTGGTACCACATTCATAATTTTCCCGATCGTTTGATTGATTGACGTCCCTGACAAAAGGGAAGTAGAGCTATTCGAGAAACTGAAATAGCCGAGCACCCTGCTCTAAAAGTACTACTCTACCAGAGTACTACCACTTTTTTTCAGTACTATTTCGAATGATTCGTTGCTGTCGAGATCTACTTGGTAACTTTTGAAACTTCATCTATTAATATTGATCATGCACACAGCTACAGCTCGTCCGTGTTTTTCAATTCAGCACTACAGCTCATCCGTTGTCTAACAAATGTTGACGTGAGGGGCACTGGCTGCCTATACAGTCGCACACAGCCGCACCACTAAGGGTTCGCCGGAGCCTGATGACTGTAATGACACAGCCATACTCCGACGACTTGTTCGTCGAAACACAGAAGAAAGCTAGTTGTATCTCCTTACTTGGATCCACTTTTACTCACAATGCGACTTTGGTACTAGTACTGTGTGCTTAGTTAGGTCCAATCGACTAAGGATTCGGTAGCTAGGTAAGATTCGGCGGTTAGGTCCAATCGTGATGACGAGATACCCAGTCAGCTAATGATGACGAGATACCCAGATAACTCGACGCACAATATTAGTCAATCATCGAAGTCGAGTCTGCAATTCATTAGATGGAGCCAGTAAAACGGGAAATAGTACCTAAACTGAGTATGAATATTCAACGGCACTACGATTGTCTCAAGAGCTGAGAACAAGCGACGGCAGCTGAGAACAAGGCGACTATTGGGATTGGGTCGTATCGGTGGTCGTGTAGGTCTACAATCCGACTATTGGTCTTTCATTTGGAAAGTGTGTCACATCACGGTCCTTTAGGAAAAGATTAGAATAGTGTTGTTTTGAACCGAAGAAGACCAAGATCTTTCTATCTCTTAAGATTAGAATAGATAGGATCCCTGTCCGCCTCAGCCCTGTTCCACCTCAACCCGGATCGGTAGAAATGAAGATAGTAGAATCGTATTTGTCGTGCACAGACATGTAATTCCCTCTACTTCTTGTGCACGGTCATGTAAAAATTGGCTCTACTTGTGCACGGTTATGTGATTATTGGCTCTACTTGTGCACAGACATGTAATTCCCTCTACTTCTTGTGCACGGTCATGTAATTCCCTCTACTTCTTGTGCACGGTCATGTAAAAATTGGCTCTACTTGTGCAGCACCGGCATATTAGTTTAAGTTAGGCTGTGGCCCGCCTCATAGACAGGAGACAAGTGTAAAAGCGACATGTGTAACTAAGGAGGAGGTGGGTCTTCAGTCGAAGATGAGTCTTCAGTCGAAGATGAGTCTTCAGTCAATTGGAATTGCACCAAGACCGAGTGGAGGCGAAACTACGGAGCATACTCGTCGTGGAAAGCTGACGTACTATTTCAGCAATTTCGGATTCCCAGTCGAAAACTACGAATAAGATTCTCGAAGCAACACATAAGATGACTCACGAAACGCCACACTTTTTTCTATAATTGCAACACGGGAGATCGGAAAAGACTCCGCTTCGACTATTTGATGCAAAGGATACTGATTGATGCAGCGGAGGATGCATCGCGATCAGGGATTAGGTTTGATGCAAAGGATACTGACGATGCGTAAAACCTAATCCCTGATCGCGATGACTGTCGCGTGAATGACTGGATAATCATTAGCATTATATATCATTATGTTCTTCGCGCGCGACCCTATCGCCTCACACGTGTCGCGCTCACGGCGCCCTTAATGCCATCTGTTCTGCCACTAAGGCCGTTGATGCAAGGGCACTCGGTGGATCACGATGCGTACGCTTACGCACCTAAAACTAATGACGCAATATTGGAGCTGTTCCAACAGCAAGAAAACACTTTCAACAAGCGGTGAAGACTAATCATCTCCGTCAGAGTTAGTACTTACCCCATGCGACAGGAGAGAATTAAAATGAACGGGACGCTTTTTTTTGAAAATGGCAACAAAACTGACGCAGCGTTTGTATAATATCACGACAAACAAACATCAATTATAACCGGTCTACTTCTAGATTGTAGCATTGGCATCTATGAAAATAGTTGCATGCAGAAAAAATAAGTAGTCAACATTGGAAAAACCCCACGGCCGTAATTCCCACAACCTAGGGATTCTGCCAACACCTGTTAGATGATTCTTTGCGCACCCCATCCATGGAGGCTGGTTCCATCGCTGCTCCGAACAACGCCATCGACTCGACGCTTTTTACTAGACGAAACACCACCTTACGATACACCACTTTATTATATAACCACGAAAAAGACACGACAGGCACCAAGAATGTTATATAATTACTAACGACGAAATCCCCCAAATTCTACTTGTAGCAAACTAGTATTTAATCGAAAGATTACGATATATTTGAGGATATTGAACCGAATGTGAAATGATAACAAGAACTACAATGATGAGCGCCTCCAGAAGTACTGCTCCGCAACTAGACCCAACAAGCTACCCATGTTTTTAGAAGAATTCTCCCTGCAGACATCAGCTAGTTTCCCTGAAAAGTACTTACTACCCCTCTTGTCCACAGCGTCGAATGAACCCCCACAGTTACAGATTGGCGGATAAGCTTCCCAGAATCCTCAGCAGGTAGTCCACAAAAGCAGCACCAGAATCGCATATCGACGGCTCTGTAATTTAACAGCACGACCAACATTAGAAAGATAGACATGTTGCCAGTGGGGAAAGACTTAAGAATAGAGGGAAAACGAAAGATGTTCATGAGAAAGATGTTACCTATGACGAGATCCCCAGCTCAGAATGAGCGGGTGCAAAATGTTTGTTTACATATACATAGAAAGATGGAAATATAAAGATGCTCACGGGAAATCTATAATATAGTCATCTGATTCTGTCACTTTTCTACTACTTATCTAGCAAGCAGCTCTTCTTATAAATGTAGAAGGCCAATGGCGTCGGCTGCATATCGAAATCGCCGCCAAATCGCCTGCTTTTCGATTGTATCGCCGTCAATACACAAAGACCGAAGACCAAAGACACCTGGAGAAAGGTTTCGACCTAAAAATTAGTCTTAGAGTCAGTTAGAACTGAGCCCTTACTTAACTATTAACTAAAAGCTCTTAATAAAGATAATGCTTGAGTTAGAGTTGTCCTAGTTGTCCTCCTAATGGTTAATAAAGAATAACGACTTAGTACCTGTTCTCCTCGTCTTCCTACTCGTTTCACAACGAACCTTTTGACCTGAAGATGAGTCGCAGTTCTTTCATAACAGGAAACAGTCGGACGTCGTCGAACGCACCACTTGTTGTACAACGAAGAAGACCCAAGAACAAAGTCGATTCTTCTACAACTGGATGATGGGTTGGGCGGTCCCCGTGTTGAAGGTGTAGATTTAAGACGAACAAAATTCTGCTACACTTCTCCGAAACCGAATTTTTCTTCTTCTGGATAACGGTATTAACCTGCACTTGTAGTTCTCAAAGTAGATGCCATCCCATAGTAGAAAAAGAGATGTTGTCCCCGTCGTAGCCCCACAGAAAAAAACTCTGCAAGAAAGGTTGAGCTTGAGCTTGAGGTAGACGAGGCAGTACTTGTTACAGAACAAGAAGTTGACTGTAAGCTAAAAAAATCTCGTTGATCAAGATATTCATGTTCATCTTGTTCTCGTATCTCGTAAATCGAAAATAACCAGACTTTTCTCCTCCGACAACAACCAGACGTTTCTCCTCCACCAGTCTGTGCTCACCAAAAAGAATTCAGTGAAACAAGACTTCACAAAAAACGAACTGAAACTTTCTCCCCTTGCCGTGTAAGACCTCCACAACATTAGAAGAAGCAGGGCTTTCATTCTCATCAAGTTGATGACCTATCTCTAACCTCGCGGCATATGATCGTCTGTACAAGTTCAAGTCGAGCCACCTGTTATCATGCCGAATCCAGTGCAGAAGAATGGTGACACTTTATGGCTCTTTATTAAACAACAACAAGAAACCGATAACAATCCAACAACAAGCTAGACTAGCGGGTCAAGTTGATGAACTATCTCTAACCTCGCTCCTGCTTTCATTCTCATCAAGTTGATGACCTATCTCTAACCTCGCATATGATCTATCCTTAAAGTCTCGACGTCAGTTGCGGCTGTTGCTTGCTGTGCCCTGAGGAGGGCACATCACTCGCAAGAGACTGTCTTTCACGAGGTCGATGGCTTCTTGCTCAGATATCTCATTGCGAGCTAAGCGCTCGTTTACACGTTGGACCAGATACGGATCCTCCTGCCTGAGCATGGCCAAAACGTCACCTGCTTCACGCGCGAAGAGACCCGTGCCTGCAAGGCCACCAGCGACAGAGGAGGAAGAGGTCGCTGACGATGTCGCACCTTGCACGCCATTGTGTCCACCTCCACCAAGGTCGTTGTTGTACATCTTAGAATGTTCAAGGTTCAAGGTTTGAGGTCCGCGGCTCTGCGGCTCTGCGGCCAGGCCGCGCCGTCCGGGACGAAACATGCTCGAGTAGTTCTATTCTATCTTACTGCAAATAGTTGTAGAGACTCTACTTGTAGTACTTTCTGTAGTCTAAAAAGTCAGAGAGACAGGGAAGTTCATGTGATTAGAGATACTAGATATGACAATGTGGAAAGACGCCATAAAGAATTGCGGTCCTCTACTCGTGTTGGAAAACTGAGATCCCTGTTGATGAGCAGTTTGGTGACTGCTTCCACGAGAGTACGACGACGCACCTCCCCCAGGGGTGCTAAACTGTTGCTGACCCTGTTGAGACGAACTAAATCTATTGCTGCCCTGGTTGTTGGAGGCCCCTCCTCGTTGCTTCGGTTCGAATCTTCTCCTGTCCTGGTAAGAACCTTCTGTGTCTGTGGTCCTGGTATGACTATGTTGTGGGTAGCTTCCTCCACCAGACGCGCCGGGAGCAACGGCACTACTAGAACTATTGTTAGAGAAGTCCGCGTATTTTATTCACCTCGGTGGTCCCCTCATCATCTCGACTCGTCCCCTTTCCGTCTTCCCATGTTGAAGAGAACACAACAAGGGAAGCAACATAAGGGAAGTACCAAGATGCTGAGAAAGTTCAAGAATGGACACTAAAAAATGTAGTAGTTGACCTTAATGTTGTAGAAATTATTCCTTCCCCGACCTCCATGGTTTGGTGTCATAGAGCTACTGGCTGACGCACTGTGCCGATAATCATGCTGGTAAGACGAGGAAGAATTTCCTGCAGGTGGTCCTCCTCGCATGTTGGGAGGCATGTTGGCAGCCGTGTTCATTTCGTCTCTACTAATAGGCCTTTGTTGGTAACTATCATGACCTGAACCTCCTTTAGTACCATCGTAGTGGTCGTAGCTGCTCTGTGCTGGTCTTCTATAACCACCATTGAGGTCCCTGTCATCGACGTGGTCAACCTTCCCTTTACTCAAGTCATTAGAGGCACTTCTTTCGACAACTACCCATGTCTACTACCGACCTACTGTTGGACCACTTAATAAATATATCTTTTCTTGGAGCATCTCCCTTTCGATTAGAAAATGGAGTATCAAAAGTAGATGGGTCGTTGTAGTTGGTGCTTCACGGTACTACCTAGTTTTAAAAAAAAGTTGTTAGGTACGCCCTTAAAGTAGGAACTGCTTGTCGGGCCCGGAGGGCCCCTGCTTCTGTATTCGTAGTCTTTCTGGCTCCTTCTGCTCGACGTTGAAGCATAAGGATCACCACTGTAGGACGTGCCAAATCCGGGAGCACCGTAGCCGCCCTTTCCACCTGTAGGTGATCTATTGTCGTACGCGGAGGTACTAGAGAAGTTATTAGAGATCCATCTGGGGGAGCATCCTTGTGCCCGTCTACTTGCTTAGTTCCCTCTAGATTCTAAACGGGAGGACCAAGATGCTTGCCCAAAATAGGAGAGTTCTTGAAGCCTTAAAGTTGTTACCACATTTGCCTTTCATCCTGCCAGACGAGTAGCCACCAGACCCGCGATCGCTATTGTAGACGCAAAACTTAGACGAATTTATATGACAAGGGAAAACAAGGGCATCGAGATGCTGAGGCTCATCTCCTTGTAGTCTTGTGTAACGGGACCATAAAAGAAGACTCGATTGATACATTGTTGCTTACCGGGATGCTGCCTTTACGGTAAGATCCAGATCGCCCGTCGTTGTAGTACCCAGGGTCGCCTTTGATGCTCGAAAGAGCGCTGCCTCCTCGACTGCTGTATTAGAGCTACAACCTCGGCCGCATCTTGTCATGTGTATGCCCCTTATAGTACGGCTCATAGCACCCTTCTTCTTCCTCTAGCCGTAACTTCCACCGCTTCTTCTTCTAGAGTACCCCTGTACTTCCACCCCTTCGGTGTAACTTCCACCCCTTCTTCTTCTAGAGTACCCCTAGTACCCCTCTTTGAGAGTAACCATCCCTAGTACGTACTAGTAATCCCTAGTACGTAAAGTATCCGAGGAGGGACTAGTACATTCGCATCCCTAGTACGTACTAGTAGTAGTACCCCTAGCCAACAACAGAGTAGCGGTAGCCGTAACTGTAGTAGTTTGGCGGGCCACTTCCACCGCTTCTTCTTCTAGAGTCGTAGTAAGGAGGAGGAAGATCGTCGTCATATTCTTCCGGATAACCACGTGGTGGTCCACGTCGCCGATCGCGATCATGATCATAACGAGGATCATCGTAACGACCATTAGAGCTCAAAGCGTTAATCAAGGTCATCATGCTGCTCTAAGCATTCAGTAGGTACTTGAAAAATCTGGAGAAGGAAAAGTAACCTACGGAAAGTACTTATCTAATAACGAGGGGGACCGTGGAAGACCAAAGGACGTAATATAGAGAGTGGGTTGTCCTAGTTGTCCCAGATGCTCAAAGCATTTCATTTCTTCCCTTCAGCATTTCTTCAGCTTCCCAATAGGGAAAGAGGAAGTTGACCCTGCTTCGAAGTGAGAATTATAATTACTTTGAGCCTTAAGATCACCTCGGTCGCCTCTATCCCGCGCCGCTGCATCTAGATGAGCTTGGTGGAGGTGCGACAAATGTGCGTGAGAGGGTCCTCCTCGCCAACCGGGGTTTCCCAGTGCTTAGAGAATCAATAGGGATAGGAACTCCTCACAAAAATAACCCTAAAACGATTCATGTTCATCTAGCTTGCTAAATAATCTTTCTCTTCGACAGTAATATAGGATTAGATTTATAACTCGTGTACTTGATGATCTTACCAAAAAATTTTAGTACATCCTAATAGAAAACTATAATGAAGAGCAAACGTAATATTTTTGCAGGGTAAAAACAAGACAAGCGCCTGGACAACGAACTTCTAGATCATGGTCTTACCTTTTTTTTTTTGATGAGTTACAAAGAAATACTAATAAATACAATTGTTAATGTTACAACCCTGATGAGGAGCCGTAAATTCGGCCGCTGTAAGAACTCATTCTGCCACTGTAGCTGCTAGTTGTACTGTAGCTTCCCGTACTACTCCCACCCGACTGAGGACAGATGCGCCAGAGAGCGATGTTCTTTTTCAAGAATGCTTGAAAGTCTATAGTCGCTTCATTGAACCAAAAAACATTAGTGTTCCGTTCCCGGTTCTCTTCGTAGCGGAAATAGAGCTGCAGACTCTTGAACGTGGCAACTCTCGCAAAATTCAGGCCCAAAGGTTTGATCGCCTCGCTCACTGGGCACAGCGGTCGTTGCCACCAAATACGGACGAAAGCATCGAGGAGACATCTAGACCGGAAACTTAGAAGAAGTGCTAGTTTTTCACTGACGTACCTGGTTGACTGACTGATCTCCCCATTTCCCTCCTTCAAATCCTGTTGTAGTTGAGGTCTTCAAAAAATCAAAGCTATGCATGATATCTAGTTTGTTCCCTTTCACTCAGCATATTCCATACGGAATAGTACGGGTGGAGCCAAGCTAACTAGGAAAAGAAAAAGGAAGGATAGAGATAGTAGGTAGAAGAAGATATATAAAAATAGTGTTCCCTTTCACTCAGCATATTGATATTCCATACGGACTTATAGTGAAAATAAACTAGCCTTAAGAAGCAGAGGAAGCAATGCTCCATGTTGCGACTTCCTTTGCGATTCCGAGGTAGGGTGAAGAAGTTCAGGACGGCTCTCGCGTAGGGATGTAGTTCCACTTCGTAGCGAAGGAGATAGGCGACTCTCTTTAGACCTTCCCCCTTAAGGCTGCCTCCGTCTTCCTGAAAGCCTCCATCCTGGGCTACCTAGTCTCAAAAAAAAAGACGCCCCAGCCGGATAGTAGTTTTTACGTTTACTCTAGTAGTTTCTACTGCCTCTAAGCCTCCATCCTGGGCTGCCTAGTCTCAAAAAAAAGACGCCCCAGGTCGGATAGTAGGTTTTTACTCTAGTACTGAAACTGGACTACTGCCTCTAGTTTTCCACTCTCACTCAGTACTAGAAACACTCACTGTCAGAAGAGCCTTAAACTACCCTCAGTACTAGTAGAAACACTCTCAGTACTAGAAACACTGTCAGACTCAGAAGAGTATTCGATAAACTGAAATAAGCGAGTAAGATAAAGAATGCTCTCAAATACTCTGCTATTCTCTTGGTTACTCGCTTATTTTAAGCTTTCGTATAGTAGAAGAGGACACACTCCCAGTAGCCTTAAACTCTGTTGCCAGCGAGCCGCGATGCGTTCGTCCACGATAAGCTGTTCTAACCGGACAGAACTTCCGTTATTCTCTTGTTGCGGATCCGCGCTTCTCAACAACTGCTCAACAGAAACGGGATGCGGACGATCATCACGGGCGGCTGGATGTTAGAAATAAAGTGACGAGAGATGAGCGAGGGGAACTCTATCATGGTGGGCGCGGATCAGAAGGTTAAGGTGCTGGTTACCTCTAGTTCTATTGATTTTAATCCGTCTCTGTAAGAAGGAAGATTGTAGGCTATTCAACTTCACTAACCTCGCATTATTAGAAAAACTAATCTTAATCGCACACACTGAAGAAGGGAGGGGGATGTTGCTTGTCAATATTTCATTTAACCGACGATGTTAGAAATAAAGAGGGGAACAGAACATGTGAGCAGAGAGGGGAAGAACAGTCAGTAGAAGAGAGCAAGGGGAGCAGAACATGTGAGCAGAGAGGGGAAGAACAGTCAGTAGAACATTATCTACTTCATTGAAATTCACTCATTTATTACCTGTTCTTGAGGTATCGCTTAGTTATGGGGGTAGAAAGAATTCTTGATCCATAACTTGACGCTGCACTTTTCATTTGTAGGAAGTCGGTTTTTGACTCCCCGCCTCGTCCGTCTTTACTGTTGTACACAATCCAGGGAGCTGAGAGAGGAGGCTTCTTGAAAGGATCTTTCTCTTTACTGCCTTTATTAGACCTTGTTACTAAGATGATGTTCATCTTAAGTAGACGAGTCATCTAATTTTACGTGTTTTCCTGTTTAAACTACAAGTAAATAAGGGGCTAGAGATGCTTCTTAAGATGAACGAACTGTAAGTTATTAAGGAGCCTTAACTTTAGCATGTTTGGCACTTGAATGTATGGCACTTGACGTATTGGAAGTTTCACTGCTGACGGAAGCCTTGGAGGAGATACCTGCAGCGCGGTTGATCTGCTGCAACAATGAGGAGTCCGGTACGCAATGGTGCTCCACGTGGTGTCTTTGGTTGTAACCTGAATTAGAAGAGTGCGCTTTTACTTCCCTGCTGACATCTCGGTAGCCTCATCTCGGTGCCCCCTCTATTTGGTGTTCCCTTATACTAAAGAGAATAAATGCCCAGAGGTAGGCTCCTCTTGGTGTTCGTTTATCCCGCTTGTTATGGCTGTCCCCCTTAGGAGAGCCATCAAAAACGGTAACAAAAGCACCTTTAACCTACCCGTAAAATACTAATACCTTGTTGTTACAAGTATAATATGGGAAAATTCCCAAACAAAAGGTATCATACCGAAGAGATACTTCATTGTGGTGGGATAAAAACTGGTCATAACTGAGGAATACCCACTCGACGAATACTCACTACCGTGATGATCCATCTCTTTCATGATTGAGGCCAAATGCACGTCCGGCAGTAGCAGAACGTTCTCACGCACCCTCCTCGCCCATTCTTTGGCTTTGCGCTTCAAAATCCGAATGTAGATAGCACAGGGCCTACAGGGATCGATGTCAGGACTCCCGCTGACCTGTGTAGCACTGTTGTTGTTGTTGCCCGGTTGTTGTAGAGAGATTGTTGTACTTGTAGGTGAGCTTGCGGATGCAGGTTTTGTTTGTTTCTCTACTTTGTCTTTGGGGGATGAAGCTGATGTGCCAGATCCTTGTTCTTGATGTTGTCCTTCATCATCTGCGTTATTACTCTTTTTCTGACTACCACTGCTTCCTGCTGGACTCGTCTGTTTATCGGCACCGGCAGGAGAACTTGTGGCCGTCTCCTTGTTTGGCGACTTTGCAGTAGTCTCCTCCATGCCATTCTTAGAGCTACCGCATTAGCATCTCTGAGTGCATCCTTGGTCTCTTTTTCAGTTAGAAAAAGAAGAACCAAGTATGAAGCCAAAATCTGTTATCATTATCGTACTTCTCTACTTACGAAACTTGATAATGATAACAGATTTTCTTTTCATACCAAGGGTGATAATGATACTGGAAGGGCATGCGTCAGCGGTAGCCTTAACATTCTTGTTATCCACCGACTTCACAGATCCAGATGTTGAGGTCTTCTTGCCCAAAACTTTACTAGGGGCCACTCCGCTTGCAGCTCCGACATTTTCGTCTTCTGGCTTCTTCCAACTCATAATTTCGTCCAGAACGGCCTGAGCAGGCCTTCCATAAGCCTCTAGCTCCATATCAATAGTGTCGGCTAAAGCATTGGTAAACGCAACATCCTCCGTAACAGCAGAAGTGCCGGATGTTAGAGAAAAGCGTAGTAGTAGTTGTTCGCTCAACATTAAGAATGTGACTTTGACATATTCGATACACGGAAATAAGCAAGTAACTGATCAAAATAAGCGAGACAGCACTGAGGAAGAGTAGCCTTTTTAAAGTTACCTCCCTTATTTCAGTCTGTAGTAACTCGCTTATTTCTCGTTTTCGAATACTTATGTATATCATGTTGACTAATTTGATCTCATTGCATATTCATCTTCATGTTCACCATTCTATCATAACATCAACATATTCATGACCACAACAGGCTCAAAGCGTTTGGAGAAGTTGCAGACGTACAATACGGTGCGCGTGCCATCATCGTCGTAGGCGATAGCACCTCCGTCTTGACCGAGATCTTCTTAGCGCTAGTTTTTTCACTACTATGCCTCCTGGTTGACCTCTTGAGTGGGTCTGGGTTTCCCTTTTTCTTATAAAACGCGGTAACCCAGATGCAAATGAGTCAAATTTTCTCCTTTTGTTGAGGAGGGAATAAGGGGGAACAATCCACTCAGCATACATAGTCAACCACATGGGAGAAAAACTAGCCATAATTTTCCTTGCCTTGTAGTTGATCCTCGCCAACTTGTGAGTTGTCCACGTTATCATCTTGTTCGGCGGAAGAAGATATTAGAGAAAGACGAACTTACAGTAGGGAAGACGAACTTACACCAGCAGGGAAGACGAACTTACACCAGCAGGGAAGACGAACTTACAGTAGGAAAAATGGACTTACAGTAGGGAAAATGGACTTACAGTAGGGAAAATGGACTTACAGTAGGGAAGACGAACTTACACCAGCAGGGAAGACGAACCTACAGTAGGGAAAATGGACTTACAGTAGGGAAAATGGACTTACAGTAGGAGAAGCCCCAGTGGTGCCGCAGCAGTTGAAGTAACTAACACGTCGATTGACTGTTCTGTAAATATTGATGAAAAGGGTTGTGACTGTGAGTGATTTCGAAACTGTTGAGTAAGACACTGAAGATCTATGATTTTAATGAAGATTATGAGCTTAACGAAGGTGGCTTTGAGCTTGACGAGGATCGTCCAGGAGGCTGCGGCGTCATTTCTTCTCGCGGCACTTGTTTCCCGCCACCTACACTTGAAGACTTTTCCATCTTCTGTGGTGGAGAAGCAGACGTGTTCTCTCCAACTTGCTCTGTGGTGGACTTGTTCTGTGGTGGAGAAGTAGACTTGTTCTGTGGTGAAGCTGGAGAGGTACTAGCACTGCTGCTAGTAGTCTCCTTCTTCTCCTCTTCTTGTTTCTTCGGGGACTTTCTGGGAGAGGTGGAAGTACTGCTTTTCTTGACGTTTGCAGAGGACGAATCCTCTGGCTTGAGCATATTCTCTTTTCCTGCGACAGACGGAGAAGACATCATTTTTTTGGAAAATTCAAAAAAGGAACGGAAAAATACAATATCAGCGATAGAAATTTAAGAGAACAATATCAGCGATAGAAATTTAAGAGAAATAATTAAGTACAAAATGTCAGGTACGTAGTACAATATGTAGTTATGGTTGGGCTAATATGAGGCACCTAGTACGGTTAATACGGTTTTAGGTAGGCTTAAGGGTTTCTACATTGCGTGAGTACATATAAATCAGAACTTCACATTAGATTATTGATACAACAAAAACATTTATTTAGAACTTCACGCTTAAGGTCAACATATAGTGACTTAGCGCGGTCAAGAAACAGAGATACCTAAGACACAAGTGCTTACGACACAAGGAGTACTAAGACTATGCATTCTATTCGTTCATCTACTAAGTCTGACAATCTACTAAGTCTGACAACCCTACTAAGTCTTAACTTGAAAGGTCGGCGGTCTTCCTAATCCTAATACAAAAAGTGTTCTTTAGAAAAATCTTTGGCGTTACAACCAAGTAGAAAAGTGATCCAAAATGTAGTGCCTGCGTCGGTTGTAGTACGTATATTGATGATTCCTATAATATTTCTATTGACACGATTCAGACAGATTCATGAAAGAAAAATGAACAACTATTAATTACTTATGAAGAATAAGAATCATTTTAATAGGCATCAGAATAATTTTATCAGTGCCGGTACTAGACCAGCTATTTGTGTTTGCAGATATCACCGCTAGGTCTAGACGAAGAATTGAACAAAACTATATACTCAAACTACTTTCGCATTTGCTTGCTCTACACTATCTTCACTAAATTGCAAAGTGAAGGAAGATGAAGGTAGAGGTTCATAGATACATAGTCGTATTCATCCTCGTAGTTCTCCTAGATAGTACACTTGGTCATGGTCCTCCTCCTCTTACTAGACATCTCATTCAAATATAACCTTAATCTTATATATTCGTTGATTAAAAAGAAATCTTAGTGATTAAAATCTTGCTCACCTCAAAGTAGTGAGGTAGAAGTTTGTTGTGGTGAAAAATCAGAAATGTCATCAAAAGGGATAAGTGTACAGGTCAACGCCTAAGCTACTATCTAAGCCAACTGCGCGGCTGGCTTAGTCGTGGTCTAGGCGTTGACCTGTACCCTTATCAATCGAACTACAGGGGTGGGCTCGGCCGCCTTCGTTGTGATCACTGTCGCCAGGCACCCCCTGCCGTGGATAGGTGGGTCACCGCCAGGCCCGCGGCCGGTATTGCTAAGCTGCCCGGCTCCTTTAAGCCTGCGCCACTCTCGCGATCTCAGACAGTGGCCAGGCCCCCCCCTCATCGGGTGGGGCGGGTTGAGTAGTTTGCCGATTTCGGGCTCGTCGGTGGCTGCGTCCTCAACGTGGCTCATTTTGTGGCGGGTGTGCGCACTGAAACGCGCTCAATCCGACGCCCCCCCACCATTTACCCTCGGCGCGTGTCTGGCTCTGTCATTTTTTTGATATTGCCGGGACTCGAGCCCTCGGCACTTTGCTTGATAGGTGTACAGGTCAACGCCTAAGCCACTAAGTGAGCCAACTGCGCAGTTGGCTTCTTGGTTTAGGCGTTGACCTGTACACTTATCAAATATACTGCAGCGAAAAGTGCTCTCCTGGTAGAACTCCTTCAGTTGCAGGCGCCTCCCTCTCCGCTTGCTTTGGCTTGCCTTCACTCAAATGCGCCCCCCTTCGTCTATTTTTCCTTTTGTGTCGTTTGCCTTTCTGCTCTGTCCGTTGCGTGTGTTGCGTTTTTGGCTCTGCATCTGCACTCATTGAGAATGTCACTAAGGGAATGTCGCTCCCCCCCTTTCCCTTAGTGGTAGCAGTAGTGTGCCCAATTATGGGGTATAGAAAATATAATTAATTAGCCTTCTTACTTGGGAACGACGCTCCCCTATAACTTGGGTTCTCAAGAATTGGTGGCACCATACACTACTGCTGATTGATCATTGATATATATATATAATAAGACCAATTATATCCTAAAAGCAGCTTTGAGTTTAGGATCTAGCTCCTCTTTGGGAGTTGTTGTACCACCTTCTATATGGATAAGACAGAGACACAGACACCCACTTATTCTTATTGTGATTATGTTGTACAAGTCTTGCTTATTACTCTTGATTATTACTCTTGATTATTACTCTTGATTATTACTCTTGATCATTGTACACAAACAGCACATGCAATTCACATCATGAAAGGAAGACTAGTTACAACATAGTCCAACATAGTTCCATAGTAGATTTCTCAACTAATTGCACTGTTCCGTATCAGTAGGAGTGATAGCAGTAAAAACGGTAGCAGTAGAAACCAGTTGCGGCCTTCATCAACAACAGAAGAGAGCTTCGTCCTAAAGTTTTTGGGAAGGTGATGAAGATGAGGCGGAGGCGATGGCGTAAATCTCACCAGCGACCTGCCTAAGATTTCCCTGATGATTTCTACCTCCCGCTAGTCTAGCTTATTGTTTATGATAAACCACAACAGATAGCGTTTGCGACGTCTCAGATTAAGTAGCATGCCGTCGTCCGTCATTCTTGAAAAGTTACTTCTTGTCTTCTGCATGTGGCGATAGACGTACAGACTGCTGATGTCCTGAAAATGCTTCAGTTCTTTGGACCTAGCGATTCTTGTACTTCAAATTGCTTCAAGTCCTTCTTCAATAGAGAGAAGACGAAAAGATATGGGAGATGAAGTGTAATGTGCAGAATCATCTAATCAGTGACCTCAACACCTCGACACAACAGGAGAGGTGCAGAAAAAGCAAAAGACAAAGAGGCTGGTGGATGAGGAGAAACTTAGTGTGTACGCGTCGACGATGCAGGAGCAGGAGAAAACCCTCCACGAGAACTGTGAAGCTGTCCAACTATAAGCAAGCTCAAGAATGCCCGTTCTACCGCTTCTCCTCATTATTCCAAGAATGAGAAGACGAAAAGATGTGGGAGATGAAGTACTTAGAATGTCTGTGCATAATATGATGTTCTCGCGAAATTTCAAATCTTGTACTCTCGCCATCTTCAAAGTCCATTCATCTTTGCCATCGTTCAAGTTCAACGCACGTGCAGAAGAGAACACCATTGCCACAGGCAACCATCTCGGAAATAGTTGGTTTGCGCCATCAATAACAGTCGACAGCCAAGAAAAGGTACAACTAGTTTTTGTTCTAAATTTTTGCTATCTTCTTCCCATGATTATTTTGATTGTCTCAGCATCTGCCTTTTTCCTACAATCCAAAGCGCGCGTCGTGTTGTATGTCCAGCAGCAATGTACGAGGACACTTTCTCACATTTGAACATGATAGAAAAATACTGTCTAGCACTAGAAGTAGTTGTTCGTGGAGGTATGCACAACAACTATCTACCCCAAGAAGATGTACAACTGAATCTTGTACAACCACGATGCCTACGTCATGTCATTATTCACTGGATCCATGCAAATTTTCATCGTTCATGGTCCTTTTCTTTGATGCTATATTATGATATTTTTCCCAAAATATCTAAGATAGAATCGGATTGATAGATCAACATAGAATATTCTTGAATTAGAACTCAATTACTTTGATGAAGTAGAACGCCGACTAGACCTAGACGATGCTGATGCCCCTGTATATTAATACTAGTCTTAGTCGTAGTCATTTATAATTAAAAAGTTCGCTTCGAAGATTTTTTGAAGAACAATGCTCCCAGAAGTTTCTTCGAAACAGCATCCTGACAGTGCGAGAGTGCGACTTTGGCAGCAGGTTTAGGTTTTTTTGCATAGAGGATACTAGTCGATCCTAATAATTCTTCCTCTTAAAAAAATCATTTTGGTTTGGAATTTCATACATGATGAATTCATTTGGTATTGAAGTAGCTACATGACATCACATCACTCAATGCTGTAGTACATCGTCCATAAACGTCTTTTATGTCGATAGCGTTTTGTATCTATCAATAGACTATAATTATCAATATTGATGACGGTCATGCTCCCTTATAATTACTATGCTCTTCTATTAACAGTGACATAACCTAGTACAGCAGCCTAGAGCTGTTGTAGTTCTAGTCGTCATACTCGTAGACCTAGACAACTACATATTTTCGATGGATATATGAAAAAATCTAATTTCCCCGTGATAGCTAAACTTTCTAATCAATTCCTTCGTGATGTCAGAAAAAACGCTTAAAAAGTCTAAATCTACTCATAGTTGTACTCTATTAAACTCAAATCTAAGGATTTTTCTTGAAGATTTGCATCTGAAATGAAAAAGAAAATATTCTGGTTTACGATAAGTACATCGTGGCATACCATAGACACAACTACTTAACACGAGCGACGTTCCCATGTCCAACGCGTCTAATGTTGGCGAAGCGTTGCTGTGTACGGCTGAATGGGGATAGACGGCACGCCGCCTTCCAACGGGGCACCCTTGTCGTTCTCCACCGGTCGGAGATAGGGATGGTTAAATGCCTCACGTGGCAAGATGCGTTGCGAATGATCGTAGACCAACATCTGTGAGTTGGGAGAAAAGTCCAAGAAGATGGCGGCGTTTCCAACAAGAGGGTATAACGGAAGAGGGGCAAGCAACTTGATAAGTGTACAGGTCAACGCCTAAACCACTAAGCCAACTTATCGCGACTGAGGAGTAAAAAAGCACCTGAAGAGTAGAAGTGCGCCTGAAGATTAGAAAGAAACTGAAGAGTCAGTAGAAGTGCTGCACCATTATTACATAAATATTACATATTAATATTCCATAACAAGTGCAGCACCATTATTACATATTATCATGATTACCTTATCCAACAGATCGACGGAGTCTTGATGTGCGATGTGTGCGCATTCGGAATTGACGAACTTGGTCCAGCTCTTTTGGGGAAATCGGTCTAACAGATCGTCAAAGTGCTGGTCCAGTTCTAAGTTGTACTACGGATTAGAGAGGCAAGGTCCTCGGTGAACGAGAAGAGAGTACTAGAGAGTACTTAATAGTATCTCGTATAAGCTATATCGAATTGTGAGTTTCGAGAAGTTCTGCATTCCTTGCCCGACAGTCTGGCTTTTTTTTGAGCATGAAGACGGACGAAAGACGGACTCACGGCGATGGTTTTCCTATGCTTGACACGATGAGAGAGGCAAAGAAGCCAGACAAAGAACGCAGACGAAGAAGCGAGTCGATACATTTGATTGCCATCATTTTGTTAACTTTCTCTTTGTTTTCGATCCGTCGGCACTTCGTCAACAACTGGCCTCTTTTCTGCTTTTTTAGGCGTTACATCTAAGGCGTAGAGTGACGCAAGACATTTACTCTGCTGATGGTCTAGCATGCGCATGCCCCTGCTTACGGCGTTAAGTTCTGCCTTTTTTTTCATAAGAAACAGAAAAAAAATTTCTGCTATCTTATCAAAAAACTAAAGTCGGCGCCTTCGTTAGTTTTCGTCTACGCTCTGCGTCTCTGCGTCGTGTTTCTCTCTCGAAACGCTTCCCCATGGCCCAGCCCTCTAACGCTCTCCCTCTTTCAGGTCTATGATCTGCTGACGCAGTTGGTAGCCGCAAGACCCGCCAAGGAGTGCGCGACGCCAGCCACCATCCACAAGGGTGGCGATGCCTCTGCGCTGAAACTCGTGCGCAGTTCAGTTAGTATGGGCGAAAATAAATCGCAAGTCCATACTGATAGAGTTGCCCACGGTGCCGGACGTGCTCCGCCGTGATTTTTTGGAGACGAGAAGTATGAAAGTGAAAAGCTTAGCGCTGCTCCTGCTGCGTACCAACCACCCCAAGCCCCTACGCAGCACCCCACGGGTTTGCCTACTTCCGATCCCTCTGCGCCTTCTTCGTCAGAGCTCCCAGCGAGCTCAAGCGGCTGCTGCTGGTAAGTGTCGAACTCTTTGCGTGAGAAGCTACCCCATACGCAACCGAAAAGCTTGAAGGGAATTCGTCACATTCATACCCCGCCGCATTTCCACTCCCGGCGGGTTCTTCTTCCGATGACAACATCGACGGAGAAGCACTCAAGCAAAGAACAAGAACAAACCAACTTCGCGACCAGCGAATCGCCCAAGGCTACCTACCACGACGATGAAAAGCGCTAGCACGAGCAAAGCGCTGGGGAAAAGCCTGCCCCTACGAAGAAAATGGCGAAAGTGCGCAGCCCAATGAAAAAAAACACAAAGCAACCGAAAGCAGCGACGAAGGCTGCCAAAGTACCGAAGAAGGCTGCCAAAACACCAGGGAAAGCTGTCAAAAAAATGATGGCCATGGAAGCGGAGTAGCTTGCTATATAACTTCCCCGCTGTGGCTCGCATCGCTTTCGAAAGCCAACGAGAGACGCACTCTCATCAGTTTCCGACTTTAGAACGCAAGGCGTCACTTCAGTAGAATAAATAAAGCAAACCGATCAAGTTCGAGAATCAAAGCGCGGCAGCCAGGTTGATCGCTGTCATTTTCCATCCATCCAAGGAGAGGCCTTCGAGCAATTATATAGAAAAAGCAGGCAGGCAATACCTACGTACGGAAACAGTAAGCGAGTGCCCCGCTCGGTGATATGTTAGAAAAAGCGCCAGCAAATCCCTGCCAGTCAGCGCTATCTTTTACGAATTGCACGGAGAGCCTCCAGACGGGCCCAGAATGCATGGCGCCGGCCACAGTTGTGACGAACTTCACACACGGCTGAGGATCAAGATCAAAACGAATGCCACAACAAAGCCACGGCACACCGGTGGGCTATCAGCTTCACCAGCCCGCAGCATACCATACGCATGCCACACGCATAAAATAAATTCCAGAAGCATCCAAATGACGCGGCGCCAAATAAGGCTGCACAATCAAAGGGGGAGCCATCCCACATCAGCGCGCGGGATTTGCATCACCTGGCTAACGCGTCTAGAATTGCACGCGTGTCCTCTTGCATTTTTTGCAAGTGACGCCATCGGTGTCGACAGTTCAGCCGATGCACTGCGCGCGACATGAGGGGAGCTAAACCGGACAAAAAAGCAAAACAAAGCCACAAAGGAAGCGCGTTAGAGTTGCGCGCTTCATTGTTATGCCATCGAGGTCGGGCTTGGTCTCTCTTTTGCTCTCTATGCATAGAATGCAAATGCTCCGCGCTTTCTTCTGCTTTCTTGTCATGTCTTTGCTGCAAGTCATGCCATCAGCGTGCTTCTTCCGGGGCAAAAGATGTCGCACATGCGCCGGCGCCAGCTGAACGGGAACGACGACGGAGACACTTGCGGTAAGTTTCTTCTTGGAATTGGAAACCAAAGAAAACAAAACACCAGCCCAGCAGTGCAGCTGGGATCGATGATCTTTACGGGCGCGAGCACTGTCCACGCATGAGCATGAAGCACGGGAACACTTTTGAAAATGGGCACGACTGTGCTACCATCAAGATCATGACGATGGTGATGATGTAAGCCCACCGATCGGGTGGGGCGGGATGCCGTCGCATGTCATCCCTGCAGCCGTTACCATCAAGACCAACCACAACGCGCCAAGACTTTTGCTGCTTCGTCAGTGTTAACGTATAGGATTCTCACCGCACCGATCTACTTCTAACTCGCGAGCCAGCGAAGTCGTGCCTCTTAAGCACTCGCTTTGCTGATAGCAATCCTAAAACCAGCGGAACCAACCAAGTCGCTCGCTTTGGACTATGCTACTGCTTTAGCCGCTGCGGGATTCAATATATAAGCCACGGCCAAGGGCTCAAAGCGATAAGCGCTGCGCTTGTTTTATGGTAGAAGGCAGAAGCCTTGCAGCAGTGCAGCACTTTGGCCCCCCTTCAGGCTACCCCGTTGCGCGGTTTTTGTATCGTGGAGAAGCATGGACAAGCTCCCACGCGACGGTTCGTCTCGCCAATATCTGAAACAGCGCAACCCGCTACCTATGCTCCCAACTCGTTTGGCGCAAGCCAGTCAAAGTGCTGGCCTATCGAATCCAGGTAGTCCGTACGTGCTACAAGTTTGCTCTCTATTAATTCGCTGGCCAAGTCCTCTCCTTTAAGTGTTCCCTCTGTGTGGGGCGCTTTAGCAAGTTCTCTCTCGATCGTGGGGTGGTCGCTGTTTTTGTTTTTCTGATTCGCTCGGCCTCCAGGATTGTTCTGATTCTTGCTGCCAGCAAGCTGCTCAAGGTTTTCACTGCATTGGACAAGCAACACAGTGGCAAGAGCTAGGCTGGGCCTCTCGCGTATTGTATACTGGTCAAAATTTTCGAGCGGGTGCGTTGTCTCAATCTGGTGCGAATCCATTATCTTGCGCGCAAGAGTTTGCAACTTCTTCAAAAATGTCGCGCGCAGCAACTGGCTGCAGCAGCACCAGACCCGTCGGGTTCTGAACGTAGTGGCCTTTCTTCTGCTGAGTAGCAGTTTTCAACTTTTTCAACAGTATACAATAGTGCTGATGCTTCGGCTAGTGCGTGGCTACTGTATGACTGACCGAAGGCGCGGCGCATATCTCTCACGCGCGTCGCGTGCAGTCAGGTCGCGTCGCCTGGGTTCTTTTCAGTTGATTCGTGCGAAGCCTCCTTGCTCTGACGCGCGCAGCCCTTTGGCGATACTTTCACGCGCGACGCTTGTCCGTCGTCAAAGCAGCGCACTTCTGTAAGCATTCCCTTCAGTTCGGACCCACGTTCTTTGCTGCCAATCGCTGGCCGCTTCCAGAAAGTAGCGGGCAAGTTTCTTCCTTCTTGTCTCTGCAGTATTTCCCTCCTCCCTCTTCTTCCCCTTTTTCCTTAAAGTCATGCACTTTGCCAGTATATCAGACCCTAGCGGTCTTGTTTTCTAGGTCTAGACCTTATACTTACACGAGACCGCCCGAAGTGACTTAATAAACTTAACAGCAGCGCAGGGATGTCGTCATCCCTGCGCTAGCCTGTGATATAGATACTAGGCACCAATAGTCTCATTGGCCTTAGAATTCAAGAAACTATTTTACTCAAAAGAACGGAACTGAATAGATTAAATATTTTTTTGTTGTGAAACTACACACACCGACTGCGAAAAATGATGTCTCCTTAATGTTCAGATACGCCGAAAGGCCGTCGAAACCCAAGACCTTGGCAATGCGGACCAACTGATCGTAGTTGTCCGATCCGCGGAAGAACGGCTCCCGCTTGAAGATCATGCCTGCGAACATGCATCCGAGAGACCATATGTCCAAGGAATAGTCGTACAATTGGTAGTCCACCAAAAGTTCTGGACCCTTGTAGTATCTTGACGCGACACGGACATTCACCGGCGTATTCACATGGAAGAACTCCGCCAAGCCCCAATCGATCAAACGCAACTGGCGCTTGCTATGGTCGATCATAATGTTGTGCGGCTTCACGTCACGATGCATGATACCTCGTGTCGTGTGAGTAGATTCCACTATAGGTGAGGAGATTCCACTATAGGTGAGGAGATTCCACTATAGGTGAGGAGATTGTATTAGGATAGGAGATTGTATTAGGGTAGGGTAGGGTAGGGTAGGGTAGGGTAGGGTAGGGTAGGGTAGGGTAGGGTAGGGTAGGGTAGGATAGGGTAGGATAGGGTAGGATAGGGTAGGATAGGGTAGGATAGGGTAGGATAGGGTAGGATAGGGTAGGATAGGGTAGGATAGGGTAGGATAGGGTAGGATAGGGTAGGATAGGGTAGGATAGGATAGGAATCGGCTCGGGCTCGAGGAGGTGAGCATTCACGACTATGAAAACCATGCCGAACCTGATTTTACCTTACTAGACTGAGCAGAAAAAGGAAAACCATGTTGAGTAGAAAAACGAAAACCATGTTATGAATAGAAAAACGAAAACCATGCTGAGAGTTGTGAAGCACTGGAAATTCACATGAAAATCAAATAGCCACAAAAGTTGGAGGAACAACATCTCACCTTGCGAATGACAAAAGTCCAATGCCTTGAGGACCTCCCGAATGTAGTAACGAATGTCATAGTCCCGGAACGTTGGATACAATTGCTTGAAATCCAAATTGTTGATGTACCTGTTTGTGAGGGAGGTGGAGTCAGTAGGTAAGTGGTATAGAATTAATGGGGTTTTTTGGTTCTACTGTGATCGATGTCGGAGGGTGGTCGTTGTGTCTACATGAATAATTTGAAGTTGAGGAAGATGAATCAGAATCTGTGAAGTAGAAATCAATTCATGAATCAAGTTGTACTCGAAGATCAGGCTTGGCGTCTTCGACTGCGAGTCGCGCACGTAGTCCAATAGTTTGACGATATTTGGTCCAGCGCAAACGTTCTGGAGAATCTTCAACTCTCTCTTGATCTTCTTCTTCTTCACTGGTTTCAAGATTTTGATAACGATCTGCGTCTGCGTCTTCACGTGAATACCCTCAAAAGCCTCGCAGTATTTACCTTTGTGAGTATATGACTTTGAGTGTGGTGTTGTTGGTCGTGGAAAAAAAAGTAGTTTTAGTATACAATAGCCTAGTACTAGTAGCAGCAGCAGCCTACAAGAAATCTCGCACAAAGTAGTGCAGTCCAGACTGCCGTAAAAGCGTCGTAGTTGTTCGTCGACATAAGACCAAACTGATCGACAACAAAAGTAGTCGATGAGAACCCAGAATATGTCTTGATTTCTCGAATGTTCAGAAAAACTACATCCACGATGATCATCAGTACCCCTTCCAATTTTTCGCACGATCTCGTAATCGTCTTGGTTTCCCCAGTTCACCGCAAGATTCTCATAGTCCCAGTAGTCTCGACTCCTCTTCATATTCACGTCGGGATAGTATCTAAATGTATAAATATGATATGTCACAAAATGCTCTTTGCTGCAGATGGTGCTCTTTTTGCAGATTGCTTTTCAAAGATGATGAGGAGTCTCTAGTACCTTGGTCTTATGAATGGCACACCGTCGTAGTCCTCCAAAAGCTGGTTCTTGATGCCCATACCTTGACCCTGGACCGCCGCGATGGTCGTCGCGGTCGCAGGCGTCGGACCGCTACCCGTTCCCGACATCTTCTCCGTGTCTAGGTATCCAGAATGATTCTACAACTGTCCTTCTCGTCTTCCTATGTCAGTTATGGTGTAGAAGAACAAAAAAATAGAACTGCTTCCACTACTATTGGGGCTATACTGAAGCTGGATACTGAAGTTTAGTTTTAGAAGCTTGTCCTCGTAGCTTCTAAAAGGAGGGTCATTAAACAACAAGAGAAGTTCATGAATCACTGCCAAGAAGTAGATGAACATCGGTTTGAGTGGGAGGATTAAGGACACTGGGCATGACGGTTTGGTGTGACATGAAGGATGGAGTGTGGACGGATGTGACTGTGGAATCTGTTCACAAAGGTCGACTGAATGTCTTCATATCCGACATGCGACAGACCGATGTTTCGAATAGTTTTTCATACCGACGCTCCGATGTTCGAGCGAACACGATTTTTGACATTGGCAGAAACACTGTTGTGTGGGGGAACGAAATGCTATACATTTTCTTGTACGAATGCACCCGTTATTTGCTGCATTAAATCACAGCCTACTATCAAGCAGGTACGACCACAGTAGGGGCACGACCACAGTCGGCATGGCATCATATCTGTAGTGTTCATGCGCTTCAACGAACTCCTCATGCGTCGCAGCTTTAACGTCTCGTCCTTCGAATCGGTTTCGGTTGCATAGAAAACCCATCCGATAAAAGAGACGTCCGAGGGTGTCCGGCGAGAGATGCGATGCCTTGATACGCGTTACCCACGACCGTGTAGCATCGGAGCGGCGTCATTTTATCCTTTAACGATAAGATACGTAGACAAATTAATGTGAAGTTTTCAGAACGTATTATGTCACATTCGACTCCACACGGGAATCTATCCTCTACACCTTATCTCAATCAATTACCAGAATATGGGGAAAGGCATGACCTCAAAGCGTCGTCCTCCAAGACAGATCTCGGAGAGGTGCCGCAACATGATCTGCCAATGCGTTCAGGCTTATTCATGTAATCCATATTAAGGGTCACTGGTTTACAGCGTTCAGAAGGGTAGACTCCGAAAGAAGACCTTTCCGAAACTGTGGGATCGCTTTTCCTGTGGTTCTTCGGGTACTGGGTCCCTTGCTCTTGGCTCCTCACTTGATTCCACCAGAACTTCGCCTCTTGTCAAATGCTTTCCAGAACAATCGGGATGACCGACGTCCAGTAACCAAAAATTCTTTTAAAACAGCGACAGAATGAACCGATGCGCAACGTAGTTCTCTCGTCTGACCGACGCCCACCGAGGGGCTACTTACACGATATTTTCCTTGTGGTCTCTCACCTCTCACAGATCTCAAAGCAAAACAAAAAAGATGCCGTCGAAAGTCGAGCGACTGAGGCAACTTCTCGAGAAGAACGAGCGAAAACAAATATTATCCTTTATGTTTCTTTTCATGGGAACATGTAACCAAGTCTCTCTCATGGTTGCAACAACGACGACACGGCCGCAGAGTCACATCTGCGGTCTTACGCTGCCTGTCGTGTCAAGAAAGTGCTGACTTGTTCTTTCTACGAATACATCTCCACTAGGATGATGCTGACTTGCCTCCATCGTCGGTAGGAGTGCTACCTCAGCTATTGAGTACGAAGTCTAAATAAAGTTGTTCGTTCCCCACCTCCACTGTATTTTCTCTGCCTGTAATAGCATCGTCATTGCATTACAGGTCTTACTGAGCTCACACCTCCTCTCTGCAAGTAAATGTGCGCTTGTTCACGACCATGCGCTTGTTCACGACCATGCGCTTGTTCACGACCATCACCTCATGATCTTTCCTCCACCTCCTATGTCATCAGATCGACCGTCTGCAGCGAAACCGCTTACTTGTTGACGCTGATGCCGGTGAAGAGGGTTCCAGCTCCCTGGAACTTTGCCATCTCCTCTTGCATCTTGGACTGCATCTCCTGCTGCTTCTTCTCCATCTCATACTGCTGCTTTTGCATCTCCTCCTCAGCCTTCTTCTGTTGGTACTCCATGGTTAGCTGCATGGCCTGTTGCTCCAAGGCAGCCTTCTGCTGCGCAGCCTGTTGCTGCAAAGCCATGAGCTGTTCCATGCGCTGCTGGTCCAAAGCCATCTCCTGCTGCTTCACTTCCATATCTGTGTAGTCATTTGGATAAAGATTTTAAAAGACTAAAGAAAAAATTTAGAAAATTTAGATTTTTTGAAAACATGAGATTGAGCACTAAACCAAAAAAGACTGACACCTGTCTACACGACTAGCAAACATCAAAATCTATAACACAATATCATCAGTACCGATCTGCATGATGAACTGCTTCTTCTGCTGATCGGCCTGGCCCAAGAGGTATTCCTTCTGGTGCTTGACCTGGGCCTCGAGGACCTGGGTTCCCTGCTTGACCTGCTCATCGAGCATCTTCATGTAAGCGTCCTTCTGCTTGGCGATGGTAGCCGGGTCCGGCATGCCGGCCGTCAACGGCTGTAGAATAAAAATTTAGATAAAAAAAGGAATGGGTATTTGATGGTGCAGACAGATGCATTGAAGTAAAAAATCCTGCCAAAAAAATCTAAATCGTGCAACATGATGAGCTTCTTCCAAAAGCAGATTTCATATTTTTGAAGCTGGAGGATTAAAAAGACCATACAAGGTATGTCTCTCTACCTGCGGCGGCATCATCATTTGCGGTGCACCGGCGGACATTTTTTTGGAGTGGAGATGGCGTTCCGTGGAACAAACTAACTTTCCCTATTTTCAAATTTGAAACAAAAAAAGATTTTGATGATAAATCGTGTTTTCTGGGAACAATCTAGATCATTCACTTGCAGAGCTACTCAGTCTACCAAATGTAAATACCAACGCTTGTAGACTTAAAAACAAGTGATTCAATTTCGTCAATACAAGTATAGATATACTTGTCAGCAAACAAGGTAACTAATTGTCAATCAGCCTAAAAATCAGATTTTGTTCTTTCTTTTTTATTCCCTTCGTCTTCAAAAACTACCTAGAGCAGCCTAGGATATATCCACTTTTCTCCTGTCCTAGCTTTGTTTTTAGCGTGGGCACCAGCCACGATGATCGGTTGCAGGCGAACACGCCTTCAAAATCGGATCCAAGTCCTTCTTCCTGCTTGGCTTGCCACACAATATAGCTGGGGAGAGGGTTCTTCATAATTGCGGGTACTGGGCCAGTAAAACGGGTCGTTTTCAGGCACATCCCAGACATCTAGGTGGACAAAATTGTCATCAAAATCACAACCAGGTCTTCTCTGTGCCCCTGCATTAGAATCTTTATCAGCTCGTGAATCAATTGTACTTACTCCTTTTACTTCCTGTGAAACAGTGTTTTTACTTGATGTTCTTTCACTGAGTTTATTTCTTCCGATTCCTTTACTCGTCAGTATTTTTGAGATAACATTCTCGTCTCTCTCGTTATGTTTTTCTTCTACCTGATGAAGATCATCTTCAGTGTCACCGCCAGTGGTAGTTGTGTATGATTTCTTGCAGTCTGGTAAACACGCGTTGTGATTGCGGCTTTGACACTGCAGGGGCGATCCGTGGTCGCCGTATAATTTTTCGACCGGCCCATGGTACCGGTCAAAAAAAATGTGCTCCATGTGTCCTTGCGATACCGATATCGGAAACCCCAGATCAGTAGCATGTTGTTGCTGTTGGTCTACTACTACGTCTGAAGATGTTGTAGCCAGTTGTTCGGACGCAGAGCTCCCTGTACGTCTATTGCTGTTTCTCGCCAAATTCAAAGCTTTTGCTGGTGTTGATCTTTCTCTACTACGCCAGGACGACCCTAGCATGCGTACGCGCCACGGATGCGCGGTTCTCTTCACATTGTTCTGATAGTAAACATCGCCGATATGATGCGTGATATTTGGGATGCGGATCAGAAAATAATTGTCATCGCCACAGCCGAGAAAACTCCATGCTTGTGTGGTTCGGCCCTCGTCGGTTTCACCGTCTTTTGCGAGGAGTATGAAAGGGGTAATCAGAACAATTGCTAGTTCGACTAACCACCTACTGTCGATAACGACAAGAATTTAAGAGGCTCTGCTTCGAACTGAAGGGGTATCCGGTGCCTTGCGACGCTGCTTCATGCGCCCGCGAACTCGAATATACGAAGAACAAAAGCGACGATAGATTCGTGTAGAGCCTGCCAACTACACAACAGATTCTTACTTCTTGTCTTTCCTTTGTTCAAGGCATAAATCACAGAAATTACTATTGATTAGGACTTGTAAAAGAATCAAGGCATAAATTGTTTTTTCAGCTGCTCATGAAATTCGTCTTTCGTGAGACTTGGATCGGCAGTATACAGCTTCAAATCAAAATCGCTATCCCACGGAAACTGCCCAACTTCGCCGTTGCGCCATAAAGCCAGCAAACTTCCCTCCTCCGGAACAGCTTGATTTCCCATCCCGTTCACCCACCAGGACACAAAATACCGGAAGTGACGCTCGACCTGTATATGTTTAATTGAGGTTATTTCCCGTATTCTCGAAGTACACAGACATGGTAAGTCATTCTCATTCATCAGCACGACGGTATATATAAGAAACAGAAAGTTAGATCTCGGATAGCATACGATAATGTGTATCTGCCAGCAGAATCATCGCTATAGTCAGAGCATAGATTGAGGTACACAAAATGCGTAAGTACCTGCTGTCGGAAACAGTAGCTTCCGATGACGCCGCGCGTATTGATTTGGAACCAGTTGAGACCAGGCATGCACTGCACAAATGGCGCAACCGGAGTATATGCGTTGCTGCCCGAACCTGACCCACCGTCAACTACATCGTTTTCGTGATAACTTGCCGCAGTGTCCACGCTGGTAACAGCTTCGACTTGAAAATGGTCAGCAGTGGCTGCGTGAAGCGCTGGCTTCTGTACGTACCACCCGTCCTCCGGTACAGGGTTGTTTGAAGCATAGATCGAAACGTAATCAAGGCCTGGACGTTGATCTGAGAGTGCTAGATCAAGGTGAGTCAGGATCTTGGAGGTATATTTCTCGTCCGCGTTCGTGTCGAGCTTCGGCAGAGCATCATCGTCAGCAACGAGCCGCAGAAAGAGGTCACGAGAGTAAACACGCAGCGCCGAACCAGCGCCGCAATGCCGAGCGAATTGCTGCGACCCACTACGATAGTACACTGCTTTCCAATACTGTTTCCGGACGCGACGGCAGGTCTCGATGCGTTCGGCGTCGGAGTTGACAATCGGTGAAAACGCCACAAAGCCAGAACGGGTGCTATTCTTTGGAGTCATGATCGACGACGGACAAGCTGGTTGTAGCGTTAACGCTGCGTGTGCTTGGATCTGAGGCAGTCCAAAGCGTACATCAAACAGGAATTCCGGAAATACGAGGACTACAGCTGTATTCTCCTTCTCGTACAACTTAGTAGAGACACTCTCTTGTCGTGATGTTGACACCGTCGCTGAAGATGCTCCATTTTCTTCCTGCTCCAAAAATCTCTGTCGCTGCTCGGCAATCATGTTTGCACATCCTCTACCTAAACCTGCAAAAACCACTACAGCACCCTTTTGCAAATTTTCTTCACCCGCTCTGAACCAGTCTGGCGCGTCTCCGCATACTATAATCACCATGTGCCATCGACATTGCCTCGATGACGCTTGAACTTGCGTCTGACCACCTCCCGGACGACCTATAATAACACCATTGTCCACTACTTCATTCAACTGCAATCTTACAGGAAACTTCACCCCAAACAGCCGTGTCACTGGCGCCGAAGTCAAACGGCGTTCGACAATGGCACTTGAATGGCGCACTAATTGCAGGCACAGTCGTTCACCAAAGCAAATTGTTTTGCGAGTACTCTGCGGTGCCTTCGCTCTTGTGTACAGCAGGACGGAACTACCACCGCGTGCCAGGAGCGTATGATACAGACCAATATCATCATTTACTTGCGCGAAGTCCGTCTCAACAACGACTGCGAGCTCCTGCCCATAGTTATGCGCTCTCGTAAAAATTTTCCGCATACCGTCGGCGAAGCACCAAAAGGAGGCTGCTCCCGTGTGACCTCCGGACGACACACCTCCGACGACATTGATGCTAGCGCTCTGCTCTCCACCAGCGCCACCACGCCTTGATGAAGGATCCAAAGACGCTGACGTTCCGCTCTGCGATGTTGTCAAGTACGCTTGTGCTTGGTCAACAGCTGTTGCGTACTGGTCGCAATTCAGCCACGTGTTGTCTTGGGAAAACAAAACTCGCTCAGCTACTGCTAAATTCGCTAGTTCCAAGTAACTTGCTCTTTCCCGCACCGGCTTGTTGAAGCACAGATGTTGTGGTACTTGAAGAAAACGCTTCAAAGCGACATCTAGTCCTACGATGAGGTTCGAAATCACAGTCACTTGTTCTTCCTCTTCATGTCTACCGGCGACACTGTGTTGTAGTCTCGGCTGAATTTGCAACCCTTTCGTTGCACCCAAGACTCGCTTCAGCAACGATCCAGACCGAAAAACGCGTGCTGCCGAGTGTCCGCCTTCAGACTCAAAACAGAATTTGCCAGCTGCTCTAGTATAGCCAGTCGGATACGGAAGATACTGCAACACCTGTCCTTGCTGTATTATGTTAATCCGACGTGGTTCCCAGAGATAGTACCTGCCATCTTCATGCCTATCAAGACTGGTACTTCCCTCCTGCGCAACAAGTTCGTCTCTACTAGGCGCCTTGGCAAGAATAGGGAATCCGACGACTTGGACCTCCTCTTCAGTCTCCAATGCATGCAGTGCAGTAGAAAGCGCTACTGTCACAAATTCTTCCAACGGAGGTAATTCTTGGTCATGTCCTCCAATTCCAGATGACGTCGAAACTTCTACCAGATGCGCATAAAACAAGTCTTCAAACACAAGCAAAACAGGGAGATCAGGATCTACGCTAGAGAGAGAAAGAACTTGAGCAACAGTACTACTACTTCCAGTCGTGTTTTCTGATGTCGATGAAGCCCCGACATCTAGTAGTTCTGCTATCGCCGAAGAAACGACAGTCCTTTTGTGAAATCGTCGAACCGCATCGACAAGAGTTGCACTAGAAGGAGGCGACTTCCCTGTTTTATCGTCAGTCTGTCTGCTAGTTTTGCTTTTATTAAAGGTCAGCAGTCAGTGGTCACTGATTCCGAAAGAAAAATGCCCCATGCCTCTCCCCTTGTTTTCCCCTCTTCTCTCAGGGGGTCTCCTCTTTGATGGCAGAGACCAACCCCCATGACCGAAGAAACTTGCGAGCCTTAATTTTAACAATCAGAATCGTGACAGCTCGTTCTCTGATCTGGTACCCTGGCCGGAAATAAGGGAAATAGCTGCTGGCTGGTGGCGCATGATAGACGCTATTCGGAAACGATGTTCGTGTCAAGGCAATTCTCTGTGGAAGACGAGGTTGCTCATCTACTTGCAGACCCTGCTTAACAACTAGTTCATTCCTCGTAGAAGTTCCTTCTCCTCCATTGTCACGCATACCCGGAGATGAACCTAGTAGACTTGTTCCAGAAGCAAGATTTCTAATCTCCCTCTCCAATTCCGCTATTCGCCGGCCCATAAAGATGCGTTTCTGCAAGATGCCTAGGAGTTTCCAGACAGGCCACTTCGTCGAGATCAAATCGTATAGCGAATCACGGAAATTGTAGTTCATCAAGTGCTTTTGACCCTCTTGGAATGCATTAGACAGGTGCCACGAAGAAGGGACTCTCCTTTATCAACAAGGATTATCTTTTACCTGAAATTTGTACTGTTGTTACGCGGCCTTTGTTCTGCAGCGTGTCCATGTGGTAGAGAAGTGTACGTGACTGCTTGCTAAGCTAATCTACTGTTGAGTGTGGGTAATATCAATTTGATCCTAACAGGAAAATTTCGATTTTCTACCGACTGACTAAGACCTTCATACCTAACTCCTCCTGCTCCGACGGATCGTCCGATAACAATGCCAAAGCAAAAGCCGCACTCGCTTTCCCAAACGTACACTTCCCACCATGCCAATGGTTCTGATCAAACCAGCTGAGTCGCCGAGACTCTTTTTAGGGGTTGAAAGTTGGCACCTCTAGCTCGCCTATCTGTGGCTTTCCTACTTGAAGAAGCCATAGAGACGCGCATAGAGATGTCAACTCCCAAGCCTTAATCTTTGGTGTTTTCTGTACTAGAAGCACCATCTACTGCACCCTCGTCACTTCCCTCTTGTCTACTTTTCGACAATTCTTCCTCACTTGGAGGTTGTGGAGAATCGATCAAATAGCGGAAAATAGCAAGACCAGAAACGCGATGCTTGCCGTCTATGCTGTGCTCACGGATTGCAGCAAGCTCGGCTTGTTTCTGTTGAAGTTCTGGACTACAGGTCAAATCTTCGGTATCTGCTTCGCCACAAGAGAAACTTGCTCTTGCAGCTGATGATGTCAGTGAAGCATCCACTGTCTTCCCCTTCCCTTCTTGACTCTTATACCACTCTTCCAGTCGCCTCAATGGTGTCCATTTTTCCTCAAGCAAAACGCCAATCCGGTGCAAAAAAACGTCACTAGCTTCGCCATCTACGCTATCGCAGAAGTTGTACAGTGGATATTAGAGCTACCGCTGTGCATCCCTGGGGCTATCCCTGAGCCTCTTCTCTCCTTGAACATATAAAAAGTTAGATATTAAACTACCAAACCCGTGTGCATGAAGGAAGTGCCGTTCAACAAGTTGTACGAAGAGGCTAGGAATGACGCTGAGAATCATGCTTAGGACTATATATAAGTTGCACGGGATAAGTCTAATCCTGTCGAGGTGAAAACTAACTATATATTGTTGGAACGGCTAAGTCTCTAGAGGTAAAACTAACCGGTTGTTTTATTTAGTGCTTTGAGCGCCTTAAGGATATCCACTCGTAGCGCGTAGTTGGACACTGACATCATGCAGCATGGCAAACACAGGCCAGCCGCTCTCCATCACCGCTGCAAATGGAAAGCTGAGAAGGTCTACTAAGGCAGAATGCTCTCGGAGTTGAATACACCGTTCTGAATCGTTGGATGTAAACATCACGAACGCCTGAAGAGCAAGAACTGCTATCGGTTCGGAATACACCTCCGCATGAAATTAGAAGAGGAGAAATTTTTTTTATTGAAATTAGAATTGATGGAATAAAGTAGTCCATGTTTTTACAACAGTATCTTTCAGGTTCACCCACTTCAACCAAGAAGGAGACAGACCGCTGAAACATAGATTGTTCTCTACGGAAGGAGATGGAGTCATCTTCATCAACATCGAATGCTATAGCCGTAACTCACAAACAAATGCGGTTGCTGTTGGTACCACATGTAGAAGTCCTTATACAAGGCTCTGCCTTGTAAAGACATGATGTCTGGCGCATCGCTCGCAGGTGGTTTCCCATCTAGTGGGAAGTATTGTAGGATCGTTCGTTTTACTTGTGCCCAATCCAGCTCGATCTTCTTCTCTGGAGGTACAACTTGCGTAGTAGTTACTCTTGAAGATGTAGTTGCCTCTTCGTCTCCGTGTGCGTCCTCTGCGTACGCAACTGCTGGAAGGAACAGCCAGACCGGCCACCAGACAACGCGCCAAAACGCGTAGCGCCGAAGTGGCGCCTTCATTCTCTCCCTTTACTTGTTCTTGCTCATGCAATTCCCATATTGAGCAGTTTACGTCACCTTTAACGGATCTGCTAGTCGATTCGGACTGGACCTTACGTCACATTTATAACGAAAGATCCTACTGGCACCGTCCACGTCATCCTCTGAGTCATGCGAGATCCAAGAAGGACTCTGACCTTATCTAGAGTCCTGACGCCCGCAGTACTAGTATTGGTCTGTGATCGACGACAAGAAGGCCCATGTCGTCCTTTCATTGATTGCTTGATTGATATGCCTGACAAGAGGTTGATATGCCTGACTTAGAAACTAGAGGTGTCCTCCCTTCGAAGATGGCTAAGTTTGTAAGGGAGGACAGTTTTTATGTCCTGAAACAGAGTCGGAAAAGAACACTGTGGGTCTCTGACGCAGCCGCTTCGAACAAGACGGCATCTACCACGTGCGAGGAAGTATAGCTGCTCAAAGAGCGATATTAAAGACCTTCGAAACAGAAGTTCACTGATTTCGGTCAGTCACGATACAGCTAACGATCTAACTCAAAAAAGACTCGTAGTACCCATCTATCTTGATGTTTAACTCAAACTCTTCTCTTTCTTGACCTATCCGTGTTGCTTCTACGATGGCATCCTTCTGTGCACACTGTGCACTGCTTTCTGGTCATATATTGAGAACATCCTTGTATAGTGAGACAAGAATCCGTTAACTATTTACTGACAGGGTTCGACTTTTTCCGAATACACAAAAGAGAAATCGAAACGTCGCAACAGGAACAAATCTTAATCTTTGTAGTTTACTTACGACTAAACTCTATAATCAGACAACATCTGCAACTTACTTCGAAGAAGCGCTACAACTTTTGATTTCATGGAGTTGAGGCTATGCGAGCTGCTAAGATATATTCAACACATGATACAATAGAAGACAGCACCCGTGCTCTGTCTGATACTGTTCTCGGCATACCAGGGTGCTGCTGAAGCTGCTACTGTACTTGATCTATAACCAGAAGATTTCCACAAACTCTGCTTCACAGTTACTCACGAGGCCTCGTCCTCTTCAATGCGCTAAGTGTGACTATTTGTTCGCGGATTTTCGTCTCTAGCTGTTTTGCTACGGAGTACGCCTCGTGAATTTCAATCTTCCGTTCCCTCTCCACTTCTACTGCAAGCCAAGTATTGCTCTTCTTGGGAGGTTTGTAAGCGGAACCCTCTTGGAACCTGAGGTTTAATATCATTTGCACGAGGATCTACTTCACCATGATATTAAAGCACCCGTACAGAAGATTCTACAATGAGGATTACAACTGCTTCGAAATGAATCCATCCAGACGAAAATCAATAACTGTATAATCTTACTTTTTTCTCTTTTCCTTTTTCGCTTTTAATTTCTCTGCTGGACTATTTGGGTCTGGTTTGGCCCATGGATCCCTCTTTTCTTCATACTTGCTCTTCAATGCGCGATAACGTTTCTCCAGAATGACATGGCTTACGAGCTCTTTGTGGACGAAGTCGTCGGCGGAGGAGGAGGAGGAGGGGGGTGTTGATGATTAGAGGTCGTAATTCGATTCACAACTTCAAATTACTTGCGATATAATCAATCATGGTCGTGAGTAGAAATTCACCATATTCTTGGATCAAGAAAAACACGGATGAAGATTCAAACATGTTTACGTTTAGCAAGATTGTTGACGATGATGTTAGTCGGTTCGGAATTGTCCTACGACTTCCCTGAATCTCTTCTGAGTTTTACGGATTTCCCTGATGTTAAAACTGTTAGAAAGATTGTTATTCTACTAGTTTGTTATCGATGCTAGTCTGCGAGCCATAATCTTTCTTTTCTCCACCGCCTCCCATTCCTGGTACGTCTGCCTTCTTCCCTCCCTCCGCATCCTCGTCTTCCTTAGGAGGCAAGGCGCTTTTATGCACATACAAGTGCACCTCTATAGGTCTTCGCATGCCATTGGGAGACTCACGAATGAGACATCGGTAGGATATCGGCAATTTGAGCTCACGAGCCCACTCGTTCATTTGCGAGAGCTGTCAGGGATTCTTGTAAATGTGAAATATCTTCTAAGCATGTATTTCAGACCTGTGAAATATCTTCTAAGCATGTATTTCAGACCTGTGAACAATGCGAATCAAAGGAGTACTTACTAAAAGACTTGTGTACAACTTGTTAAGTACTAGTACCTTCATCAACGTATGATATTCCAACTCCCTAACGTTCCGAGACACATTTTCTGTCACTTCTAGATCCTTCTGCTCCGCTGCTCTGCGCTGTTCTGCGAGGTACCTCTGGGCTGACCTCGGTCTAGACGCAGATCGCGGTCGACTCGTGTGATCTGAGCGGTCGGTGTTCTGTGGAGGTGTTGAGGGGAAGGCTTTAAAAAAAGGTAAACGGATGTGAAGCAGTAGATTGAATGTACTTACTTCCAACTACAGAAAATGCCCCGTCACAAGTCAAACTGTACCAGAGAAGTAATCTTCATACCATTTTCTGCACTCTCTCCATAACGCTGTCAAATCGCTTCTCTCCCGCTGTTTTCGGTCTTGGCATGGACTTAAACCCGTCTATGTGCCTGAAGGAGTCGTCTCCGCCAGACATGACGATTAGAAGATGATAGATACAGTAAGCAACTACGACGGAGAAACATGATATAAGTGGTGCTAATTTGGGGATCTGAAATCGCCACGATGTTCTTGTACTCCTGACAAATCATCATGATCATGTTCAATCCGCTTTCATAAAGAACTACTCGCAACGCTACTTCTTCCGACAAAATTCTGCTTGTCCCCTCCAAGTTTGAACCCCGCAGGAGACGTCATCCCCAACTGTGCTCCCATTGAGAGCCTATTGCTTTTGAGGACCCCACCGTCAGCACCTCTATCTCCTGCTTTTGGTGTGGCATCTGACGAGAAGAGAAAGGCAGAAGGATTGTTGTGTTAGCGCTCACCCTAATCCATCTTCAAGTCCATCCTGAGACTGTTTTCCCCTTGAAAACGTCTCTACGATGCTTCCGAAGATGGATTAGGGGAAGCCATAATTGTGGTTGGAAGGCAATCCTAGTGTTGGATCTTGCCCGTCTGCTCTATTTCTACTTTTGGCTCCTGGAATTGTCAAGCTATGATAACTGCTTTTGTTCGCCGCTGATGAAGACAGAAAATTGTTCATCGCTGTCTGATGTGCGCTCGATGTTGTTCCCCTACCACTTGTTTGCTCTGCTGTGTCCGCTTCTTCCGCTGCACTGTTGAATCCTCGTCTCTGCGACGACCCTCCGAACGTTCTAGAGGATGGCAGTTTCACACTCTCGACATCAGCTTGTTGTTGGGGAAGAACAGTCGCAAAACCGCCAAACCGCGTACTGTAAGAACTACGCAAGCCACTGCCGCCTGTGGTGGAGTTGTTTCCTTCTGATGTCAAGGAAGTCGGTGTTCTGAGCTTCCGCTCCTCTGTGGCTCCTATGCCCGCCGTCGCGAAAGGCAGCTTCTGTTCTTGAACTAGTATGAATGGAGGAGAGGATTGTATCAATCATAATTTCGTTCTATGGTGATTCTAGACCTCCCCAGCAGGTAGTGCCCTATTATTTCCCTTGATGTTCCCCAGTGCGTGGGCTGTCAAAAAGTAGAAAAACATCTCAATCCAAGCATAATTACAGGTCGATTCCTTTGCTCGTGATACGAACTAGGTGGTAAGTTCTCCTTCGCAACAGAAGCACTGCTGAACAGATTCGCAGAACTACTAGTGCTGCTATACAAGTTGTTCAAGGGGTTAGTCTTGTCTTTGCTACCAGCCATCGCGAATTTCCGCGTACTAGAGGAAGATGATCCTTGTTCATTTGAAGATGATGATCCTGAAGAACTTTGTTGGCTTCCACTACTATGTGTTTGACGACCTGCATCTACTACAACATTGTCCCTACTCGTCTGATCCACCACATTACCTTGCACTGTATTAAGCTTGTTTCCTTTCTTCTTAGGCGATTGGTCTTCTCCCACACCCTCAAGATCGCCCTCCATTTCCTCGGCTCCTACGTTCATCATCTTGCGGAAAAAAGACGACGTGTTGCGCGAAAAAGAAGCTGTGCAGCTGCCACTCGATTTCGGAGTAGAGGCTTTAGAGTTCTTGGATAAAAAGGAGTTTGAAGAGGATCTTCTAGCGGTGGTGGACATGTTGATGTTAGTACTTGCTGGATCATCTCCTGCTCCTACAGCTACATTCACATCGACCTTTAGCGTAGTTTCCATAGCTGTATCTTCAAGATCTTCACCTTGAAGATGTTGCTTTGTTCGTGCAGAGATAGCAGAGTTACTTCTAGATCCTCTCCCAGCATGACCGAGACTAGGACTAGAAGCTGCAGCGCTTCTCTGACTCACGGCACCTGCACTTTTCTGACTCACGGCACCTGCACTTCTCTGACTCACAACACCTGCACTTCTCTGACTCACAACACCTGCACTTCTCTGACCAGTGGAAGCTCCACTTTTGTGGCTTGATGCAGCACTTTTATGACTTGACGCACTTCTGCTAAGACGCTCGACGTCGTCTTCCTCAAAATCGTCGTCGTCGTAGGCGGCTGAGCCGGATGCTGAACCTGCCTTGTTAGAATTCCCTTTCCCTTGAGAAGATGTGAAAGAGTTGCTCCTACTGGTGGTCTTGCTCTTCGGAGGACCTGCAGCTGCACTTGCTTGTTCATCCAGTCTTTCTCCTTCTTGCTGTTCTTGTATCGAGGATCCAGAGGGCTGTCTTGCAGGAAGTCTTTTTTCCTCCACCACCGCCTCCTGTATCACTGTCTTGCTAGTGACAATGTTTGTAGCTAGTACTGCCGTACTCGTCACTGCCTGTTCCCCGCCACCGGGTCTTCGGCTGTTGCATGAAGACCCTAGAGGTTGTTCTGGTTCGCGTGCTATACTAAGACCGAATTCTTTATTCTCCTGTACAGAACCCGCTAGCTTATCCTCCGCCTGCGGCATCAAAATTTCTGTAGAATCTTCCTGCTCGTCTTCTATTTCTTCCTCTTCGTCCTCCTCTATTTCTACTACGACGTTCTCTTGAGGCGCATTTTTGTGTGAAGATGCTGTTCGAGAGGAATGGTGCTCGTCTTCTTCATCATCTACTTCTTCATCGTCTACTGCAACTACCGCTTCACCTTCGAGGGCGCTCTCCTTTTTCTGTTCCTTCTCGTGCATCTCCTGTTCATCGTGCTCCAAAACAGCCGCCGCAGCCGATGCCGCATCTGGGAAGTCTCGGAACGGTACTGGCCTACTATCACGCCTCGAGGATTTGCGGGAACTAACTGCTGTGCTGCTCGGAACGGACTCGAGGGAGCCGAGTAGGAAAGCCGTAGCATTCTCTGCAACCTTCCCGAGAGACCCTGAGCGACCAGCCGTACTCAAAATCTGACCCGTGCCACTGGAGACGACGGAAGAAGCGGCGCCGCCGGCTCCCTGAGAATTTATAATCAATCATGATTGCAGCCTTCATCGACACAATCGATGATGATCATGAGCTTAAAGTGTTAAATAAATGTCGTCAAAACAGTACCCGTCAAGAAGTACAGGTTCTTCCCAAATACAACGGAGAAGATCTTACAACTGATGTGAGTGCGATGTAGTAAAATTATCCACCCCAGCTGCAGCACTTCCTCCTCCTCCACTTCTCTGCGCACTTGGCGGTCGATGTGACGAAGGTCGGGAGCTCGAAGGTCGGTTGCTGGAATGAGGGGTTTGCAATTTGTGCTTTTCGTATGCGGCTTCGAGTTAGAGCTCCTGTCCCTAATCCATCTTCTCGAAGTGCATGATACAATCAATCAATCAAGGGTCTCCATAGCAGCCACGCGCCTGCATGATACAATTGACAATAGTACAATTATAATCTCGCACAGGAGTTATCAGTGCAGACTGCCGCGCGGCGTCATAGTGTTTCGTCACGATGCCTACTCACACAGGTTTTGAGCAAAGTACTAACAACGACACGGAACTGAGAAAAGAAGTGACAATAAACTTTTCGTCCCCATTTTTGAAAACAAGCTCTCTCTCCTTTGAAAACAAGCCTTCTCTGAAGATATGGAGCAGCCTTAATCAAAACGTCCTTCGAAGTCGTCATCTTCAGCGGCATCGTCAATGATGTCTTCGAAGATGTCATCTTCCTCATCCATGACTTTTTTTTTTACTACTTATAGGATAGGATAGGATAGGAGCTGGCTCGCCTCAAGGAGGTGAGCATTCACGCTGGTTCGCATTCACGACTATGAAAACGCCGAAAAAGAATCTCAAATGGTAGAGGGATTTTTACTGCTCATGGTACTTAAAAAAGGGCTACGGCTATCTTCTTTATTGCCTGCTCTTTAGTACCGGCAACGGGAGATGCAGATATTCGATTTAAACTGAAATGATGTCCTCCTACCTTCCTTTGATTTGAAAACTTTCAGTTTTTTTGTTTAGAGCAGTTCCATGTTTTGTATCTTCGCGCTGTTTTAACCTTTCTGTTTCTTGTAAGCTGCACTTTGTTCACATTGATGACCCCGAAGGTGGACGTTTTTGATGTTGACGTAAATGACAGAGAAGATAACACAGAAAGGCACCAGGACCAGTTGACTCCCACTCAATCACTCAAGCAGTTTCAACGTCGTATAAAATTCCACAGATATTCTACTTAAAGAAGAAGAAGACGATTGTACCGCGCTTCCTTGTCGCTGACCTCAGACGAAGTTGTTCTTGTCGCAGCGTGAGGAACACCGAAAGGCCGGCGAAGGAAGTGGCGTATGAATGTCTCACGCCTTCGCGGGTGGCATGACTAGAACGAAGGATATTTTTCGTTTTAGTTTTATTGCCGTTTTTTATACAATGAATGCAAAGCGGTATGTATTGGAACTGCACATACTCAATAATTACGAGGATGCTTATTACAAAAGGATTCAGTGGCGTCAATTGCAAATTTACCATCAAGTATTCATGTCACAGCTATACTGGGTGGGACAGGGGAACAAGTGAATTCAGACCCCCTGGGCGTGGGCGAGGTGAGTTCAGGCGAAAGCCACAACGGCGAAATCCATTCACGCTACTGCCACACTGGGAAAAGGACTCAGTTTCAGCCAGTTGCTCACTTTCGGGTTGACCACTATCCCATGAGGCCCAGATCCGCTGATTAACGGTCCATTACGCCCTACGCTTCCAGCACCAAAGAGGAAATCAGCCGCACTTCCAGTAGTCGAAAACTTTATGGGGCGTGGGGGTCTATCGTTGTCGACAACGTCAGTACTATTGTCTTTATGTCTGTGTCCCTTCGGAGTTTGAAGTTTCGCCGTACCCGGAAGTTGTAGACTATCGAAGGGAGCTGCATTCAGATTGATACACTCTCCTCGAAAACCGCTGTTGACGCCTTCTTTCGGGCCAAGGTCTAGCCGGTCGAACTTTATCAGGTGATGAGGCGTTTGGCTTGTCTTAGAAGAAATGAGGACATGGAATTGTAAGTGGGACTGTACAGTAGAGTGCGAGTATTAGAAGCATTACAAGTATTAGTTCTGAAAATCGGTTAATCTACAACTTCATCTTCGTAACAACGACCTGCTTCTGTCCCAGTCGCCGCACAACGTCTTGACTTAGCATGACGCAGCGACCGCGCAAAGGCTCCGGAAAATTTAAGGGCAGATAGCTGTAGAAAGCGCATTCGCTGCGTGGTCGTAAAGCGCATTGGACCTGGCATCCTGCTTCATTGATTAACTTCGGGAAGCTCTCGTAGGTCAGCGTTTTCCCCTCCTCTGCCATGACTCGATAAAGCCATTGGTTCTTCAACCTTCTGTAAAAACATTGCTCTGCTGGTTTCAAAAACATCTGCAGTCTCCTCTTCAACAAGGCATCCGCTTTGCCCGTCAGCAATGAGGGATCTAGATATGGCCCCTCAGCATCGTACAACCCGCGGCAGGCCCAAGGTGCTTCACAATCTTTCTCGAGACGGTGTTTGTCCTCGGGTGTTAGAGGCGTACTATCTAAGAACAAGGTTTTCTCTTTGCTCTACCGTTTATGACCACAACAACTACACTGTATCATTTTTTTCTATTAATAAATGTACTAAGAAAAAATACAAGTGACCAATTCCGTAACATCGACAACTGACTCATCCCATGCAGAATCGAATGACAAGGACCTGTGTAGCCATCGGGAGCGCGACAAGTGTCGCCATCCGGACCGACGAACCAAGCGAACGGACAGAGCTGTTGGTGGTAGTCCTTGACGCAGTTTAACGATGTAATGGGGACTTTTTCGAGAAGGAAGGATGTTGTTGTACTTCTTTTGCTCCTGGCAGACTGGGTGGTAGATCCGGTAGCACCCTTGGAAGCACCTTGATGCCACAAGGTATCAAGGGGAATCGAATGCGCTGTGCCTCCCATGTTGGATTCATAGATTTTTTTGTTGACCACTGAAAGAGAGTAAGCATGAAAAAGTTGTGAGAGACTAAAAAGATATCAACTCATTTAATGGAAGATAGCTGTAGTCATACTCAAATCTAATCAGAAGACATGTCCCTAAAAGCCAAAGCTAAAAGGGTCGAAATAATGCGCACACACGAAGCTAGATGCGCGAAGAAGTAGAGTAGTAGAGAAGTAAACACTGTCTAACCCCAAGAGTGGGTACATTCATTCATTCATTCATTCATACTGGCGTCTGTGGTGTAAAAAAGAATGTTATAAGAGCAAAGCGCCTTTGGGAGATTTTCAGGGATGATTTGAGCACAGAAACAGAAAGACACCGAAACCGAAAGACGATGCTGACATTTCTTTGTCTCTTCTGATTCTCTCTACGGGGACATTTAAGGATAGGATAGGATGAAGTCCGCCGTCCACAGTTTTACCTGCCTTCTCGGGCGGATTTACGTAGCTGTAGAGGGACTACACATGCTACGCTAACACAATGCTCTGCAATCTATAACACCCGAATGTTTCTGTTTGGCTCGAGAAACCGAAAGAAATGCGCTGTAGAGGAACGCCAACCGATTTCGCCCGAATTTCGTTGTTGTTGTTGTTGTTGTTGCCAGAGCGGTAGAAATGCTCTGTCGACAACAGTTTCGAATGTGTTGTCGACAGAGCATTTCTACCGAAGAACTTATCGACGACCCATGCATTTGAATCAGCACCGAAGCAAGAATATTCACAACGAACGTGGACACTAGCGAGGACGAATGGTCGACAGGATAGTGCAGACGCACCAGTTGTATCTCGTGGCTTTAGGTTAGGTTAGGTGTGCGTCCACTAGGTAAACCAGCAGACTTTAGTGGTTGCTGTACCTTGTTTTTGTACAACTACAATCAAGCAAGGATATGCAGCATTTCATTTTTCGATCATCCTATTCGCAAAGCAAGACCATAATTTATCAACATGCAGCCAATTTCTTTTTGTTTTTTGTGTCTTTCTCAATTTTTACCTACAAGTTAATTTCGGTGCGAAGCAACTTATCTTTAGTTTTCAACTTAATGACATCAGATGAAATAGTTACTGGAATTTGAATTTAGACAGAGACGAAGCAAGGGCTATTCTTGAACTAAGCTCTTGAACTACGCTCCTTGCCATACTCTTTTTAGACATTGATAGTCTTTGCTTGGAATTTGGAATTTGAGATTGCGACATGATTTTTCATCGAGTTCGACAGGTTATAACAAATTGGAATTGTTTGTTACTAGCAGAACGATCTGACACCGATCGCTGCTACTACAACATTACTCAATGATGAGAAGAAACGAACTAGGTCTCATCCCCACCTGATGACGTGACTATATTTGGGTGAAGCGTCTTCATCCCCAACTAAACAAGCTTCTAAACTGAAACTTATTAAACTCTATAGCGCATCTAAGAACCAACATCCTCACGCCGAGATTTCCTCCCTCGGAAACGGTTCCTGGCGAAGGCCTCCGAACTTATCCGCCTCTTCGCTAGTGAAGCATTGGCTGGGTATCGGCTTATTCAGTTGCAGGTCCACGACGAAGGTATGGTCTTTCACGTCGTCCAGGTCGTAGCCAGCAGTTAGAGGAAGAGAGAGGTGATCGTGGTGTCTGATTATTGAGAAGACATCTATGTCAGTTCTATGTCAGTTCTATGTCTGTTCTATGTCAGTTCTATGTCAGTTCTATGTCTGTTATGTACTATGATCGCGATCAGAAACTGTACAAAATGAACCCATCTCTTATACTGCAATCTACATTCTGTATCCATCAGCATATACTGTCTGCTATTCTATTGTATCGTCCATGGATTAATGAAGCTTCGGAACATAACTTAATCGCTCTGGTGTTCGTCAATCGGTAGTTCTGCATCTGGATCAGCATAGGCTTTGTGACTCGAGCCAAATTGACCATGACCCTGTCCATCTTCGCTTTAATCTTCCCATTATTTTGACGACACCTGGAGTAGGGGGAAAGGGAGGACGGAGTATAGATGGTGTAGATGGCAGCTCTATCAAGTAGGACTTCTTGTGCAAGAACTGTATCAAGTAGTACAAGGCTCAAGGACAAAAACATCGTTCTTCTTCGTAACTTCTTGATTCTTGTAGTTTTTGTCACGAAAGAACTACGTATAAAAGTCTGAATTTCAGTACCTAACAAACTGATGCGAGTCCCCAAAGACATGGAAGGTCTGCTCAAAGCAACTCAAGAAAACGCATAATTCGAGTTTTTTTGTGTGCCATATGCCATTCCTTCCCCACCGCCTTCTGAATTCCTCGTCTAGAGCGTAGATCTGAAAGTGTGGATGAATTATTCATGGAATTTCAAGTAGTAGTATGTAGTCCATCTATTAGATAGATCCCATGTGTGCGTCCCTGATGTCACTATTCTGAATGACCGTTGTATGAACGAATTCTATTACATAGAGGTTGAGATTCGTTTCCAATACTTACACGGAATGACTATCGATCCTGTTCTACACCCTAAGATGAAAACGAGAATGAGAGACCTAATGCAACAACTGACGCAAAGTCTCATCTTCCCTCTCATCACTACATTAAACAGCTACAATAGTTTGCTTCATGGGATAAGTCTAAGGAGGAGAGGTAAAAACTAACCGGAGAGGTAAAAACTAACCGGCTACATCTTCCCTCTCATCACCATGTACTACAACTGACGCAAAGTCTCATCTTGTCCCTCTTATTAACAGCTACATAGGAGTTGTAATATCTGATAACCACTACATTAAACAGCTAAGTACAATAGTGAGAAGCTCTTATCACTACATTAAACAGCTAAGTACAATAGTGAGAAGCTCTTATCACTACACTGTAAACAGCTAAGTACAATAGTGTGAGAAGTTGTAGTACATTCCAACTGGTGCTTTTTCCTCTTGCTGGTCGGTCTTGCAAAATCCGCAACAGGTCCTCCGCATCCAACTGTGCCACCTGTCTATCCCGGAAAGAGAATATCACCTGCCCTGAACTGGAGAGGAGATTAGAAGCAGTCGTGTTTGAGCTACTTGAGAGTATACGTCGATCCTCGGTAGCTACTTTTGACTGAGGATACAGCTACTTGAGAGTATACGTCGATCCTCGGTAGCTACTTTTGACTGCGTATACGTCGATCAACAAAGAAAATATTCCAACTCCATTCATAACATGAGTCCCATGCGTTGTTGCTTTCGTCTCATCTTTGCTATTTACCACAGTCAATGACTGGTCCTGTACGCAGTACCCATCATTCAGATGGTATCTGTAGTAGGTATGCGGCCAGTCTTGTCTTTCCGGCACTAGTGTCTTGATACTGCGGGGATTAGAGAAGGAGGGTACGTGATTAGGAGGTTATGACAGCATTCTTGCGGTAGCTTTTTTGCGATGCTTCCTAGAAAGGATGCTGTCATCGAGGATTCAAACGACTACTGATTTACTCTAGTAGTAGCCATAATGAGATTCTCGCTCTGGATTTTGTTGTGGTTTGGAGGCGTCGAAACAAGTTCGTAATGAGCATGAGGCGAGCAGCAGTACAATCAAACAATTATAATCAGAAAACAATAATATGGCGTTGATGACCAACAAATTGCAAAAAATATAAAAATGTCTATTTTGGCACTTGCACTACACTACACTCATCCGAGAATCTTCTACATTTTTTCATATTCGAGAAGCATTCATGCAGTAAATACGTAAAAGATGATATACTATTCCCAAATGGTGCAGACGAAAGGTTCTACTTAAGGCGTTGTGTTTATACGAACCCTATACTATTCCCAAACTCAGAATGTACCTGTATGCTCTGATTCAAAATCGGGTTTGAAGTTGAGCGTTGCAAGCGGTGGACCTTTGATCGATATGGAAGGTTGTGGTAGTAGCCATCGCCGGGGTTGGTGAAGTTGGAGATTAGAGAGGGATGTGGGTGAGCGTGAGGGGAAATCGTCAAAACCCACTTAATTTTCTCACACTGATGTGGGTGAGCGTGAGGGGAAATCGTCAAAACTCACTTAATTTTCGACAGATAAACACAATGCCTTAAGTAGAACCTTTCGTCTGCACCATCCTCTCTTTGCAGCTTATATCGCAGATCGGGTCGCACTCTTGTAGCCGCGAAGGGTGGTGGTGGTGCATTTGCGATTTCTGGAGGAACGTTGACACGGCCCGTCATTTTCTCTTAATGCTTTGGCCTCGGCCTTTTGTTCCGTAGCGTCGTTTCTTACCTCTTACAGAGCACGAGGAGGCGTGTGAGCATATTGATGTGATGTGTAGCTGCGCACCCCTTTGGCTCTCATCTAGAATGATGGGTCGAGTAACTGATGTCATTGATGAGTCGCGATTCAGAAAACGTAAGTACGCGCCAGATGATCAAGATGATACATAGAGGAAAATCTGAATAAAAAACGCTTGCTTTGGTACTACACTAGCCAGGCGGGTTAGAAAGAGGAATCGGGGTGAAAGGGAACAAGTATAGGGAGAAGGATTATTAGGGTTAAACTCCACGGCCCGATGAAAAGACAGGCTAAAAGCCGATTCTTCAGGACAGATATTTCCCTCACAGGCTTGAAACAGAAGAGACAGATAGATTTCTCTTGTGCTTACAGAATGAACCGATTGTTCAGAGGTACGCCACTCCCTCCTACCAACACGACAGACGGAGTTGAAATTTACCATGATGATGAAATGTGGTAACAGGACCCACATTATGACGGATTCGATTTTTTGAAGCGGACTATAGCTATAGGCGATTACTCATAAAACCTCACCATCTTGGACCACAAAGGAAATCCAATCAAAAATGAATCATTCGAAGGTCGAATTCCAGAAGAGCGTAATTCGATCTGCCTCCATGAGAATCTATCAACAAGCTTTTTATAGACAGTGTTTATTGGTTGTATTTCCAGATTTGAATGTTTAGTGTACAACGAATTCGAATAGGATCAACGTAGAAAAGATGACATCAATCAAAGCACTTAGTAGTCAAAAAAAGACTGATTTTCATACCTAGGAATCTGCACTCACAAGTTTCAAGACTTTATCTATCATCAATTCTGACCACCGACGTATTCGCTCCCACTACTTTCGGGTATATCGGCGTTATGAATCCCCTCTGCGGGAGCGCCTACAGGATTGCTTGCTACCGCTGGAGGAGCAATATTTGTGGTTTGGTTAGAAGGGATCACTCCCGCACCTGGTCTCTGGACAGGGTTATCTTGCGCTACTGCCAACGATCCTTCTGGTACTGGTAGATGTTGTTCCGGGTTACTACTGCTGTTCACCACATGCTGCTGTTGTTCCCTTTCCACCGAACCTGTTCTACTCTGCTGCACATTTTGCTTTTGTTGGCTTTCTATCGCATTAGCATGTTGCCGTTCATCTGATCCTACAGACCCTTGTTCACCCACAGACCCTTGTCCACCTACAGACCCTTGTTCATGGTGACCAAACATGTGAGGCATATGCACATGTGGCACATGTGGCATATGCGGCATATGCGGCATATGTGGCATATGCGGCATATGCGGCATATGCGGCATGTGCGGCATGTGCGGCATATGCGGCATGTGCGGCATGTGTGGCATGTGACCTCCTCCCGCAGGATGTTGGGCGGTTCCATCCTCCGCAATGTGTTGTTGGTGATGAGCCAAACTCTGTTTCAAAAAAATTTCTTTCTGTTGTAGATCTCCAGTCACTGGGCTATCCCCAGCTGCTTGCACATATGCCACTTGAGAAGTAGTTTGTGCGTCAGTTACAGCACCACTAGGAGCTCCCACCAACTGCTGCTGCTGTTGCTCTATTTGATGTTGATGATGGTGCGCACGATGACCGTGGGCTTCAACAGATTGTAGGAAATTGGCAGTTTGGTCCATAATGTCTGCGCTTCCACCTAGTGTTCCAGCTTGCGTTGTTCCTACTGCAGCAACACCACCTGCTCCTACCACACCAGGATGTTGTTGCACCGCCAACGGCCTATGTACTATTGAATCCACTGTTGCTAGGATCTCTTTGTCCGCACCACCAGACCCAAACCAATGGTGCTGCGTGTGCGCGTGGCGGATTAAAGCAGCTAGTTCTTGGATACGACTGTTCGCATCCGCTAAGCGGTCTTCCAGCTGGTCTAAATCCTCCTCCGCTTCCTCCAAATCCTGTTCCAAGATTAGAGCTACCGCGTCGCATCCCTCAGCCCACCCTTCGGGTGATGATGATGATGATATACCCAGTCCTTGGACGGGTATGCACTTTGTTTTTTATAATTATATGTGTCCTTTTTTGCATTTCTCTTCGGTCTTTTTTCTCCTTGAAAAAGAGGCCACGGATGGTTCGCTGAGGATGCTTTTGCTTCAGCGGTACTAGCCTTAACAAGATTTCCTTCTTCTTCTCCAAGTCCTTGCTCTTCTTATCGGTGCCGAAGAGGCGAGCGTCGAGAGTATTTAGTTCCTTTTCGTCTTCATCGCGTTCCTTGAAGAGTTTCTCGAGTTCATCCTCCTGTTGGTCGCGTTCGGTTCTCAACCGCTCGACCTCCTGTCGCAGTTTTTCGGTTTGCTCCTTGTATTCCTCCTTCTGCAATCGCATCTCGCGATTTTGGCGGCGCAGAAGTTCGTTCTCCTTACTGCGGCGTGCAGATTCGAAGCTGTACTACAGACTACAGTCTACTGTATTTTTACTTACATTGATTGTGAACTTATAATAGTTCTTTACATGATATAATTTAAGGCAATCAAAAACTGCGATACTAGGTGTTCCAGTATAAAAGGAACATCTTCACGGTTTGCAAGAAGTATCGACTCTGTTATCTTGTCTGTCAAAAGAACGACCTTTCTACTTTGTACAACTACAAGTGAGCACATCAAGACTCAACATGAAAGAACATATCTCTGTTGTAGCATCTCGAAAACTCCTTCCCTCCATAATCTTTCTCCCTACGCAAAATCGCAAGTTCGTGCTGCTCTATCGCTTGTTCCTGACTCGTTTGCAGTTCTTGCAAGACCGAGTCATCTGGTTGGATCAGTTTCGTCTGGACAAATTTGGAACTAGAGGGACTTAGTGCCTGCTTTGAGGATGTCGATTCTTTCGAGGTATCCCTGGCAGAAGATATTTTAGTTGGTTGCTGTGTTTCCACTACTGCGAGGGCTGCTGCGGTATTTGTCGGATTCTCTGATCCCTCAGGAGCAAGACTGACACGACCCTCCTGCACATCCCCAGTCGTGGTATTCTCCACCTTCAAAGCAGATTGTTGTTGTGGTTCAGGGGGAGAAAGTTGAGCTTCTCCTTCTGCAACGATTACTTTATCTTGTGTACTGACCTCTTCGACTGAAGACACGACTGAAGACACTAGACCAGCACTCCCAAAGGGTGCTTGCGACTGGATGTACTGCCTGGAGGCACTATGAACACCCTCTTGTGCTCCCTCAGCAGGACCTCCAGGAACTTCCTTATTATCCTGTTCAGTATCTTCAGACACGGGTACTGGTGGAACCTCTATGGCAGCAACAGGTGTCGTGTCAGCTTTTTGCTCCTCTTCTACGGCAGCAACAGGTGTCGTGTCAGCTTTTTGCTCCTCTTTTTGTTCTGGCGTTGCCTCGTCCACCTCCAACCTTTTTTCTCCGACTAGACCTTCCACTACTGACGGCGGTCGCACCTCGTCTAGCTTCAAAGCGGCTTGGTGTTAGAAGAAGTAGAATCCTGAGTTAAATCCTATATTGTTAACCGATAAAAAGACAGCGATCACAAGTGATTAAAGATTGAGTTTGAGTTTTATCAACTTTAAATCCTTATCCACCTGATCATAACTCATACTGGGCGATCCCGTCAATGCAGCCACTATATCACGCGCAGCCACCTTCGCTGATTCTCTCTCACTAGATTTCTCCAATTCCTTCGCCTTTACCTCTTGCTCCTCTAGTTTTTGCTTTAAACGTAAAACTTCCTCCTCTAAATTCGTTTGTTTCTCTACCAAGACCAGTTTTTCTTCTTCTGCTGCTTGTAGGGCTTCAGCGCTTCTAGCAAGTTGAAGTTGTTCCTCCTCTCCACCCTGCTCTACTTGCATCGGCCCTGATGATCCTGATGATTCTGCCTCTGGACCTCTTAGATGCAGTGGTCTCGTTCCTAGGACGCGGAATTGGATCCTGGGGTGTGCTTGTGTCGTGGGAGAAACACCAGGTTGATGTTGTACAGGAGCAGCAGCAGGGTGACTGGGAGTTTGAGTTTCCATCTTCATCACTAGTACAGGTTGATGTTGTACAACTACATTTTGTTCAACAACAGCGGGTAGTTCTTGACGAACATACTGAATCATCTGATGTGGCTGCCCCTGTGCATGCTGGGGTGCTACAACAGAATGATGCAATGGAGGATGATGCGCAACAACTGCAGCATGGACAGGAGTTTGAGTTTCCACAGCATGGACAGGAGGATGATGCGCAACAACTGCATGCAAAGGTAGCACAGTACCAGCAACTTGCTTTGCCTTCGAATGGAGTACTTCAATACCACACTTCAATAATTCAGCTTCCATCATAGCCGCTTCGTCCGCTGACTCCTTAGCAGCTTGGTCAACACGCTCTCTGAATGCTTGACTCTGTTCTTCGAGTTGATCTAGTGCCGCTTCTAGTTCTTGGATACGGAGTTTGCCGGCTTCGCAGTCGGTAGCCAGCAATTGTATTGTTCCTTCGTATTCTTAGAGGTTGCCGAGTTGCATTCTTCAGAACATCCTTGGCTCCTTTTCAACCCCTTGGAGGAAAGGAGCCAAGGATGGTAATCAAAGGCATGTCTTTTGGGAAATGTAATTCGGAAACCCTTAATATTCTCGTTTCAAGCGTTTCTCCAAGGCGTGTCGCTCTCGAAACCACTTTTCTTTTTGGAGCGCGATATCCTGCAAGTCTTCAATAACGTCTCGCATCTGTGCCTCCAACCGTGAGCTCAACTGCTTTTGACGTTGGACCTCTACCTGAGTGTGGTCAATAGTTGTTTGTTATAGATTGAACAAAGCTTCTGTAGTTCCTTCGTGTAAACACTTGGGGAAGGTTGCAGATTCTGACTTGGGGGAGGTCGACGTTGATGCAGCAGTGAAGATGTTCGAATCTTCTACATTTAGTGTTAGTGCCCCTCTTGTTGTTTGAAGAATACGAACAATATGAAGCTAGTCTCTCTGTTGCTCCTTTTCTTGACATCATAACTTTCATCACCTCAGCTTTCTCCAGCTTCTTTTCCAGCACCATGTCTTTACACAAACCAAATTCTTATAGTATACCTCAGCTCTCTTCAACTTCTCTTCCACGACATTTTTGCCATGCTTCTCCCGTTGTGCCGCCTCTCGAAATTTGTCGGCTTCCAACGACAGCTCTTGTCTGCTCATCACCTTCACTCTAGGAGGGCCTTTGTCGAATATTTCCTCAATTAGTTCCTGCCTCTTAGTTTTACCCCCATTCTTAGGTATTTCCGGGACCACAGCTCCTTGAGGATCCAACTTGTCTAGTAGGCCTTGGATCAGAGCGTCTTGTCTACCTAGCTCGGCTTCCATCTTGCGGAAAGCGGCAGTTCGTTTGTGCTCTTGTTGAGACTTCCGAGTTAGAAGAGGATGTACTCTGTTCGACGTCGTGTTAGAAGCAAGATGATCAACATGAAGCGTGTACTAGTAAGTACATGAAGAGTTGTACAACTAAACTTGAAAAGTAGATGGCAATGGCATTCAAACTTCATAAAAGTGTAGTTTCCAGCACTCAAGAACATAACTTCAGTTCCACGTTTTCCCTCTTCAGCAAATCTATTGACCGCATCAACCCTTTAGTTTTCTGAGCCGCCACAGCCTGAACTGCCTGTAGCTTCTCAGCGACTTCGTCATGTCGAAGATGGGTGGCTAGTTTACGGACGTTTTCTGGTAAGGGTTCCAACACGAAGCTGCATTTTGCACGTGGCACGTCCACGACCTTGGAGAGAGCGTCTCTAGTTGCGGTTAGGTCGGGTTCTGCGACTCCCGTTGTTGGAGCTGAGCACGGAACAGAGAGAGGGATTCTTGGATCTAGTTGTGGAGGAACTGCTTGAGCTGTGGTAGAGTTCGCAGGAGGCTGAGTCGCTCCACTAGCCTCTTGTGGCACAGTTGGCGCTATTGCTCCTGCCTGTGGGCCAGGAGCTGCGGCGACTTCACTTCTCTTCACTATCGAAGACCCAGCTTGATGTAGAGGCAGTGGCCCACCTAACGATAAATTAAGGGGAGGCGGAACGGGCTGCCCTTGACCTACCGCAATACTAGGAATTGTCGGTTGAACGGGAGTGAGCGGCTGCCCTCCAAGCACCCCCATAGCACCACTAGACTGAGAAACTGGAGCAATCGCTCCTCCTGGTGCAGGCGCGGTACTCGAATTGTTCATCCCGCCAAGGATCATACTGCTCGACGCCGAAGGCACCGTCGGAGGTTTCATACCACCACTCGCTGAAGATGATACTCCCACAGCACTCGCTTTCGGCTGCACCGATGCATAAGGGCTATCATCCCCACCTCCCATCAACGCAGCCAGTATCGCGTCATTCTTGGTCGCAGTATTGTTAGCTGTACTTGCGCTTGCGCTCCCAGCACTTCCCGGTCTGGCACTTCCTGGTCGCCCGCCTAAAGGAGGTCCTCGACCGCTCGCTGGAGGAGTGATCATACGGCCATTGATGCTCGTCCCGGCTGTAGGTAGTGGCGGAACACCACCGCCTCCGGGATTGGAAAAGGACATGGGAAAAATTGATTCAAGTTTATTTGTGTTTCTTGTGTATTTGTCACCTGTTGATGTTTGAAAATGAGGAGGACCACAACGACGTTCACTATGATAAAGATTATACCGTATTAAGGTTTCCGTTTTTGCATTGCCTCTTTCTTCATAAGGAAAGTGCAATTTCGAGGTTTAGGCTTTTCCCTTTCGGCCGGGTGTCTGATGAATATTGAGGCCTCTTTTTTTGAAGATTTTCTCGGTTTCTCTCAGCGACCGAAACTACTCTCAGAGACCATCTCACATCGGAGCCGACTTTTTCTCATGTATGTTGATAGCCTTTCCGACAAACCGATTGGAGCTCTACTACTACTTCGCGTATATGATTGGACAGTCTTAAAGGCGTAAGAGAGAGAGTGAGACAGTCTTAAAGACGTAAGAGGGAAGCGGACAGACATGATATCGTGCACGTTCTGCAAGGAAAACGTGTTTTATCTAGTTCCACGTCCGCCGCCTCCAATGATGTTGAAAGACCCTTTTTTAATGTCAGATTTAAGACCGAAGTCCTCCATCTTTAGTAGTGGTATAGCAATTGCAAGCAACGGTAGGAAAATGTTTTTTATCATCAAATGTTATAAGACACAAATTTTTTCTGCACAAGTAGAAAGAACAAATGACTATTTCGAAGAAATTCACCATCTGTTAGAAAAAAAAACAGCACAACATTTTTTCGAAATTCTTTGAGACAAACAACAGTTGAATGTCAGAAAAGAATCCACGACATTCGAAGGAAAAATTATTTATTTTTTCGTTCCTCTTCCAAAAGACACGGACACTAATTTTTGGAGAGAAAGGACCACATACGTCGCACCCCCTACCCGAACAGTCTGTCAATTATATGCGATCATATTGTCAGCACGCATTTTTTTTTGACAAGGAAAATTTAGTAAAAGAATAATCGTTGATCGTCCTTTATCACTATGAGGCGATAAAGAACTCCTTCTTCATGACTATTCTCTATGTATTGAGCTAGAAGTTCATCCAGCTTTTATCCTTTTTGGACAACCTCAAATGTGGTTGTACCAATGAATCATCAGATATCTTTAATTTCAAACAAATGCCTCGTGCAAAAAGCCGTTATTTTTGATTCGCAGTAGTAGATATATCGCCATCTATATACGGCAAGAGGCTCATGTCGCGCAAAGCATGCATTTACGATCTGATTGTTGCTGATGTCTCGCTCATGTTCATATTGATTCGATTGATGTCACACACGAGAGTAGCGGTTTCTCACGTTCTTACTCGATTGGGCTCATTGAAGTTTCTTTTCTATCACATTGTACGAAATTGAACGATTGAACTATTTTTGAACTAGTTCGATTGTAGAAATGGGGTAGACCCAAGCACCAACAGATTCTCTATTTATATACACGCGTAGACTTAAGTCATGTGAAAAAGTCTCAGTATCCTCTTCGTCATGCATCGTTTTTCCCGAAGAATTTACGCAGACCAGCAGCAAGCCTTGCCCTAAGCACCTGCAGCAAGTCTAGCCCAAAAGAGCCATCGTGCATTTTCGAGTGTCGCAGCGCGGTTTAACCACACTATTCGTGATGACACCTCGTCGCCAGGTGGTGCTAGCATTTCTTCCACTAGGATTGGCAAGACAGGCTCTACTTGTTTGTACAGTGGCTCAACAAACACATCGTCAGATCCATCCACTTCAGGACTTTGTTCAGGACTCGTGCTCGCCTGCATATCCACATCTTCTTGTGGTGGTGATGATGATGCGTCTAGACCTTCTTCTGCAACCTCACCTAGTAGTACTTGACCTGGCATGGCTCTTGCACTAATAGCTGTAGCTGCGGTAAGGAGGTGAGCCTCTTTCGCGGGTTCGCTAGCCTCCATTTGGTGCAGACCAGCAGCAGTAGTCCCCTCTTCCTCCTCCATCAAACTCGAAGGATCTTCAGGTTGCAGAACCAACCCCTCCAGCACATCTAAAGCATCGACAGTCATCTCCGTAAAATGCTGGAGTTTTTCCCGTAGCAGAGGCACAGCACGATAGTGTAACTTCCCAGGAGCGACACGCGCCCAAGCCTCAAGGAGTCTGCCGTCTAGTCGAGCATTGAGATCTCCGAAATTCTTTTCGAAGTCTAACATTTCAAGAACGTCTTCTGGCGAAGATGTTCCAACGACCTTGTTGTTACCTCCAGAAGTTGATGTTGTAACTGTATGGGAGTCTAGTATTAGAGGTAGGGTCTTGGTGCTCGTGGACCCCGCTTTTTCTGCCTTTCTCCCTTGGGAAAGGCATAAAAAGCGGGAACAAAAGCACCTTTACCCTACCCTTAATAGTATAAGAGCTGCTTCGACTGTGGAAATGAATTCGGTTTGCGTGGTTTGCTGAAAGTGCGTAGATGGTGGAACTGATGCTGGTGCTCCCAAAAAAGCACTTCTAAGTAGTCGTGAAGAATCTTCTAACCGCACGTTTCGACCATCAGCTGTCCCTCCTTCTCGTCTTCGGAAGATCGCAAAAAATTCTAACAGGTTCCCTCTGGTTGTCAATGCATGCAAATAGATCTGCCGAAATCGCGCTATTTCGAACTTAGCACGTACTAGATTGCGCTGTGGTATGACGCGAACTTTAGCAGTATCCGGTGTTCTACCACGACTCGGTAAATGCTGAAACAGTTTGATCTTCAGCATGTCATCGGCCTCCTGCGGCAGCGAAGAAACTCGTTCCAGTGCAGCACCACTGATCCAGCCAACTTCGCCGTAAGTAGGTACGTGCTCCAATTGCTCCTGACTATCACCCGACTGTTGAAATAGATGTTGTTCCGCATCAAAGCTGTCTGCTACTTCTCCAGTGTGGAGGTGAAATTGCTGTTGCAGATACCACCACTGGTCCATCATCTGTTGGTGGTGCATCATTTGACTAGGATCAGAAGTGCCTGTGGTGCCATAGGTGGTGGTTTGACTTTGATCTTCTACAACTGCTTCATCTTCATCGGAAGAATCTTGTTTACGAGGAATGAAGACGTCGGCTTTTGCTGACATCGCAGTTCGTTTGGGCATCATCGCACGTGCATCATCATAAGCTCCTGTTCGAGAATCATTCACTAGTACCATAGGTGGATGTGATGAACTAGGAATAGGGTATGCGTGTGGGGTCCCCGTACCATGATACATATGAATATGATCAGCTCCTCCACCATCTACAGCATTCGTACCATGATACATATGATCAGCTCCTCCACCATCTACTACAGCATAGGGTGGGTCGTTTGAAGATTCTCCTTGAAGGTCATGTGCTCCCAAGTAACTGGTAGCATGCTGCCCCTCTCCCCAACTGTTCCCGGTGATAACCCGTACCTTCACAGCATTCGGGAATGGCGATTCTCCTGGTTGCTGCCCTTTTCCAGTCGACAGTATCTGCACCCGCGACCCTCTTCCCAACACTCCAGCTATGTTTAAAGGTTGCAGCATTACATTCTTCAGAACATCCCTCACCTCTTTCCTACTGGAAAAAGAGTGAGGAATGGTTGTGGGGGATGTAATTGGTTAACCCTTAATATGTGATGCGTAAAAGTTGCAGATGATGAGCCTAAGAACTCCGCGTTTTCGTCCGAAACAGCCTGCACGAAGAAGACGTCTTCACGCAGTTGCCGGATCGGGGCGAGACCCTGAATTTGCTCCACGGTGAGACTCAAGGGGTGTGATTGTGCTGAAGTAGATTTAGAGCTAGAAGAAATCTTCTAGTTAAGCTGTTTGATCGTTCTGGTGGACAGAAAATTAAGCAGAAGTAAAGAGGGTTAGAGCTAGAAGTGAGTTTCTAGCTCCCATTTTGAGCGGCATCTTCCGTCTTTTTTCCCTTCCGAAACGGGACCAAGATGCCTGTGAGGATGGATTTCTTCTAGCCTTAATAGATAAAGTTATTCCGTCTGTCTGTGGCAGGGCTATCTCCTGTGGCAGGGCTATCTCCAACCCCTTGACATGGTCAGGTTCGAAAACAAGAGGTGGCTGTTGCATATGCTCACCTGGATTTTGGATGTACATGCGCTGTAGAGCTGCGAACATGATCCTAGGAAGCTCATGGTCATCTTGCTTGTTCACTAGTGCAGGAGAGACTGCTTCCCCCATCTTTGGGACGGTCCCTTTGGGGGCACCTTTAGCTGCAGGTTTTGATTTAGCTGCAGCAGGCGAGTCTCCTGTAGTCTTTGCGGTTTCAGTGGAGGAAATAGCATCTCCTTCGAGGACCACAGTGCTGCCTCCACGACCCTTGTAGTTTTTCTCTTTCTCAACGACCTCCTTTTCGACTACCGGCACTGCGTCCTCAGCAACATGAGGGCTCTCCTCTCTCTCCACCTCGACTCTAAACAGGTCTAGCAACTGCAGAGAGCCACGTGAGAAAGCGCCAGGATCAGCCAAAAAGATAGGTGCTCCACCAAGCTGCGTCAGCACAGCTGGCAGGGGCTCTTCGACGAAGTGATAGGGCAAAGCAGAAGCAGCTCCATCTTCTAGCACTTGTTGATTCGTTGGAAGTTTACCTTGTCCATTCGTTTTCAGACATCTGAGATAAACTCTATCATTCTGCGTATACCTTGTGAAGAGCTCTGCGACGATACCAAGAAAATCAAAGAATAACACAGAAGCTATGAAAGTGTAATCCACGGGCTGCAGTAAAGGCGCTGGTTGCTGTCCTGCTTGTCGTGCTAGTTCTCTTTCCTGCAAATGGCGGCCGACAGGTAGTACACGACTCGGAAGCAAAATCTTCTCACTGTACGGACCCACGTGCAGTTGTTTCTTCACGATCGTGTAGAGCACTAGGAGTGCAATGGTCATGCTGTTAAAAGAGTTAACCGCTTTCCCCAACACTGCCGCACGTTCCTTGAACCAACGCTTTGCTACTATAACCGCAAGCCGCACGTTTGGATGAAGCGAATCCAACAAATCCTTGAGGAAAATATCCCTGTCGCCCATTGCGCGATAGGCTTGCACTAGATGCGTCAACGGAAAACGATGAATCTCAGTATTCTCCTGTTGCGCCAGCGTAGGACTCTTACTTCTGTGCGTCGTCAATTGAGGCAACATCGTTGTTTGTGCGGTGATGAGCACTAGGTCGACTGTGAACGAGGCTGGATTCCCATCAGGCAGCAAGAAACGGAATGCAGTCACACTGGCAAAAGTTTCCTCTAGTCTTTCGTTTTTACTAGGATCCAGATGAACCCTTGGCCACATTTTCAGCTTATCGTAGATCCTCCGCCACAACAACAAAGCATATCCCGGCGCATCGTCCAAATACAGTATCAGGTCCAGGTCAAAGTCTTGTTTCACCAACGTGTTCTGCAGCACTGAGCCTTTGGGTGTCAACAGAAAGTGCTTCCTGTAATTGAAGGTAGACCTACTTCATTGGTCTAAACTGAGTAAATAAGCGAGTTGTAACTAGTTGTGAAAATAATAAGGCAGATGCTGAAAGAAGAGGAGGGTAGTCAATGTCAAGACTCTCTTATTTCAGTCAGTAACTCGCATATTTTCAGTTTTCGAATACTTCATTGGTCACTGATTCTGAAAGAAGGGGGCCCCACGCATCTCCCCCCATTTTGTTCTATTCCCTTAATTTTGTTCCCCTGTTCTCGTCTCACGGGAGCCCCTCTCCGATCTCAGTGACCAAAGCAATCTTCGTTCCTAATGAAGCTGTGGCTTATATATTACTTAAGGATAAACTCTCACTAAATGGTGACCAATGAAAGTCGAGCCTTAATGTAAGCTCCAAAAACCTGGTTTCCCATGGCTTGTTCCCGCTTCTGGAAATACGTTAGGATTTGGAACATGGTGAGCTGTTGTTGATCCTGAGGTCCCCAGTTGCGCGCGAACCAGGAAAAATTGGCGAGAAGTTTCTTTCTGTTGTATCGAATCTTCGCGGTGTTGCCGATCTGCATAATCAGATGTTCTAGTAGTTCGATGAATCTGGGATGGAGAGAGAAGTCGGGAGATGACGGAGATCTGCTGCTTGCTAGAGGAGTAGTTGCAGCAGAGGCAGATGCTGTAGCGGACGCTTTAGCGCCAGCTTTCGATGCCTTACCAGTTCGAGTTGATGCCTTCCCCGGAGCAGGTGATTCACCAGCATCTGCAGGACCACCAGGTGGACAACTTCCTCCATTAACACCAGCAGCAGCAACACCATCACCACCTAGCAACAAAAATGGTGAATGTAAATCTTCAGCACTGAAACTCTTTTGAAAGTCATCCTCCATCGCGGCTCTGTAGTTTGATAGCCTGGTTAGTCGCACACGATTCGCAAAGAGTTTCTCAGCCACACCAGTGTCTTCCGGGTCTCGAAAGATGCTTCTTCCTTGTGAGAGCCACTCATCCACAAAGTACTGATCCAAAACGTGGAGAATGAAAGCGTCTAAACTCTGAGCAACTTGCGCGATTTCTTGCACCTGCTGAGGAGTGAGAGCAGAGTTTTGGACGTAGGCTTCGAAAGCGGATTCGGTTTTGTCTTCGTGTTCGTCTCTAGTAGTACCTGTTGAAGGTGAACATGATGGAACTGCGTCTGGTTTCTTGCCTTGTGGTGGTTTTTGTTGTTCGTCCTCTTCTTGCGTTTCCTTGAGAACTAGTGATTTCTGAGTCATGTTAGCCAAGTCCTGATCTACCAGCGGGTCCTCTTCAACCGCATCTGCCTTATCGTTCTCCACAGGCAGAGCACGCGAAGATTCTTCTACTTCGACGGTAGGCGAAGCATCTTTTCCTGCATGGGAGGTATCTGCTCTAGCATCGAGTCCTGGTTGCTCTTCCACTACAAGAACACCGCTTTTCTCATTTTCTCCTCCCTTACTCTTAACCTTGTTTTTCTTCTTCTTTTTCCCTTCTCCTGCTGAAGAAGCCATAGGAGTTGTTGTTGTTTCAGGAGAAGCAGATGAAGCTTTCACGGCTACTTCAGCTTTGCTGGCATGAGAAGTTACAACTTGGTGTTGTGCTTGCCTCGCTTGCTCTAAATCAGGGAAGTCCAGCTCTGTATCATTGAACGCTGGAGGTGAGTGCGCCTTAAGCGGAGGAGAGCGCAGTGCCAGAAAGCCGGCACCTGTAGTATGAGACACTTCCTGTGCGACGATAGGTGTTTCCACCACTGCACCACTTGTATAGCTTCTTAGCTCTTTCGCAGCAGCAAAAGAAGACGGCAAGCTTCTTGGTTGATGAGACACAGAATGCGTCGTGCTTGAGGAATGAGACGCAGATTCATGTGCTGGACCTGCTTTTTTGTCACCTGTCTTGTGTTTCTTCACATCCTCTGCTTTGGAAGATGCAGAAGTAGATGACTCCTGCCCTCCCTTACTGCTTCCAGCGCTATTAACATCTTTCTCAGTCTGTCCCACAGCAGAGGAATGCATCAGCAAATCAGTTTCCCCTTGATGCAACAAAACGTCAATAGGAGAAAGCAATTTCTCGAAGGCTGCTAAAATTGTACCCGCTAACCTTTTTCCGACAGCCTCCTTATCAGCGACAATCTTTCCGAAGAAGTCCCGTAAGGTCTGAAACCTGCCGTTCAATTTTCGCCATCGTTGAAGGGTAGTTTCTACATTTGTGAGGGTTCCAGTCAGTCGTTCGAGGGAAAGGATATCTGGGTTTTCTTCCAACTTCTTGCCTGCCGCTTTTGCTGCTGCTGTTGCAGCTGATTTTCCCCCCGCTGTTGCGCCTGCTTTTCCTCCTTTTTGTGCTGCAGGTGTGGCGCCTGCTTTGCCTGCCGGGGCTGTAGTTGCAGTAGGAGTAGCCTCGCTAAGAGACAGCTTCCCCATCAATCCAGACAAAAAAGCATCCACTGCTTCGACTGCTGAAGGTTCATCTCCCTCAGCGTCTTCACCCAGAGTCTGAAAATTCCGAAAAAAATTGAAATTTTCATGACCGGGAGCTGCAGTTGCGGCTGCCGCTCCCATTCTTGCGGCTGCCGCACCAGTATATCTTGATGTACTACTTTCTATCAACTTCTGGATTTGGGCCAAAGATCGCGATGGCAGCAGGTCGTTTTGAATCGTCTCACCAAGTCCATCTACCCGCGCAGAAGGAAAAGCTACTTTGTTTTTCCACACAAATAAGAACTCAGAGCCTAGAGATCCTTCCCCGTTCTTCCCCTGGAACAGCAATGTCCACAACAGGTCTAAAGAGCCTAGATCGTCTTCAGACCACTGGGTTACTTCTTGCCTCAATTGGCGCAAATCGGATACGAATCGCTGTGTCTCAGCAAAAAGCTTTTGTGGTGGTGGACCTTGATCACGATGACTCCTACTTGCTGATGAGTCTTTTCTCGCAATCTCCGAGGACCGTCGCTTTTTCAATTCTGCAAATCGATCGCTGAATTTGCGGAAAAGCTGCCGGTCTTCCATGTTCTCCATGCTCTTCACGACTTTCTGGAGAGTTAATTTTCCAAGTAAGCGCGCCAAGTCCTTCCACGCAGCTAGTTCATGAACCTCTTTTTCTGCCGCTTGTTGTTTCTGTCGCTCCTCCTGCGTCATTTTCTGCTTCTTCCCACCTCTTGCTGCTCTTTCTGCTCCTTGTAGTTCTTGCTGTTCTCTTTGTAATTCCCAAGACGACTGGTCTTTTGCAAGTGCAGGGATCACTTTCTTCATTAAGTCCACGACTGAAGGCGGACCCCTTGAGGATGTCGTGTCAGACATTTGAAGACCCGTTTTTGAACGAGTACCTTTGCTTGTATTTGTAAGAGAAGTACTAGAACTAGCATTTTTGCCGGAAGTAGAACTAGAGGCAACGACCTTTGTTAGACGTAGGTTTTTGGTGCTCGCTTGCCCCGCTTGTTATGCCTTTCTCATCCTAAGGGAGAGAGGCATAAAAAGCGGTAAGAAAAGCACCTTTAACCTACCCTTAACTTTGTTTTCAGACCAGCCAACGACACGTATTTTGCAGCGTCGCTTGCAGGAAGCGATACTTTTTCCCCCAACTTTGCCAACGCCGTACCTGCTTGGGCAACCAAAGCCTCCAACTCCGGAAAATGGGTTTGCAGACTAGCGACTGTGCTTTCCAACACAGTGACGCGATTGCGAATGGATTCACCGGCATCAAGGATACGCATCTTTAGGGTCAAGCCACTTGTTCCCATAGAAGATGCTGGGTCTGCAATTTCTCCCTGGTGGTCTCCTCCATTTGCTGCTCCACCTCCACCATTGGTTCCAGCTGCACTCGCAGCTCCACCGCCAGACTGCTTTTTCTTCTTCTTAGAAGGACTACTGCCGTTACCTTGACTTTCCTTTCCGTTTCCACCTCCTTGATTTCCGCTCTTGCCACCTTGAGTTCCACTCTTACCACCAAGCAAAAAGAGCTCATGATCATCCTCACCAGCACCGGCAACAAACAAGTCCCCATTAGACGATAAAGCCTGCACTTCGCGTTCCACTTCTTCGACTTCGGCTAGTTTGGCCTTTACATCTGCGAATTTCATGATCAGAGATAGTCCAAATCCTTCCAGATGACCATGCAGCTCACCAGCGAGACGCGCATTGTCCGCTCGAAGCATGTCGCCTCGAGTAAAGGGTAGGTTTGAGGAAGTAGAAGAAGATGCTTCTGAAGAAGTAGATGTTTGATTCTCTTGTTTTTCATCTGGTTCTGTGCTGGTAGAAGTGGTAGGGTCTTTCTTGGATGGCTCTTTTGTCGACCCCTGCTTAGTGCCTTCTCGAGTAGCAGTATCCTCGCAAGCATCAGAAGATTTCTTAGGAGTTCCAGACGCCCCCTTTGTCTGATTAATAGCGTTGCGTGGTACTCCAAAAGCACCTACGTCAAGGCCTTCAGGTAGTGTAGTTTCTGAACAACAGGATTCGCTAGTTCGTGAAGAAAAAGGGTCAGTCTTGTTCATTTCGCTTAGTTGCCGGGACATTGCACCACTTTTTGCGGACGTTGCTGGAGATTCAGGCTGCTGATGATGTGTAGTGCAACTTATTGGCGGAGGATGTGGCTTTTGATTTTGTGGAGAAGCAGAAGTTGTAGGGGATGAGGTAGGAGATTCAGAAGTGTGCTTGACGCCTGTTGCGGTTTCGAGTGTACTTGTACTAGACGGATCTACATCCGGTGAGTCGAGGGACATCTCGTAGTACAGAGTCACTTGTTCCGTTTCTTTAGAACTATAATTTCTAGGATGCGCAGAAGTAGATGGCTCTTCTCGATCTCGAGGAATGAAAGAGCCTGTTGTACTAGCACTACTTCCACCAATAGGAACAGTGTGACGATGATCCGCCACCACCCCACCTCCAACAGCAGTGTGACGATGATCTCCTTCTACCGCTCCAACCACCAGATTGGTATTTGTATTCAACACATGAAACGCTGGTGGTAAAGCTTCAGCAGACGGCCTACTGGAAGCACTATCTGCTGACTGATCGGCAAATAAGGACTCAGCAAACCACAACTCGCCATCTGGGACCACGTTTTCTCCTTCTTCTAGTATGAAACTATCCGCACCAGCCGGAGATGCCGCACTGTCGTGAAGAGGCGTCAAATCACCGAAGCTGATTCGTATGGAACTAGCACCTTCACTGGAATCTGTAGGTGAAGAGAGACCGCAGGTGGAGAGAGTGGTGGAGACAGAGGATAATCCGTCAGAGGAACCTCGTCCGGAGCGAAGAGTTCCTGGAGAAGTGGCTGCAGTGGTTGATGTGGGCCTCCTTGCAGCATCCTGGAGACCTTCTTGGCTATCATCGCCTTGTAGCCTTGTAGCATCCTGTGGTCGTGTGATCTGCAACTTTGTAGCCAGCGTGTGCGTCAACTCCTCAACTGCAGCAACATCGTCAGTTCCGTCTCCAGCACTGCCACTACCCTCTGGCGATTGACTTTTCTCTTGCTTCGCAGAGGCAGAGTCTGTTGGTGTCTCTGTCATTGCCGAGTCCGTTTCTGGCACTGCAACAGCAGCTTTAGCAGTAGCAGCAGCAGCGGCTTCTTCTGCGGCCCTTCTTTTCGCGGCTCGTCTCTTTGCGTCTTTACTTGTACCCATCTTAGGCTCGGCTTTGCCTCCCGACGGGGCATCAGTAGTTGGCTGGCTTTGATCCTTGTTCTTCTCAGAAGCAGCGGAAGACGCTGGCGCCGCATCAGTTGTCGTACTCGCAGTTGGGACCGCCTTTGTCTGAGCCTTTGATTTTTGTCGCTTCTTTCCACTTGTTGCCTCCGTTACGGGTTCTGCAGCGCTTCCCGCTGTAGGAGGGTCCGCTTTAGCCTTTGCTTTTGCTTCATCTTTCTGCGCGACAGAGGCGGGTTCAGCTTCCTCCTGAATCGACGGCAATTGAACAGGTGGCTGCTCGGCAACGATAATATGTTGTGCACGACCCTTAGCCTTGGCAGCTTGAGCTTTCTCAACTTGCTCTGGCCTCGACGACGCTGTATTTCTACTTTTGTCCACCTCCTGCTCTAGAAGTACTTCTTCCCCCTTAGATGAAGTTTGTTTCCGCGTAGTTTCGTCCTTCTCTACTCCGTCCTTCTCTTGTGCAAGCACTTCCTCCACATGGTCCATCATCCCCGTCTCTTCTATCAAGGCCATCGTTTCTGCGGTTTTTTGGGTTAAAAAATTCAGATGCATCTCGATCCGGCCAATTTCTACCGTCAAATCGTCCCGCACTGTTGCGAAACTCTTCGTTGCACTCCGATACAATGGGGCAAGCTCGATTCTCAAGGCTTCGACTGCAGGAACAATCTCTAGGCCCAATTCGTCAACGTAGTCCAGTCTGATCCGGAACGTTTTCTTATCCACGACGGAAAAGAAAGTTGGGTTCTTTTCGGCATATTGGGCAGAAATATTAAAGCTCGGCATTCAATGGTCACTGATGCTGAACGGAAGAAACTCCCTTCAAGGCTCTCCCCTTTCCCTTCCTTTTCCCCTGTTCTCTAAAGGGGTCGCTTCTTCGATCTCAGTGACCAACCCCAATGACCATTGAAAGCTGAGCCTTAAAAATAGTTGAAAATTGAGTGGAACCTTGGAGGTAACCATTCGGCTCCTCGTAATCCTGGTATTCGCCAGCTTCTCCGTCCAAAGGCTGGCCGTCGTCGTCAACCATAGGTTCATCTTCAGCTTGTTCTTCAGACGCACAGGATTGTACTGGCAGCACAGGATCTGACACTTCTGCTCCACCCGTTATTTTCCCACCAGCCTTATTTTTCTTCTTCTTGCCTTTCTTCTTATCACTAGTATTTGCAGGAGTTGCAGCACCCGCCTCTTTACTCTGTGGACGTATGGCAGAAGATACGCCTTCTCTCTGCTCTCGTCCAACACCGCTCTGCTGTCCTCCACCTCGTCCAAAAAGAAGATGCGCAGGACAGGGTTCATCTTTCTCAGGAATACGTAATCTGCGCAACGCTTTGGCAACCTCTGGTCCGCCTTGGTCTAAGAGATATTGAACAACCTCACTTCGGAGCCGTTGAGCATACGTGCGCATTTTATCCAAGGGAAAACGATTTGCTAGGACTGCTTCTACCTGTTCTTGAATCTCGGCTTGGCGCAGTGCTTTCTCTGCCTCTGCTGCAGAAGGAGGACTCGTTGTACTCGTTGTACCAGAGTTCTGAGAAGCAGTTGTAGTGGAGCCGGCAGAAGGAGTACTCTGCTGTCGTTGTCCTTGTTGAGCTTGGGATGGCGAAAGAATCCTTGCAGCTTTCAGCAATGCAGCAGGTTTATTCTCAAAATGTGTCTTTGCCGCAGCTAGTTTCATGGACATAGAAGAGGGGACGGCTGAGGGTTTCGAAGTTGTTGATCCACCGTGCCCACTACTGGATGCACCACCTGCATGACCAGTACTTCTATGCTGAGACTGAAATACCCATGAGAAAGCACGGATTTTTTCTAACTGCCTCAACACTGACGCCGTTTCCTTCCGCTCTATGAAGCGCTGAAAAGCAACACGCTCTGCTAAGGAAAATCGCCGGTGCTCACGCACATAGGCCAAACGTCGGAGTTTTTGTGCCATCCCGAGAGCTCCACGACCCCCGAAGGCTCTTACAAATGGACTAGCACTCGGTAATGAAGAGCTTGAGCTTGACGTCGCACCTCCAGAAATTGCAATATTACGAGCACTAGTACCAGAAGTTGAACTACAAGTTGCACCACCAGCATTTGGATTCCCCTCTTCTCCAAAGAACACATACAGCACAAACGCCTCTGCCAATTTGGAAATTTCCGTTCTCGAAACTTGGAATTCCTCATTCACCAGAGAAGCGTGCATCGCCATCATAGACGCTCGCAATTTCGACCAGTCCGCACCCATTCTCCCGACTACAGCACTTTGTCGGTCCACGCTAGCGTCGAAGTAATTGGCACTCTGGGTTTTGAGCATTTTCACCTGCAATAAAACTTGATTTCGCGTAACGAAGATCCTATGCGCCCTATTTGCTTCCTCCTGAGCAGCGAAAACGTCAAAAAAATCGTCCTTACTCATGTCCACTAAGCTTTCCAACTGTGGGATCACATGGGAAGCCCAGTGCTTTTGCTGCTTGTTGATCACTGCAGCGTGACGCTGCAGTCTGGATATGACCGCTCTTAAATCTGCTCTGCCAAAGCCATCATTTTTGAGGCTCGTCTTATACTGATGTAAGACAGAGGCGGATCCACTGGGGTAGTGATTTTGAGTGAGACTAGCAATAAACTTCATCTTGCGCTGACGATCAGCAAGTTCTAGGAGTTCTTCGTCTGCTGTTGAAAGACGTCCAGGGGCTAAGACCTTTGGCATCGGTGTATCTTGGGTTGTGATGTCTTTCGTTTCTTGTTCCGGAGCTACTTGATCTACAACCATAGGCGCGTCTGCATTGTTGCTGGTCCCTAGTGCTACGGCCTTTCCAGTGGTCTCTTTGCCTACCGTGTCAACATCCTTAGCAGTACTAGCGGTAGCGGTGTCATCACCACTTCCCGTCATCACCACTTCCCGGGAAACTGCACCTCCTTCCCCAACAGCAACATGAAGCAAATGTTGACCTCCTTCTTTGCCCTTACGCAACAGTTGCGCCTCAGCTACAGCTATTTCGCGTAGCACCTGCTCTGCCAGAGCGCGTCCGTCGACTTGACTACCGCCAACTGGTTCTTCGTCAATGACAGTCTCAGCCTTGCTTGACAGCTCAGATGCAGTACCATTATTTGACTTATCCCGGTCCTGGTGTCCTCCGAAAATTTCGAGCTTTGTCCCAGCCTTCGACGCAGATGAAGTGCCATTAGAATCTGAAGCATCAGCTGCATGTAGATTCGTCACTGGTCGAAACTCATGGACCACAGGAGGCCACAAAAATGGAGGTTCTTCTTGGGCCGTTTCTTGCGCAGTGACTGTGACGTGCGCAGAGCTATTCATGGCTGAAGAGGAAGAAGGCTGTTGACGTAGTTCATCTGCCGATAATGGGTCCAAAATCTGAACTACTACTTCTTCTCCTGCTGTAGCTGGGTCAGAAAGTATGCCTTCTGGCGATTCAACATCTTTAGAAGTTCTACTACCATGTGCTTCTACTGCTCCACCAACAGCTTTATCCTCGTCCTCTTCCTCCTTCTTCCCCGCTTCCTTCTCCTCTTCACTCTTAATCTGTTCCAACATCATCAGAAACCGCAGATGCTCATACGTCAACGCGAGTTGTCGGTCCCAGGTGGCAAAGGTTCCTTGGATTGTGGGCTTAAAGACTGAATAGAAGTCGACGCCGACTACTTCCTCTAGAATATCAGGCAAGACCGCCCACGACTCCGCTGCCAGTTCCTTAAAATGCACTATGGCCTCAAGCTCACTGGCGAATTGTCGACGCACTGGCTTCGCAACAACAGGAAATTGAGGTCCTTGTTTAGCAGTGGGTTGTTTACTCGAAGAGGCTGTTTTGTTCTTGGAGGCTCCGTTCCTAGTATCGTCCTTCTTGTGATCACTCTTTCCCTTAATATTTGTACCTTTTTTACTAAGAGCACCATGTTCTTGTCCTCGCTTTTTCTTTCCACTAATTCTACTTCTACCAGCACCTTCACCACCATCCCTCATTTCGACATCGTTTCCTTCCTCGTCCTCTTGCATTTGCTTTATCGAAAACCGACCTCGTTTAGCTACGACTTTCTTCCCTTCTCCGCCACTGCGCTGCTCGTGACCTAGTTGCTCTAGCCATCCAGCCTCTAGTCTCTTCAAACATTC